AAACATAGATGATGTGAAGAACTTTTAAAATGTGGTTTACTAAGGACTAAAATGTGAAAATCACTTTTAATTTCTGATAATTCACACCCTAATGAATAACCAGTTAGTGGCGATTGTAGGCTTTGCAAAAATAGTTGGCCATTAAAGGGACACTGTAGTCACCAGAACAAGTACAGCTCAATGTAGTGGTTCTGTTGGCTATAGCCTGTCCCTGCAGCCTTTTCTATGTAAACACTGCCTTTTTAGATAAAAGCAATGTTTACATTACTACCTAGTAACACCTCTCGTGGGAGTTACTCAGATCACCAGTAGAGGTGCTTCATAGTCCAGTGCTGCAGTGTGCAGAACCTATATTCAGCCTCTCCATGCTCCCTATAGGGATGCATTAATTCAATGCATCTCTCTGAGTAGATGCTAATTGACGCAGAGTGGCATTTTACTGCGCATGCACAATAACCTTCCAATGCTTTTCTATCGGAAATCATTGGATTGGTTGAGATCATCAAGACTGATGACTTCGGCCATGGAGGCGGTGCCAGCCGCTGCGAGACAGAAAAGGTCAACTAAACAACCTTTAACTCCACAGGGCGGGTGGGGGGGCTGAAACCTAAACAGCTAGTTTAACGTTTATAGAAATAAATGTTTGTGTTACTTTAATGGAGTGTTTGGGTTTATCTTTTTAAGAGCGAGCAGCTGACGCTCTCCGCCAATGAGCTATGCCCATTGGTGATTGGCTGAGAGGAATCAGCTAGCTCTCTGTTGGAGGCTGACAGAAGACAGAGAGTGGCACCAACACAGTTTATTTACATGTGGGGGCCAGGGCACACCTAGTACCATAACCACTACAGCGCAATTTAGTGGTTATGGTCCTTGGCTTGTTGCTTTAAGTATGAGTCAGAGTTGTTGCAATAATTGTTGTCTTCATGGAAGGTTGCTGACCGGCTGATCTTTAGCCACTCAAGTCTGAGTGTTTTTCATTGAAGAGAATTTCTAATTTTAGGCCATGATATCTGACCTGGAGAATTTTTTTCAATACAGCCATTGTAGCCTAATATTTGAAATTTACTTAGAATTCCTTAAATTTTTAACTTTAGAGGAATAATCCTAACCGTATTTTATCTGGAGGAATAAGTTTAAATGGACATAATAGGCCCCCAGGCCCAGATTAGGAAAGTCCTAACGCGCTCACAGCACATGTGCATTAGGTTTCCAGATCGCCATGACATCAATGGAATCAGGTATGTGAGAACTGAGGGACACTATGTATTCCTAATACAATAGGAGAGCAAAAAAACGGGCGCAAGAGAATACTGAGAATGGGCAGCAGCTGAAATAGCCTGCCCTTCGGTAAGTCCGAGCTCAGATCTCAAGCTGGGTTTAACTCATCTTGTGCCATTACAGAGAGAACATCTCTGAAACACATCAGACAGGTCCCACCCATAAATGAAGTCCATATCTGAAATGCCAGCAAGTTCCCTCTGCATGAGAGATACAGCCACTCCCGGACAATTGTTTCAGCCTTGTTAGGCATCATCAGTGAGGCATAGCTGATATCTCTCTAGGCACTGTGAGCAAGGGGTCCACGTCTAAATTACCCTTTAAATTTACGGAGAGCAAAAAAATGGGGCGCAAGAGAATACTGAGAACAGTAGAATACTATTTCTCACCTCTCTTGCTACCTATTTTTCTCTCCTTAAGTGTAAACGGTAATCCAGAAGTGGACCCCTCTGATGGGAGGGAATCCCTTTACACTTGCTGGCCATGGTCACGCTCTTTCTTGTCTGCAAAGTGAAGACTGGTTGCTCCTATAACATAACCCACCAGGGACAGAGCTAAACAGTCTGCCAACTTAAGTGTCCTTAAAGAAAACTGGTCCTCATGTAAACGGGATGGCCACCTCTTCAGACCATACAGAAATAATACTGTGTCTTGTGTGTGCCTTTTAGTGTCCCTTTAGTGTCCCTTTAACCCCTTCGCGACCGAGGACGGTTCAGGACCGCCATCGGCATTTTTTCCTTGCCGACCGATGACGGTCCTGAACCGTCCTAATGGTCAGAGGTACTTACCTGATCGCCGTCGTTCCCCCGGCGGCGATCAGCGTGGCTCCGGTTGTGGGGAGACTGCCTGCAGCCCAGACAGTCTCCCCACACTGAATTAGGACCCCTGTGGCCATGTGATCGCTTAACACAGTGATCACATGGTCACAGTAGGTGTCCATGTGTCTGCCTGCACTGACAGGCAGTCTCCCTGCTAGTGTAAAATCATAAAAAAAAATAAAAAATTATTATATGTGTATATATGATATATAGACATATATTATATCTATATATTATGTCTATATATCATATATATAATGTCATACTAAGTGTATTTTTATATTAATATGTACTTATATTAATATAAAAATGCACTTATAATTAAATTACACACGTATATATATAATATATATAATAACTATATATATTGTATATATATTATTATAAAATATAAATAAGTAATTTAAATTAAATAATTTTTTTAAAATAATAAATGTTAAAAAAATTATATCTATATGAAATTTTATTCTAACTGTATTTTAAAATTAATATATATTTATATCAAAATACACTTAGAATGAATTTGTATATATATCTATGTATATATAAATAAATAAAAATAATACGAAATATACATATGTCCATATACAAAATTATATAAATATACACGTAGACTTCAAATATATAAATATGCATATATATTTAAATTCTACGTGCGTATTTATGTAATATTTTTACATAATTCAGTAATTTTATTGATTGCAATTTGAGGGACCTGCCTGCCAACCCAGGCCGAAATTCCAGAGAATTTAATTTGCTAGCACTGTATTTTACCCTGTAACGTTCTACGACACCCTAAAACCTGTACATGGGGGGTACTGTTTTACTCGGGAGACTTCGCTGAACACAAATATTAGTGATTCAAAACAGTAAAACATATCACAGCGATGATATTGTCAGTGAAAATGACTTTTTTGCATTTTTCACACACAAACAGCACTTTTACTGATGATATAATTGTTGTGATACGTTTTCCAGTTTTTAAACACTAATATTTGTGTTCAGCGATGTCTCCCGAGTAAAACAGTACCCCCCATGTACAGGTTTTAGAGCATTTTTGAAAGTTACAAGGTCAAATATATGGGTCAAATATTTTTACATGTTGGTTACGTTGCCTTTGAGAGCGTATGGTAGCTCAGGAATGAGAATTACCCCCATGATGGCATACCATTTGCAAAAGAAGACAACCCAAGGTATTGAAAATGGGGTATGTCCAGTCTTTTTTAGTAACCACTTGGTCACAAACACTGGCCAAAATTAGCGTTCAATTTAGTTTTTTTACTTTTTTCACACACAAACAAATATGAATGCTTACTTTGGCCAGTGTTTTTGACTAAGTGGCTACTAAAAAAGACTGGACATACCCCATATTGAATACCCTGGGTTGTCTACTTTAAAAAAAATATGTACATGTGGGGTGTTATTTAGAGATTTATGACAGATAATAGTGTTACAATGTCACTATTGATAAATTTTAAAAATGTATGTTTTGAAACCACAATATCCTACTTGTACCTATAGCCCTATAACATGCAAAAAAAAAGCAAAAAAGCACGTAAACACTGGGTATTTTTAAACTCAGGACAAAATGTTGAATCTATTTAGCAGTTTTTTTCATTCGCTTTTGTAGATGAGTAAAAGATTTTTCAAGTAAAAGTAAAAAAACATGTATTTTTTTCACTTTTTCATCATATTTTTTTTATTTCTTTAAATTAAAATACATGAGTTTATATAAATAATGGTATGTAAAGAAAGCCCCTTTTGTCCTGAAAAGAACAATATATAATTTGTATGGGAACAGTAAATGAGAAAGCGGAAAATTACAGCCAAACACAAACACCACAAAAGTGTAAAAATATGCCTGGTCGCAAATGTACAACATCGCAAAAAAGGTCCAGTCCTTAAGGGGTTAATGAGCCTGCATATTTTAATTGTCATGGCTGCAGCATGTTTGTGGTGTAAATAGAGTTAAGCTCAGAGATCCTTGAATTTGCCATTTTATTAAACAAACATCCAGATGATATTGAAAGAGGTTTTAACACTAATGCAGAAATCTGAGAGGAAGGTGGTTTGCATGTGTTTCTTGAAATTCCCCTGGTACAATGCATTTCTTATTAGGAAGGAGAAAATTACAAATTAAACTCAATTACAAAAAAAGTAAATTGATTCTAAACTTTTTTTTTTTTAATTTTTATTCACTGTAAACCACAGTAAAAATATTGCTGTCCATGTTCCTGGGGTAGCTCAAACACTTAAGATAATTGTATATTTTAGGACTATCCAGAAGCCATCATGGTCTTTTATTGAACCCATCAATGAGATTTTTTTTTCTCAACCAAAACAGCTAGCTATAAAAGGTTAGCTATGGGTTGTGCTTTTATTTTACTACAAATTTCTGTAGCTGTATTTTTACGAAACACGCTAGGCAACGTAACACTGTAATTGTAGTCACTGTTACCTGGAGTGCTCTGGCACCGTCCCTAATTCAATAGAATGTAAGCTCGATTGAGCAGGGTCCTCTTCAACCTATTGTTCCTGTAAGTTTATTTGTAATTGTCCTATTTATAGTTAAATCCCCTCTCATAATATTGTAAAGCGCTACGGAATCTGTTGGCGCTATATAAATGGCAATAATAATAATAATAATAATATTATTGAAAAGTTTAGGACAGTTTATGGCCTGCCCCCATCTGGGCAGTGTTGATATTGCAGAATTAACACATTATCCAAGTCAATTTTGTCCAATCTGTCGCTTAAACTCTAGTGCAGGGGTAGGCAAACTTCGGCACTCCAGATTTTGTGGACTACATCCCCCATAATGCTCTTACACCCATAATGCTGGCAAAGCATTATGGGAGGTGTAGTCCAAAACATCTGCAGTGCCGAAGGTTGCCTATGCCTGCTCTTGTGTTTGCAGGAAGCCGTGTATCATGGCCATCAGTATCTCCCCCGGACACAAAATGCCCCAGGGGCAAGTGGTTTTTACTTGCCTCTGCAGGATTATTTGCTCCCGTAACAACTTCAATAGCACCTACTGGGGTGACTGATGATTCCGCTTATAAATTTATGTAAATCAAATAAAAATATAAATATATACTCAGAGACTGTTTAATATACACAGGCTTTATTTATGTACACAATTATACACACAGTTATTTGCCAGAAATGTGTGTTTTGATTTGTGAATCAGTGCTCTTGGTATCTATATTAATATATAAATATACTTTATGGACTATTTTAACACAACCTTTTGTCCCCCTCCCCCCCAGTTTCGGTTATATTTAATATCATGTAAAAATACAACCTTAAAAAAAAAAAATCCTTCAAGGGATCAGTAGGTAAAAATAAGCTTGCAAAAGGTTGATCTGAATAGTGCTTTAAAGACGCTCTGAGTCCCTCCCTATCTCCAATACCTAGTTCTTGCTTTCGAGGAGCCCAAGTGATCTGTTATGGCTGGGAAAGGGGCCTGCCAATATCTAAGGCCGATGACCCCTTCTCAGCTAAATGGATGGAATGTTACAAAATATAGAATTGCTATTGGTTGCGGAATACACCCCCATACTATACGCCCGATCCACTGACCGCACCTGACCAACCATGAATCACAGTCCATAGCGATGAGCTCAGGTATTCATTTTAGATAAACTGTTACTCTTCCTAATTAAATTAGGATATTTTATTTTTGGCTCTAGTGCAATTTAAACTAAGTGTATGTCTCCTGCAAAGCCTCATATGCAAATTATGCTTGGGTGTAAAGGAAAACTGACTCAGTTGCAGTTTTGTAAAATGTAGTGGGTGAGAGCTGGCATTGCTAGAATCTGCTCACACCCCACGACATGGAACGGATTAATGCTTGTACCCTTCACTGTAACTGGCAACCGACAACACTAAGAAAATAGCAAGCAAATGTATAAACGGATCACTGCCCGCTGCAGTGAATAGGGGACCAGTCAATAGGGTAACTGTTCATTATTACAGAGTCCCACTCCGGTAAAGGATTATTTTATATGAGAATCTGTCTTGTGTTTGCCAAGGGAACTTAACCCTTCATTTGTAAACTAGGTTATGATCTTTAGCCCTTGGATGTATGAATGTCAGTGATCGAATGGTGTGCAGGTTAGCATGTCGGTATATTTTTGTTAGCACTGTATAAAGGAATCAAGAATGGGTAAATGGATATGGAAGCAACTATAGTCTCTCCGCTTCAGAAGGTGTGTGTTTTATTTAACTCTTCATATCTGTGAAGATCTTACCCTATAAAAACATTAGATTTTTTTTTTCTTCAAATTTTGTTTTTAAATACATCTGAAAAATAACTTATTAGAAAAAATGTAATTCCCTTCCCACGCCCTGTAACACAGACAAAACGCCTTCATATGCCTTCCGTTGTAACAGTTTTTTTTTTTCTTGTGCTTAATTGGGAGGCAATGAGAAAATGACAAATTAAGAGTTTGTTTTAAATTTCCTGTGTTATTCTTCTCTTTTTTTTTTTTTTTTTGCAATAACCAGCGCAAAGTTTGAAACATCTGGAACGTAACATTTCCTTGTTGTAGATTAGAAAGGGAGTTCAGTGAGTTGGGATTTACTATCACCAACCAGTTCATAGAACAGTTTCCACTCCATGCGGATCTGAGACTTGATGCACCACCAAATAGCAATTTAGTCCAGTTGCCTTTTGTCTAATGTGGTCGTAGGTTACGGTAGCACCACTAGTTCTCCAACCAAGCCATTCTGTTTGAAGAATTGGACAGTGAATGCATCTTGCGTGGGGGGGCTATTCTCACTTATAGAGGTTGCATTTGAAGGTATATAAGATACCTTCTATGGAATTTATCCACCATGTCCTCAGTCAACTTGGTCTCCAACAGTTATGGTCGCTTACTTGGCAGTTGCTGTGTGTTATTTTACATGCTCAGCAGCATGAGATGAACAGTAATATTTTTTGTGGGCAATAAATGTCGACAGGCTGCTGAACTTTATATTGCAGAGGCGGCAGTACCTATGGTTCCCGTTAGGGAGTGTTGAGGTCAGACCTGCTTTAGGGGGCTGCATAGCTTTGTCCTCAGGAAGCAACGCATGGGTGGTAACTTTAAGCCCATCTTCCCTCCTGGGTTCAGCCAAAGGCAAGGGATTCAGAGGAAGGGCTGGTGAGCTTGGCATGCGAGGTCTGGGTGTGCTAATTAACACTGGACTGCCATTGGCTGATGAAGATGAAGATGATGAGGTGGGATCTTTACAGTTGAGACTGTCCCTTCTAAGGCCGGGTAGTTGCAATGGTGAGGCAGACACCGGGGGGCTTGGTAAGCTGCTCTCTGATGCACTGCTGGGTTGCACCCGTGCTGGCATCAAAACCTCCATGTATGCGGCTTGAAGTCGATGACCTGGTGTAGGTTTGGCCAAGAGTAGACCATGGACACTCCTAAAATGCTCAAGCAGGTCTCCTCTGATAACAACATTGAGAGGACAATAGGGACAAGAAGAGGTGGCAGAAGGGGACACTTCTGCAGCTGAGGTGTACTGTTGAATTGGCTTTGACTCTTGAGTAGCAGAAAATGGTAGAGCTTGAGGCTGGATGGTATCAGTCATCGACACTGGGCTTAGACTTGTTCTTCGCTCTACTTTTACTCTCACACTGTCTTCTCCAAGTTTCCCAACATTAGTTAAAGGAGACTTTATCTTCTGAAGTTGCTGCAGTGCTTTCTGCTGTAGGGGGGCAGCTGGACAGGAATATTGCTTATGAGCCAGATATGTTTCCAAGTTGTTGAAGCTAATTCGACAAGCAGTACATTCATGGTAATCTGCCAAGGGCACAACTGCAGCTGCTTGAGGTGGTATTGTTGTTTCAACTGCTAGACGTGGTTTCTTACTTAGATCGATGGGACCATCAGCAGCATCAGGACTAGAGCTGGGTGATGGCACACCTGGGGCTGGTATCAAGCCTGGCATGAGGGGAAGAGCTTCAATCCTGGCCAAAGGGTGTAGAGCTGGTGGGGTTACCTCTGCTGGTGTAACACCGTGAATCTCGTACAACTTTCGCCGTTTGCGAGTTCTTGGTGTTGGCTGAGGAGTGTATGGTGGGCCAGGTTTGCTGATTCCACTACGGCGTAAGGGAGGGTCATGCCTAGAAGCACAGTAGTATCGTTTGTGCACCACATAGGTATCATGGCGACTAAAACGTATGTTACAAGCTTCACATATTGTGCGGGTTGGATCTTCCTCTGGATCTTCCAAAGAACTTGGGCTTTGACTGCCCTCACTCACATGTCCACTGCCCACACCTTCACCTTCAACAGAAGCACCCTCTTCCAGCTTGACTGCTACTGTGGGTGTACTACTCTCTGCTTCTGCATCATCTTGGGGTGGGGATATCTGCTGATCCTCAACTGGAGGTGGAACAGAAACTCCAGAGGTACTAGCTACTCTTGCTGGCACTAGTTTAAGTTTGCGTCCACTTGTTGGACTTTCTTCATTCACATGTCTCCCCGAGCAGTAGAGTCGTTTGTGTACATAATAGTTATTGATATTATTAAAGGTAATTTCACACTCAAAGCACGTAGCACCTTTTGGTGAAGGTGTTCCTGGAAATCCAGCCGGAGTAACAGCTTGACCCTGCTTTAGACGGTTATGTACCAACTCAGACATCTTTGCAAGGATCTCAGAAGCCTGAGGGACTATTGCTGTAGTAGCCTCATGCCCAAAGGCATATGGTGGGATGACCACTGTTCCTCCACCTGGTGCTGCACCTGCTTCAGATGGGACAGGACTGGAACCTGGTGTAGGACTTGATGTTTCAGTCTTCACCTTAACTGTTGGAGATGGTACTAGTGCAGCTCCATCTCCTGCCTCGGAACTAGAAACTCTTGACTCACAGATACTTTGTTGCCCTTCTGGCTCCTCTTTAATTTTAAGTTTTAGAGGTGGCTCTTCGCTACCAGATAAAGGAGAAGATGATGATGATGATGGTATCTGAGTCTTGGCATCACCATTTTCCAAACGCTCTGTCTTCTGCTCATTATGAGAGTCAGAGGGGGACTTTGCAGGTACAGGGGTCAATGCTACTGAAGGTGATGCATGTAGAAGTGCATGCTGCTGAAGACTGGGAAGGCTCTCCGCCAAGAACCCACACAAGCCACACTTCAGAATGTTGGCAGCTGTAATCTGGCTCAGACCTAAAATTAAGCACGAGAGAGAGAAAAAGAAGGCGAGAGAGAGAGAAAAAGAATATTAGTCATGAGGTCAATGTAGCTATTTATCACAATAAAGAACTTGGGCTAACCTGAATACAAAGATGTTCTAACTAAAGGATGGCCACAAGGCAGAACACTAGTAGGTATTAGATAAACAACTGAGGCATAGCATTTGGTCACCTGTTTTAAAACCTTAGATCTGAATCTACATTATTTGTCATTAAAACACTTCCTACAAATTTTTGATTCTACTTAGAAATAACACTTGCATTTGTTCATTGACTTTTTCTCAAGTTCAAAATCCATTCAAACCATCATCATGCCAGGGCCAATGGCGAGAGAAAATTCTCCCTTGCTGAGTGTGCTATATGGACCTTATGGGCTTGCAGTGGCAACTAACTTTTAAGGCCTGGCTAGTAGTGTAGAAGATGAGGAATGTGATTTATCAAATGCAATGTAGAAACTTTGATTAATTACTGCACAGGAATCCGTGAAAATCTTAAAGGCAGATCTTTGTTTTTTAGTCTTTTATTACATCTGGTTAAGCTTATTTACAATATAAAGTACAGGGAATGTCTACGATTAAATTCACATTTACCAGAGAGTTATCACCTGGCTCTGGGCTTGAAAAATTAAGTTTGAGAGGGATACTTCCCACAACAGGATCGATATTCTCAACTCTCAGGTGTGTTTAGCCAGACGGGTTCTATTATATAAGTAGGAGAGAAGCAGAGAGGCCTATATATAAAACAACCTGCTTGTCTGAACACACCTGATAGTTGAGAATATCTATCCTATTGTGGGAAGTATCTCTCGCAAACTTCATTTTTCAAACCCAGAGCCAGGGGTGATTAGGCTCTGGTAAATGTGCGTTTAATCCCAGACACTCTCTGCACTTTATATTGTGTATATATAAGCTTAACCAGATGGTCTGCACTATGTGCATTTATTTTATAATTTACAGAACAACATTTGAAGATTCTATTTAAGTGCGCTATTTATTGGTATACTGTCTCTGTGTGTCATTTGTTTGTGACTTTAGTGAGTGCTCCTGTAATTGTGTGCATTTGGGCACTATTTATCAATTTGATATTACATCCATGTCAGTGTAGGATTAATTAGGACTATGTTGTTATGATATAATGAAATCACACCTGGATTTGCGGGTTTGGCTGCAGGGAGTGGCTTTATAGCAGGATACATGTCGACCTTGGATCCTGGTTGGCACACCATGTGATTGGTGACCAGATGGCTGTACAAGATGTCTCTGGTGGTAGAAATGAATCCACAGCCATGACAAACACCTGCAGCAAAGATGATAAATATCCTTAATGTTTCTCATTCAATAACATAGTCAGGAGTGGAACTAAACAAAACCTTTTCTACCCTGTCCCCGCAATAAATGAAAATATCTGGAGTGGTTCTGTTTCTGCTCTTACAACACACAATGCCACTGTGGATGGCTGTATCATGCTTTAAGACTTCATTAGAATGTGCTCATTGCTTTCTATGAAAGAGCCTGCGAATCCACTGGGGACACATTAGTAGCTGTGATATCCTTTTTCATGTTAAAATCATGAATTAAACCACATGTAAGACACGTAATGCAGTACCCTGGCTTCTAGCACCATGTATGGGTTTATAGGGTGGGCACAAAGCAGACACAGAAACATAGAATGTGGCGGCAGATAAGAACCATTTGGCCCATCTAGTCTGCCCAATTTTCTAAATACTTTCATTAGTCTCTAGCCTTATCTTATAGTTAGGATAGCCTTATGCCTATCCCACGCATGCTTAAACTCCTTTACTGTGTTAACCTCTACCACTTCAGCTGGAAGGCTATTCCATGCATCCACTACCCTCTCAGTAAAGTAATACTTCCTGATATTATTTTTAAACCTTTGTCCCTCTAATTTAAGACTATGTCCTCTTGTTGTGGTAGTTTTTCTACTTTTAAATATAGTCTCCTCCGTTACTGTGTTGATTCCCTTTATGTATTTAAATGTTTCTATCATAGCCCCCCGTCTCATCTTTTCTCCAAGCTATACATGTTAAGATCCTTTAACCTTTCATTGTAAGTTGTATCCTGCAATCCATGAACCAGTTTATTAGCCCTTCTCTGAACCCTCTCTAAGATATCAATATCCTTCTGAAGATACGGTCTCCAATACTGCGTACAATACTCCAAGTGAGGTCTCACCAGTGTTCTGTACAAAAGGTATGGGAGTACTAGGATTGTCTGACACAGGATGGTATGGGAGTACTAGGCTTGGCTGACAGGATGGTGTGGGAGTACTAGGATTGGCTGACACAGGATGGTATGGGAGTACTAGGAATGGCTGACACAGGATGGTATGGGAGTACTAGGAATGGCTGACACAGGATGGTATGGGAGTACTATGATTGGCTGACACAGGATGGTGTGGGAGTACTAGGATTGGCTGACACAGGATGGTGTGGGAGTACTAGGATTGGCTGACACAGGATGGTGTGGGAGTACTAGGATTGGCTGACACAGGATGGTGTGGGAGTACTAGGATTGGCTGACACAGGATGGTGTGGGAGTACTAGGATTGGCTGACACAGGATGGTGTGGGAGTACTAGGATTGGCTGACACAGGATGGTGTGGGAGTACTAGGATTGGCTGACACAGGATGGTGTAGGAGTACTAGGATTGGCTGACACAGGATGGTGTGGGAGTACTAGGATTGGCTGACACAGGATGGTAGGGGAGTACTAGGATTGGCTGACACAGGATGGTATGGGAGTACTAGGCTTGGCTGACACAGGATGGTATGGGAGTACTAGGATTGGCTGACACAGGATGGTATGGGAGTATCAGGATTGGCTGACACAGGATGGTATGGGAGTACCAGGATTGGCTGAGCCACACTTGCTCACTGACATAAGTACAAATCCTGTTTACTTGTGTGAAATTAAAATGAATATACAGTAGTTTTATTTTCCATTACATTTTAATTCAATTATTTTAAATGTATTAAGAGGACGAGGGCCAAACAGCCTGGCACAAGAAGGCATTACTTTAAGCAGAATATGTAATTTTTTGTTGTTGATGTAACTTTACTAACTCTAAAATACATAAACGACTTTGTGTATGCGTGGGTACTGGGTGCTGTCATCATGTGAGATTAGTAATTTGTTTAAATTGCAGGTTGCATTATAATAACAGGTGTTTCATGAAACCAACCCACTAAAACCGATTAGAAAGTGCTAGTAAGGTGGCTGCTCTTATTTAAGATGGTGTCTAACAGGGTAGCTTTTAGAAGGACTCCATTATACATGATATGACAGTGCAGTTTAACGTATTCAATTGATTACAAAGTGTATCAGTGAACAGGTGGATATATTATCTGAGTCTAATGTCCCACTTGGTATCCTCTGCAATGTGCCCCAGGAATATTTTTTTTTTTTAAAGTAATTATTTATATCTATTGTCAATTTATTAATACTTTTCCAGCTGCTGGTTCTCATTAGAGGTCTGTATAAAGAAAATGACATACCCAGAATTTGAAAAAAAATCATTCCTATGACATAGTAGAGCCCAAGACACATTATTCACATACAACAGAGAAGGGTCTTGCAATAACCACACTAGAGAGGGAGGTGTACTCGACAAATAGGAATAATAGTCTCACCATTCAGAGTATCTGTGTGGACTTTAAGATGACGTTCACAGTTGGCTTTAGTTGTAAAGGCAGACAGACAGATCAGGCACACAAACGGTCTTTCGCCTGGAAAAGATAAAGGCTCTATGTTATTTTGTTCCTCCCAGACGATCTCAACAGTAACACCCAGGGCACCCCTCTTATCACCAAAGCAATACTAGCCACATCTTACTAATGGAGAGGAGTGTAGCACATTGTGATTAAGATTGAAAGATAATGCTATGTAATGCTATTAATTTGAAGGGGACACTTTGAAGGAATGGATTGCAGTATTCAGTAAAAAAAAAAAAAAGACTGTTAGATTAAAAAAAAACATCTTAGAAATGGCACACACTGAGTGTTCTGAAGAGTTTGATAAAATAATTCCATTTAACGCACTTGGCGCTGAGTATTAGTGCAGCCTCTGTAGTTTCACTAGATTAACCACACGTCACAGGCAGTGACTGGACTGACTGACTGACCACAGGTCACGTTATTGTACCTACAAAAGGGATAACGTAACACTGCGTGACCCATTTAGGCACAGCAGCTGAGATTACAAAGCAGGTGTAACCTGAATCCTGGATGTTTGGGTTAGAGGTTATGGATTAGGACAGGACCATTTTGGCTGGGAAAGTGATATTAACATGCACGTGGATAGTGTGAACGTCCATCAAGCGGACTAGTAAAAGCCATTACAGTAAAGGACGTGCTTAAGGCTATCCTAAAAATATGTCTGTAACTTAACTTGGTAATTATGGAAGCCCAGAGAGACCGATCATTTATTTTTAATATTTAATGCTTTAACTTGTTTTCTCAAGAAAGCAGATGTTTACTTGAGATAACAAGTCAGATTTAATATTAAAACTACATGGCCTCTCTTGGTTTATGTAGGTTCACCAGGGAATTGCAAATTGTAGGCCACTATTTAGCAAATAACCCTGTGTTTGAAGGGTAGACTAGGTTCTTATGCTACAGATTATTTAATAATGACCAGTTTTCATGGTTTAGGTTCAGTAAAAACTTGAACGCTATATGTAGGTCAGTCCAGCTGATGGGAAGCATATTTTAACAAAGCGGATAACTCCATTTCATTCCAAGACCTGCTCCTAAAAATTATTTATTTATTTTATACCGTATATACTTTATTGAAAAAACATTAATTATTACACATTGTTTTGGATGATATGTGTAAATTGTATCCCCCACTTATTTGTTTTTCTCCCCCTGTTATACATGATTTTTTTTTTTTTTTTAAGATATTTACATACATATTCATGTTATACCATTATTCTCACTGTTATGGAAACAAATGTATCTATAATAAACAACATCTCACTTTGCATATTCCTGGCTAATATCTCACAAAGTACGGATATAAATGTGAGTAAATAATGTTCCTGCACTCACCGCTATGACTCCTCATGTGGATCTCTAGGGAGCTGGCGCTGGGGCAACTCTTCTTGCATTGTGGAAAAGGGCAAATTCGCTCATTGGGGTAGGTATCCTTGGGTTTCTCCTCCATGGAAGGGGAGGTGGAGCTTTGTCGACTGGCGCAGTAATACATAAGATGTGCCTGAAGGTTGCGTTCACTTCGATACCAGATACCACAGTCCTTGCATGGAAAAACATCTTCTGTATTGAGAGAACAAATGATTCATTAGGAAACACTCCAGACCCCAAAAGTAGTTTAGCTTGCTGAAAAACTTTGTGTGATGAGTGTGTCCTTTAATTTTGGAAATAATGCAGATTTTCAAAAGAAATGTACACTTTTATAAATTATACTGCTTACACCCCCTGGCCTTTCAATCAGAAAACAGGTCCTGTTACTTCCTGGTTGGGTTAGCTTATTTGCAATTAACTCAAGAGGCAACAATTGCTTAGAGCACCTGCCTTGCAAAGAATTCTCATCAGGCTGCATTGGGAATTCTGTGATTGGACAGCCACAGAAAGTCTGGGCAGGGTTAGAAGGGGAGGGCTTGCAAAGGCAGCAGATGAGATCTGCAGGTTTTTCAAGCTGTTTTTAGAAATAACTCCAAAAGAAAAAAATGCATAGTTAAATGCATGCAACTTTTCATTTGGGAGTGTCCCTTTAATACAGAGATCAGAAAAGCGAAATCAGCCTATTATGGCTAAAAATTATTCCTTGATAATTCCTCCTCATTTCCTTGGTTATTGAATGAACCCTTGCGCCTTTATTATCTGTTTGCAGTTAATATATTGCTTGGGGCTATAGTTAGAGGTGTAACATCCAATAAACGAATGCAGTGAGTAATCCACTCTAACATTGCTATATAGTGGCATTTCTACTTACTGTTGACAACTGCTGTGGCTAATATGGCTGCCATGCCGGCCTGCTGGGGGAGCAGCTGGAACTCTGGAAGGCTGGATGAGCTCTGAGAGGTTTCTCCTGGTTCTTCTTTCACTGGGTAATTGGGGATGGCTTGTGGTTCAGCCATTAGGAAGGCCAGGATCACCTCACCTGGCTCTATAGCCTGTGATGTACGGCACCAAATCCGGTCACCTGAGGGGAAAGAATGTACTTTCCTTTAAACAAACAACAATTCTCCAAGAAAGTCATTCCGTTCTGATCAGGAGTTAGGGATTTATCCCAGACCATAAAGGAAGAGAGGAAAGGTTTAAAAATTGGCAAGACACTTAAAGAGCTAATGTTAACTTACTTCACAGGGTCAGTGACTCACCTTTCCTGTATAAAACAGAGTTGGCTTCCGCTTCACATGAAACCAGCTTTACGTGCTTTAGCCAGCAATCATCTTCCACATCCAACGATGGAGAGATGCTCTGCAGAAACAGAAGATTGCGTGTTTTACATTATGTAGAGAAAGAAACCAGTGTATGCTAATTTTGAGCTTTAACGGTCACCTGCACATTATGTAAATATGTAGAATATTAGTCATGTTAAAGCACAACATTCAGCTGTAACAGGTAAAAGAGACAAGTATGCGGTGGGGACAGAGGTGAAGGACATTATAGGGTAACAGCTTTATCTCTCATGACAAAAATACATCACAAAAAGAAATCAATACAATCTGCATTTTATTATACTCAGTATTTAACATTAAAGGAACAATACAAATCTGTATTGCTAACCATGCCACTGTCTCTCTCTCTATAGATGTGTGCCGCACTTATAGATCTACAAATTTGTCCTTCCACTTGGTTGCTGATGGCTGGTCAGTTGCAACCAACCAAATCTCCATGTAAATAATTCAGCTATTCACCAGCAGCAACTGATTTGCCATCATTAAGTGATACAAATCAGGTGAACTGCACCCAACACTCTACCTCTATCAAACCCTAAATTCCTGCAACCTACAGTGACATTACCTGCAGGGAAAGCCAGTTACAATTTAGATAAACTATTTTGAAATGAATCCCACGGTAACAGTGAGATCGGTTTGAAAATAGAAGGCATCCAATTCTGCTCAATCCGGTTTGCATTTTATTTGAATGTTAACAACTGAACGCAGGAGAAATGAGCTGAATTAAATCTACTGAACTGGCATTTAGTGACTAGACCCTTGTGTATTTTGTGAGACTGTAATGGGGGAAACAAAACCCTGATATTTATCCAACTGGCCACAGGGTGGCAGGATTGGTCCACCAGCTCCAAACTGCATGGCTTGAGAAGTGTCATTCCACACTGTAACTTATCGCAGAGATCGGGTGTTATTCTGTAAAATGTCACTGCTTGCTACTTTTGTTTCTAAACTCTGCCCTAGCAATCTGGGAGAAGATTTCAAGGCAACAGAGAGATGATGCTATGCATGTGCTGGGTATAGTACTTTAGTACTCCTATTCTGACAATTAACAGTAGAGGAGACCCTAGGAAGTAGCGCACCTAACAGAATAAAGGGATATCATCATTCTGGGAAACACAAGTGGCACATATAGGGTTAATATAAACCGTGACAGTGCCTGGTTCTAAGGGTTATAGGTTGCTCTGGATGTCGATTGAGAGCCCACCCTGAGCAGCCAGACTGGATCATTAACCAATGTCTGGCTGTTCTGTGTTTCTCTATAGACGGCACAGAGCGGACACGGAGCTCTCACCCGGTGTAATTACACAATGTGTAAACTATCTACACCAAGAGTCTGGTCGTTAAAATGTCATTCTCTGGGACAACTTCCGTTGTGTCTTTGTGGATTTACCATGAATGAGACACATACTTTGTGAGCTTGAGATGGATGGGCCAATGGCCTCCTGATAAACTCTAGAAATCACAGGCATCGAGATCCATGATATAATAACAACCGCTAATCATGGAGGGTATATAATTGGAGTCCATAGCTGGCCTCAGAATCACTATAAACTACAAGTGTTACTCCTTATACAAAGCAGGACATGATTGGTACCCAACGGTTCACTGGGTGAAGACTAAATTTATGGCTATAACCATTCCGTGTGCCTCAGTCATGTCATATGTAACCCAACCAACAGCCCTCAAAATGTAGCAGGCACCACTGTACCCATAACTACATGTAGCAATCACTGTCCCTTTCAGTAAAGGAAGATGCAGCCCTTAAACGAAGATACTATATTCTAGCATAGTCTCTGTGAGCCCCTATTCCATGTTTAATAACATACTAAAAAATGCACATGTGTAGAAATTGGAAAACGCAAGGCACTGCAGATAGTAATTCCCTCTCAGCCGAGATTCCACATGTGTCTGTGAATTGCAAGTTCCTGCAATATAAAGGCAGCCCTGGAACCAGGACGCTTTCTGTCTTTCCCTGTCTCTAATGAATATTAATGAGTGCAGAGAAAAGAGAAATTAATCTGCTTGATCCTCTGATGGCTGCATTGGTGACGATATGAAATCTAATTATTCCTTCCAATATTTCTAAGACCCTCGAAGTGAGGGTGATGGCGCTAGTCAGCTCTGGCTTATCACTGCGATAGGCCGTATGTTCGCTGTACGATAAAGAGACCGTATTTGCTGATGATGCAGAAACGCTTCTCATTGTCAGACAAGCTGGCAAGCTTTCTCACTCTCCGTATGAGAGAGACCACCATTTATTTACACCAGCAGTGGCACTGTGTGACCACACCAGAAATCACAGAAAAACAAACCGGGTTATTGACCAATTTCAATCAGCTTTAATTTGGGGTTCACTGAATGCACCCCAAACAAGTTATGTATGAAATAGTGGTTTTCAGGAATTTAATTCTCTGTGATGCAGATTGTTTGACACTCAATTTAATTTTACATCTGTAGTGAAGGACAAAGTGAGCCCAGTGCTCATTAACAATTGTGTATCCTAAGCCAGGCCCTTTTTACTGTGTCACTATTGTGAATTTTTCAGACTGCATTATAAAAGCAGAGTAGTAAAAATGAATGCAATAAAACATGGAAATAGCAAGTTTAAGGCCACAAAGTCTGAGATGGAGAACTTTTTTGTTCACCTATAACTGACTGCAGGCAGGCAACATTTTGAGTCCCACCACCAGCAGCGGCATGGAGAAATGCTTTAGTGAACCAGGTTGTGTTTGAGTATGAAGGAGTGGACAACTGAATGTATTACAGCAGAGCTTCCACAACTATATTTATTGCTGCGCAAGAGTCATGTTTGAATGAAGATTTATTCACTAACCTGGGGGCTGTGCTGGTGGATAAACGACATTAAAATATTAGGCCAAAAAATATTTTGGAATTAAATCAGACTCAAGCTGAGATGACTATTATTTTTTTTCCATATGAATTTGATATAGAGGTAGCCACACCTGGGATGCGCAGTAACATAGATTGCACATCCCAGCGGCAATGCAGGAGTTACACAGTCCTCTTTGTGTCTATGAGAAGATATGTTGTTTTCTCCTTCAACAAAGGGGTCAGTGTCTCTGTTCTGAACCTTGCCTGATAACCATCAGAAACTCTATCTAGACTGCATCCGCTGCTGCCTTATCCTGGGAGGGATTTCTCCAAACGCTGGCTGATCAGCAGAGGGCAAAAATGGAAAACTGCACTCAAACACTTGGCTACTGTATAAAAATGTGATTTTTAGAATCAAAAAACACCCAGCCAATTCTCTAACCTCATACTATTTCCCATGTACACAATGCTATAATGTACAGAGAGAACAGATTTTGCCTCTGCTGCTTTGTGATGTTAGAATCCTGCCGCACAAAATGAGCAGACAATGGCAGGCCTGAGATATGATGGATTAGCAAAGTTTAAAGATTACAGTATGTACCTTGTCATCTATGAGTCCTGATGCTGTATGGCAAATATTAAAACCAAGAGAGGCCAATGCCCTGAAAAGTGTAGTTCTACCTTTCACTGGGTCTGTCCTGACTTACATAGTTACATAGCTGAAAAGAGACTTGCATCCATCAAGTTCAGACTTCAACTCTTCCCTGCTCCCAATAGCCATAAATAATTTATAAATGCAGTTAGTTATTATTATTAGTGGTTTAGATGAAGTGTAGCACCAACATATAATGTGGCATTGTACAATGGGGCTTAAAATTATTATAATAGTCGTCTGTCGGACAAAATTATTTTTTTAGAGAGATGACTACAATGTGTTAAAGGTGGATTATTGAGAGCAGAAGGAAAGGCTTCAGCCGTAAACGTTACAGCTGCATGTGTGTACACAAGGACCCAAACAAATATACATTATATGGCTTTAGAATTTACATATAATGAATATTTATACACCAGGGGTAGGCAAACTTCGGCACTCCAGATGTTGTGGACTACACCCCCCATAATACTCCTAAACCCATAATGCTGGCAAAGCATCATGGGAGGTGTAGTCCAAAACATCTGGAGTGTCGAAGGTTGCCAATGCCTGTTATATACGGTTGCCCCAAGACCCCGCTATTTCATAAACTCCCCTGCTTTGGTGTGTTGCAATAAATATGCATCTGATAAAATCAGAGGTTAATTGAGAATGCATCATCCTTTAAAAAACTGTTGACTTTCTTTTACTAAACTAAACTATTTGAAGGGGGAGGATGTGCGACACTTAGGGAAAGGGGGGCAAAGGGAGGGCGGAAAAGGAGCAGGAGATATTTCGGCTAAGAGCCAGATAGAGGGGAGAGGAATTAAAAGGATGTTTAAAGTGTTAAAGGATGAGCCCGCTGCATCCTGCCCCTCCTAGGGCTTCACTGATAGCAAGGGGGAGAGGGAGGCAGAGCTGAGGCGGCTGCAAAGCATCAAGACACCCGATAAGGACCAGGGCGAGAGAGCTGTAATGTAGCGAAAATATTTAGACAATAAATGAAGTATTGGGAAGGCAGGCTGCTATCTTGTGTGGAATCAATCATTGAGCTGTCCTACGTCTGGCCTATTGGCGCCACAATATCATAACACCCCAAACGGGGAAGATAAGGGGTTAATCAAGGATTTCATTCTGCAGAGATAACAGGCTCTATCAGTATCACAAACCCAGCTTGCTCTCTTCTAATATTTTGAGCTTTAACCTTAAAGCAGACAAGATAACGACCCCAGTCCCCCCCCTGTACAAGATTCAGAAGCTCAGATTTTGTGCCATAATTCCCCCCACCCCTCCCCAACCTGAGAATTAACCATTTATTTTCTCCAGGGAACACTGCTGAAATGTTTTACTAGCTGATATCATACTGGAATAAACTAACACTAATGGCCGGTTTTTAATGTTGTCCTGCTACTTTCAAGGTCTGTGCTAGATGCAGGTATGAGAACGTTTACATCACATTTTCCACCGTGGGTGACCTGGGCTTTGGATTTCCATCTATAAGTTTGGGAATATGACTAGAAACCCACTTGTTGAACTACACAACTCCATCATCTAGCCTGTAACTTGAAGGTATGGGGTAGTTCAGAGATATTCTGTGCGACGTGCTGAGCGCACTGTCTGGTTCTGCTACCCATATCATTCAGACTTAACAGACTAACCTGAATTGGGCTTATTATGCCTGGACGCTTGTGCACTGTTAAATACCAATAGCTGCAAATAAAGTGTTACTCCAAGCATCATGTAGTGGGGTACCCTCGCCCCATTTCCTGGTATTGGGCAAATTACATAGCAAGGGTTTGTCCTCTCACATGTGTCCCCACTGGGCATTGATTTCCACTGTGACATCTGGCTTCTGCAGAGCATGACCGCTCTCAGCCAATGAATACCATTCTGTGTACAGAAAAATGCACAGAACTGACATTAGCTAGCCCAGAACTTATATTCCAGACTGGCTAATGTTGGCCTAATGACTCTGTCGTAGGTTAAACTGCATACATACAAGGACCATGACCACTTCCAATCACTGAAGTGGTCATGGTGCTTGAAAGACCCCCTTAATAAGAGGTTTTCCTGAGTGCATTACCAGTTCCTGGCACAAAGCCATAAAATAACTGAAATCGAGACCAGCTTGGCGCGGCTCAACCAAATCTTTGGCGGGTTCTGCCTCGAGTTAAGCCATGCGATTCATCCTATCGTGGGGACAAGACGCGGCAGAAGCATACCGTATTATTTACCTGCGGCCAACCTACTAATCAGTTCTGTAGCTGCTAGACGACCCGCCACCACACGCAGTTGCCCAAAAGAAGCGGAAGAAGACGCCACAATCCCCAGACACAGGGCTGCTTAGCGGGTCTTTTACTACCCATGACCGTTATCATGGGCTAAGACCTGGAGGGGACGGACCACAATGCACAACTCACACCCCTAGAGGATGAATACACTCATTATGTGGGACTTTGATCATGGTACCGAAAGTGTCCGGGTCAGTGGGCACTGCACATGGGCTCTCACTGGGGGCTGGGGCCAGTGAAGTGACCGGTACTGGAGGACCAAGACTCTGCATACTTCTGGGACTCTCAGTTAACCCCGGGAATTAGGTGAACTAGGCTGTGTAATTAGCCAATCGGTGTAGTGAGGTTTCGTTCACAGCACTCCAGCCAACAATATGCCTTTTCATAACACCATGGTTTGTTCCTCAATACATTATTACCTGCTGTTATATATTTACTTGTAATCACTTACTATAATGGATCAGCACTGTTATTTCCCTCGAACAGGGCATAGGTGGGTACTCTCACCAACTTGACCAGTTTACTTTTGGGACTGTTTTTGTTTTTTAATTTAAAACAAGGCTTTATTTTTACACGTGTGACTAAAAATAATTGTTGACTTGATTAACACAAATGTGTCAAGAAATTGGTTCTGCCAGATCTTGACACATGTCTTGTGCCTCTCTAGAATGCCACTGATATCACACTAATGTTTAAAAAAAATATACCTCAATAAAAACAGATTGTCAAAATCCCTGAAATCCATACCACCCCATGCATTAGGATTCTGTAAGCCACTTACTGGTTCTGTATGGTTGGGAGATGATGACGTGCCATTGAAGCTTCCTTTATAAGGACCCCAAGAAAAGCCTTCAGGCAGGTGACTCTGGGCACGGACCTGTACAATACCATCTGGGGAGGGTATCTCCAAAACCAGTTCATCTACAAGAGAAGAGAATACATTAAAGTAGTCCAATCCACTATATACTCCTGGAAACATCACTGCTGGCACACATGGGGATAATAGGCCACGCATTCAGCAAGTACTGAGAGCCATGTATTATTATTATTATTACACCCCAAAATAATGAAATTGCAGGATAAAGAGGTCAGGATGTAAATGATTTTTCTTCTAATTTAATTCCCATCGCTATTCAAAAGGCTATACACAAACTAGAAATGAACACACTCCTTGTAAAGTGCAGGTGCCCTGGCTGTTTAAAATAAAAAGGTTACTCTGTCATTTAACTTTTAAATTACCCTGCTATCAGTTAGATTCATGTGGATGACATTGTGATGAGGGCACCAACTGGTTACTCATGACCCACTTGAACAGAAAATCTTTAAGAACGTAAAATGTCTCTTTCTGTGATAGGAAAAGGCTGCTAATTAAACTCAGCTGTCCCTCCGTGATTAAGGGTGACACCACTGTTTAGTACATTGTAAGCCTTTCAAATAATAACTCAAGTGCCTTTCTGGAGAAAGGGCTGACATCCAAGGTCAGGGCACCAATGCCTAACTGATAAAGGCTCTTTGGGGCTGACACGTTTCATGTCAAAACATCCATCTATCTTCACTGTATCAAACCCCACCAGTGAGAATACACAGAACCACTGATAAACAACCATAGCAGGCTGGAAGGAAATGCTAACAAACAGAGCACAGTAGCAATAACTCCAGCAGTTATATTTCCCAGGGCAGCCTGTTTCAAAGAGCAGGCCATGTGGATCCCGGGTGCAAAGATGACAACGGAAATGTCTTTAGTTATCTGCAGATTAATGACTCAAGGGTGATCAGTTTCTGCGCAAACGAGTCTGCCGTGCCAGATCTACTACTGAGGGTATTTACGTACGGACAAGATCCAAAACCGTAACTAGTGATGTAATAATTCTACAAAGAGAAGAAAATAAATCTTCCAATACTACTCTGTATTGGTCGCAGGATTTGGCATAGTACTGACTACACTCATTAATTTCTGTAAACTCCAGTAATTCCTCATGGTGGGGAAACATTTGTAAAATAAACAGAGAGGCTCACACTCACTCCTTCCCCATCACTAGCGTGCTGAGATGGCGTTCTCGGCCGCTCCCTGCACCCCCATGCCAGCCTGTTATTCTCACACCTGATCATGAGCAAACAATGATAAGGGCTGACCTTGCCATCATTAATATTAAGCGCACTCAGTGAGCTAATAGTTAAAACTAATCTTTTCCCCCTGATTTATCATAGGAGGCAAAGTCCACTCTGAGTCCTATCTCTGTATCAATAGTGTTTGGTTCTCCGTGTCACCACACTGAAGCTAATAGAGTTTCCCCGTTATCTAATCTCACATCGCAGGCCAGCATCTGATTGGCTGACGCCAGCCAGCTGGTCTGCGAATTATCAGAATAATTCCTATCACTGGAATCATTAGGTAAACGTTGCAGGTAAATGGGGCTGTTTGCTCCTGATAAAAAGCACTCAGAAATAAAATAATAAATAACAGCTTTAAACTATTAGAGGGATCTGACGGGAGGGGCGGAGGTACATGATTTCTAAACCACGAGGGCACAGGTAGCCTTATAAGAAGACACTGACTGCATATTAATAGTCTAAGCTTGCCAGCATGTCCTGCCATTAGGGAAGGTACTGTTGTGTAAATGAATGGGGTATTTAATCCCTTCTCACCTCTGCCTGGTTGCAGTTAATGGGCTCAACCTGCATGACTGACAGCGGACATTAGCCAATAACCAATCTGCACGTAGTAAGAGTAGAAAGTAAAAAGGAGGGGGGGCTTAAACACTGAAACTAATTAACATTGACAATGAGCCTGATGATGTCCCTGCATTTACACAAAAATAAATTTAAACTTAGAAAATCAAATAGAATTTATTTTTTTATTTAAATGAAAGAAATCTGCCAAAATGCTTAAACACTGTATTGAACATAATAGAGGCAGTAGAAAAGCATAAAGCATGTTCCAGTATGGGGCATTCAGTAAAGAGCAGTCATGTCACTGATCGGGTCAGTTCTGTGTTCACAATGCTTGTACTGAATCTAGGCATTAGATGGTGGCGATACAAACCTGGCTGCATAATCTATATTACTCCAGAATACAATGTATTCATTAAGCTGCGACTTATAGGAACTTAGATACAATCTGCAAACATTTCAGAACTAAGCGGCAAAAATCCCAGTTCTAGTATATGAGCCAAGATGGCTGTTAGCATGTTACAGTACATGGTTTAGAGAATAATTCCACTTATATAACCGCCATGCGAGGTGTGTTGGCTTACATTTGCTTGGAACTCCTCATCTGACTCACTTGCACTAAAGTCTCAATATTTCAATACATTTTCTAGGCTCAACTTATTTTCTGTGCATTATTATATTGCTAGAAACAAGGACATGGATCCTCTCCTCATGCATGCAAATGGAAGGGAGTGTTTAATACGCAAAAGATTCCCAGGCGTCTTGTTTTCGGAAGCTGCCTGTCTGCTGCTGGCATTCTGGGAGCAGTTGTGTGTTCTTCTTTTTAAAAGGACCAGGTATTCCCTATCATATAATTAACCAGTGAAAGGGAGGGAAACAATGGAGGCTGCAAGAGGCCTCATAGACCAATTACACATCGTCAGCAACAGATGGAGTATGAATAAAGTCAATGTTGCAGTGGCACCCAGCTAGGAATAGGCCACGGTGATAAGGCAGACACAGCCGCCGGAGGCGCCCAAACACACTTTGCAATGCTCTCCTGGCCTCTGTGGCAGTTAAAGGGTTAACATGTTATAATACATACAAAGGATAATAATAAGTAGCCAGGAAAGGTACATTCAGATTATTCAAGTACGAACTGGGGATTTTACCTCAGCCCAACATCCAGGGGTTGATACTATTACCCAATTTAATGGTCCTCATTTTATCTACCTCGGAAGGATGAAGGGCTGAGTCAACCCTGCCGGGATTTGAACCTGCGATGTATTTAAATATATTTCATATTTGGCCTAAATGAAAAGGTTTTTTTTGTTTTAAAGAAACTGTGAGGCTAATGATTCATGCATCTACTACTCCTGTGGATAATTTCCGGAAACTGAATGCCAGCTTTGGAATGCTCTGCACCTATATAAAAGGCCAGTATTAATGTGCTATCTACAGCCTTGTTTGATAGCACTATGTATATCAACACATTATGGGATCCTCTGGCACACAAGGAGTTAATCCTCGAAGCCAGAGGGCGCCATTTTTTTATTCTTAAAAAGGAGACGTGACTGAGGTGGTGTGCACCGATAAGAGACGGCCTAATGGGGCCTGCGGGTTGGATGAGTATACCCCGACTGATCATAATGCGGCACAATCTCACTTCACATTTATTGATTTTTTTGACACAGCACAAACTCAAACCTTTATCAACAACGAACTGTGACCCACACTAATAGCTTGCTGATCATACCTCCCAAGGAATCAAATGCACAGATATTAACACTGGATTATGCAGGAGACGCAGCGAGGAGGGGAGAGACGGGCTGCCTCGGATACAAGGGTTAATCAGACGTACAGGGATATACCCCATTCCTCCCATTGTTTAACCAAAAAACAAACAAATGCCTGGAGCTCTGATCATTCTTTTGGTGTCTCAGAATTGGGTCGATTCTCAAGAAGGGTTATCTAATAAAATAAATTTTTAGGAATTCAAAATTTCAGGCCGCAACAGTCACACTGAAAAATATTCTCCAATTTTGCTATGATTTTATCAAATGTGGCTTAAAATTCACATTGAATTCCCCCAAATCCCCACTTTAGTGAATAAGTCTGTCACGAAGGGACTCTCCATTTTACATCGGTACTTGATCCTCTAGCCTAGACGTCGGTATGCAGTACTTTCAATCCAGGAACAGCCTAACTGAGAGGGTAGTGGATGCATGGAATACCCTTCCAGCTGAAGTGGTAGAGGTTAACACAGTAAAGGAGTTTAAGCATGCGTGGGATAGGCATAAGGCTATCCTAACTATAAGATAAGGCCAGGGACTAATGAAAGTATTTAGAAAATTGGGCAGACGAGATGGGCCGAATGGTTCTTATGTGCCGTCACATTCTATGTTTCAGCCACACTGCTTCATAAATTTTACAAATTGCAAACAATAAGTAAATAAAGAAGACATAACATAGTATGTACAACGCTGCATTAAGCCGATCCACAGAATGCTCACATACAACAAATAAAAAAAAAAAATAGTAAATGAAAATCCAACTCAGGGAATATATGGTTAATTTCTTATAATGACAAGATCATATGTCCGCTCTGTATTCTAAAGGATGTAAGGGAGGAACTCGTGTACACATAATATGTAATCATATAACTTCCAGGATCTCTCTGCTTGAACACTGGTGTAAATAAAGCTATAAGAGGCTGCATCACCGCCAGAAGAGGGTGCACGTTTTAACCTGGGTTAGAGCATGGGCAATTTGTATTATTTATTCTGCATGTTTTCAGCCAGACAGTGTAAACATAACAAATATCCACATGTTTATACCACAGTGATGGATGCTTCCTTTTAACCTGTTCATTGCCAGTGGCAAGGAAACAGACCTTTCTCTTCAAAGCTGTGGATGTGCTGAGGGTCAGAGGGGAGGAAACACGCAAAGACCATGGCCAGGTGCTGGCCTGATCCATCATTCTGTGGCTCTCTGCAGCCCTACAAAGCATTAGTAAGGAGGAGAAAGCGTTTGGTCTGCTCAGGAAGCAGAGGACTCGGCCGTGGGTTGGCCGTCCAAGGATAGCAAAGCTTCTATTCCCAGGAAGCCAGGGGCAGGAGAAGGAAGCAGAGTGCAGGGCGATTAGCTCCCTGCAAGATACGATGAGCTGTCCTGATATCCTGTGCCGGAAAAAGGGGGAACCACATCTCTGATGTCACCCCAGTTACTGATAGCCAGAGGACAGCTGTGAAAAATGGAGCCTCAGATTGTCAGCAGCTACCCGTAGGAGATGGGAGGCGGTGGGGTGGGGGGTGAGGAGAGTGTAGGATCTCTGCCTCTGAAACATGGCAATGAGAAGCAAAAGGTGCCCAATTTTAAATAACCTTGATCAAGTGACAGGAAAATAGCAGGCTGGTTTGTGATGTCTACGTATTTCATTGGACTCGAGTAAATAAATAGATCCTAAATTTGTCATTTTCAAAGTATGCATACACTTTATCACAATAAGGGGAACACATTAACTATCAGTATGTAGTGCCGAGCTGGCTGCTCAGAGATGCTGGAAAAGAACGTGGCAGGTGCTTGGGTGTATTCTATGAGAAACTTTACTACACTTTTGTGATTTTTCTTAAGTGGAGAAATGAGATACAATTTGTGAACAGATTGCATGTTCAGCATGGTGTGATCATTGTGCACAGTCCAAATTCACTACGGATGAAATAATCCACTCAGTAGAACACGTTAGATCTTGTCCTCAACCTTTTTTTAAAGATACTAAAATTCTCCCTCTTATTTTGGAGATGGGAGTGTTAATCTAAAACAAATAGTTCTATCAGCAGTCAAGTTCTGTTTGATAAAAGGGAAAATAGCTTAAATTATTTTACCCACCCACACATACCAAAAAAAGGGCTCTTTATCAAGGCAATCTCTCCCTCCCCTGTCCATCGGAACATGCTGTGCTGTGGTACACACTACTGCTCCCCTGATAATGAAGCCTTGAGGTTTTCACCAAAACTCCAGGCATTTGGAGATTAAGGAGGCAGGAGTCGAGAGGGAGATAAAAATAACTGAAGCGGGTTTTCATCATGTTTAATGAGATCCGTTTAAATTAAACTAAAAACGGGACAGTTCAACTGCAAAAGGACCTTGTCTAACCAGACAGGAGACGAATTGGAGACAGATCTAAGTGGGTCCGGCTAATAGTGATGCCAGGTATCTAAAAGAATGGGGGAGATTTCTCAAAGTGACAGACTGTTTTGCTCTTTTTTCTGTGTGCACTATTAGGTTTTTTTTTTAGTTATGTCCTATTAATTCTGAATTTACACAATTGTTTCGGTGACGCAATGGACTTAGTTATCTTTCCATCACTTTTTATGCCAGAAAACGGTTCTGTTTTACATCTCTCTTTTCCACTACTCAGAATTAGGCAGTCTTATGTAAAATATAAATTTCTTCGATAAATTGGTGGAATTTAAGCAGAGACACATTTTTGGACCATTTTTTATGAATTGATTTGAAACCAAAAATAAAACCCTTTTCACAACATTTTGACGAATCTTCCCCATTGTCTCCAAAAAGAGTCCGCTTTAAAAGATGGAAGTCTGTACACAGGGTGACACGTTAGCCTAATGAAGTTTGAACACCTGTTCTTGTGTGCAAGGTCCAAGATGCTGTCAAGGACATAGCACAATGCTCAACTGGGACACAGTCTGTGCATGCCATTTTTAGGTCCCAGTCTGCACATGTTCACCTGCCCACATATGATGGGTGTGACATTCCATAACTTTAGCATCAATGCTATACCATCTTATCTTTAAAGGGACATTGTAGGCAAAACAATTTCATCTCATTGAATTGGTTATAGTACCTGGAGTCCCCTGACACTGTTCCTACATTCAGTGTTAAACTAATTGTAACACTGAATGAGGGCACCCGGCTTCCCATAGCTCCACCCCCACTGGAGGTTTAGCTAAGGCAGAGATTACACACTTCCTTCTAGCTATACCGATTTGTACCTGAATGGACACTATGATAGGCTAAAATTGCTTCTCTCAGCCAATCACAGCCCCCCATCGTTCCTCAGGCTAATACATCCTCATTAGCTAGAGCAGCACATGAGGAGTGGGAGGGGTGGTGGAGTTGAGCTGCTGGGGACTTTCGTATGACATTAAAAACAGTCTAAGACTTATTGGATGGATGGCTCTAGAGGACTCCAGACACTATAACCACTTCAATGAGTTGATGCAATTACAGTGCTTACAGTGTTCTTTTATGTGACCTTCAGATAAGAATAATGCTTAATGTTTAAACCTGCTGGCGATATTGCATGCAGCAAGAATATATTAAACAGGTTTGCCTACCCAGAGCCATGTTTGGTGGAATAGACCGCAGTATTTTAAAACATGAAATGCGTGTTATTAACCAACTGTCCCTTGTTTTAAGTACTGTGCAATAGCTGGAAGGCCATCGGAGGAAAATTTGCATGTCTTGCTAAAAACAAATCTTCAGTATTTACTACATGCACCGCGCTGTGAATACACGTGACGGAGGCTTGCTGCATCTCTGCATATTTAATTACCTTGCAGAATTCACTATTACATTAATACTATATTTTTTATGTTGTACAATTTTTTTTATTTTTTTATATAGCATTATATTTTGTCCAAAATTAGCGGTTCAGATCTGCCCATGTGTTTCATTCTGGCTCCCGGGAGTGCGATGTCGTTGCCAAACGGAGAGGGTAGATCTGCATTGCAACCTCTCTGCACAGCAAGCTTTTATCGAACACATTCCATCTAACAAACTTCCAGTGTGTTAAGTATAGAGATACTTTATACACATCCTGTGAATTGCATACAATTTGCAGCAGGACGCCAGCCAATGGACTGCCATTATCTTCATAACATCAGCATCAGATTTCAGATTAAAACCAGGCAATATAGTAGGTATTACAGGTCACGTTAGGCAACCGGGCTGTAAAAGCCAAATTAGTATCAACATGCAGGACGGCTTCCAACACAGAAAGCGCTCTCTACATTGCGAACTGCTCCGCAAGCTGCCAGGGAAGGGGTTAAAAACCCAAAACGGTAGCACTCGCGGTTTTAAAGCTGCTCTAGCAGAGCGGAAGCCTTGACACACGGAATGCATTATGTATAAAGGCTGTGAATAATGGGCATGCTGTCCAATAAATTTCATGGAAACGTCGGTAAACCTGTAAACCTGGCAGTGTAACGTACATAGAGAGGGCAGAGGGCGGCTAGCTTATCTATAGCCATTCATCCCCTGGCTGCCGATGGAAGCCCATTCAGACAGCATCTCTGCCCCGCTCGCAAATAATGACCGTCTCAATTTTTATTCTCCCAAAATAACAAAATGTCCATAAAAACGGACAAGGCACAGCATTAAAGCCATGTAACAGGCGGGGAAGGCGTTTGTTTACTAAATTGGGAATCCTACATTTTCAGCTACAATAACCATATTGGGAAAACTTCCAGAAGATCCTTTTCCCGCTTGGTTATTTTAGGGTAAACTTTGCAATTGCCCACAACTGCCAGCTAAGTTAATATATCCCTGTGACTTTTCCCAGGCATTCAAACATCCTGAGCTTGACACCCTGCACTCTTGATCATCAGACCGGTTCCATCATGAATCATGGAACTCATGTCTCTGGACTAAGAGGATTATGTAAGGCCTTAAATCAAACTTAGAATGACGATGAGAGTCACCTGCGACATATGGTCATGTAGTACAAGGAGCCCCTCGTAGCCTGTACCCAGTTGCCGATAACAGCAATGAGAGATGCAGAATAGTTGTGGGGAAGATTGAACAAATTCGTCCTGAATGTTGATCAATCACCATAGAAACCAGCTTCCACATTCAACCGGTGACACCACCCTTTTTATTCGCCCCAGCACTTTTCAGAAGAGAAAACTAGAATTAATCTTCCCCAACGCTTCTCTCTGTTAGTAGAAGATCTTGCATGGCATATGCCCATAAGGTAGAGACATGAAAGTCTCCCTCATATGTTTTTACAAGGGAACTGGTACATGCTCACAACCAGTCCTAGTTCCACTCATGAAAGAATGAAGCCACAAATCTCATCTATAGGATACGCTCAGCATTTCAACTGCAGGGACAGAATTATCTGAGAACTTTCTACCTACATGTCTGAGGAGGTTTACTATGGAAGCTGCAAGTCACAGGGATTCTGGTGGATCTTTGTATTTTTAATTCTGCATTTATATAAAGACTGGTATAGCAGCAGTTTACATATCTACGGCACCAATAACGAGATATAGTTTTATTTAAATATTACGTACAGTTAAGTTAGAACAAGGCGTCAAACTTTGTCCCAATTTGGAAAACTGACCATTCTCCCAGAATTATATGAGCTGTAGTCTAACATTCTATATTCCACAACCTAGATAAAAATTTAATTTTACTGTCTAGAAAGTGCTGTACAACGATATACATTTTATTTTACAGGCTGTGACTATATTGGATTTGTCTTTAATCTAAAAACAGTTTTTTTGCTACAATGATTTCCTATCAGACCATTTAAAGGCTGGAAAGTGAATAAAAGCAGTTGATATTTCATGCAGGACTGAGTGGAGCAATATAGACAGATGGGTATGGTCAGGGGGAGATTTGGGGAACAGTTTGCTAATCAATTCAAAGTGCTCCATCTGTACGTGCTCCCAAGTTGGGGATTATAGATTACAGTTATCAGCTATTTGCATATCAGAATATTAAGCAGTAACCCCCCCCTCCTCCCCCTTGAGCGAACAAGGTCATTTGAAAAGATAAAAATGTATGGTTTCATTCTTGCTTTCACTCGCAGACTCAACTTGTCTCTCTGAATATAACATTAACAAAGACATGATAGAATGTGACCTCATAAGCCATCCCTCCCCCACACTCATGTTAAATGGGGGATCTCAGGTCAGTTTATAACCCGGTAACCCAGTTATCTTGCATTATGGAGACCTAGTGGGATCTAATAGGTAACGCTACCCATCATCAATGCTCAATTCAGTTATTGGGGTGACTGACTACCCCAAGATATAAAATTGCATACATGCCAACTACTGAGATTTGTGCGTGGAGAAAAATGTAATGCAAATTTTCATCTGAATCAAGTAGACTCTGCAATACGATCACTTAACCCCTTAGAGATTAATAGTATGTGATGCCGCCGTTCATCATAACCTAGGTCTATGCAATGCAGCTCCAAACAGCTACATAGTCATGCATGTCAACGGGTTTTTCGTTTTGGGATAGGCTCTTTGAAGACCACTAAGAGCAGTCATTGGTCCTTTGCAGGTTAAGTGAATGTTAAGGAACAAAGAAAGCAAAGATTATCAATTGTTCTATGCACTTTAAAGCCCCATTAATGGAAAGCCATCCAACTGGATCCAAGGTCCCTCAACTTGTTGGAAGATTTCCATAGCCACTTATGGGACAAGTTTGTGCAGTAAAGGATTATGGGAGTTGGGAGGTTCTTGGCTCTCGAAGGAGGTTGAAGAGATCACTAAATACTCATGCATACATCATGACAGACACAGCCAGTCCTGCTATGACCTATACGCCATGAATGCCATTGAGACTTTTATTGTGCTGTTATTAGCTTTTAAAAAGCAACTAACCAAAAGACCCTGACTGTGCCCACCCAGCGGCCAGTTCTGTCAGTGAAACGAACACTATGCACAAACTTGTATGAGTAACGCTGGGCTGTCTCTTATTCTGCTGCTTGTAACTGGAGAAAGTCTAGCCCCATTGACCCTGGTGGTTTGTACTGGCAGAGCCTTCTCATCCCCTCCTATTCCCCTCCAGAGTTTTTTAAGAACACACACTAGAGAACAACAGACTCCATTCTTCACATCATGGAGCTGGGCGAGACATTGGCACTGCCAGCCTGTTCTCATGCAGAATTACTCATGTAGGCAGGATCTCTGATAAAAACAGAGTGAAGGGGTCTAGCTGCAGGAAAAATAGCTGTCTGTGCCGAGCAGACACTCTCTCCTGGGGCTAAGCAGGCGTTATGTATACACTAAAAGTCACTCAATGAACCTGGGCCACTGGTGTTCTGACTGTGCTAGACTTTAACTACAATGTGCAGTACATTCACTGTGCTTGGAGCTGGTGTTTAACAACATACTGCTGCAGGCTTCGATTAATGGAGAAGACATAGGGCCTCGTTATTTCTGGATTTTATTTATAAGTTGTTTTGGGGGAAGCAACAATTTGTTTCAAGAGAAAAAATACAAACAAAACTTTTATTAATTGTGTTTCTTGTTCATAACCGCAATACATATCTAGAACAATTCTACTATATTATTCATCTCTGTTAGTTGGTCATTCCATGTACCTACAAGTCATGTCACAAAGGGTCCCTCACTCTAAAAAGTAACAAAACTCCATAAAATGTATGACATCACCAGATATCCTAAGAATATTGCTGAACTGAAACAGTTCTGTAAAGAGGAATGGTCAAGAATTACTCCTGACCGTTGTGCACGACTGATCTGCAACTACAGGAAACGTTTGGTTGAAGTTATTGCTGCCAAAGGAGGTTCAACCAGTTATTAAATCCAAGTGTTCACATACTTTTTCCACCTGCACTGTGAATGTTTACATGGTGTGTTCAATAAAAACATGGCAACATTTCATTCTTTGTGTGTTATTAGTTTAAGCAGACTGTGATTGTCTATTGTTGTGACTTACATGATGATCAGATCACATTTTATGACCAATTTGTGCAGAAATCCATATCATTCCAAAGGGTTCACATACTTTTTCTTGCAACTGTATATACACACACTGTTTTGTTAAAATTAGATTGATCCTAGGTGCATTTTACAAATATTAAAAGTAATTTTTACACTTTAAAGTTTTGTTTGCAATTTAAATATTCTGTAGCAAAGCTTATAATATAAACAAACAATGGGTAAACTATGTACTAACTTGCATGACTAGATAGAGGCAGCTCCCACAAAGCTTTGCCACACAATGCAGCACCCAGTATCACCGAAGAGGTGACAATGAATATATATTTAGATTAGATACACAGTGTACAGGTATGTAAGCCATCATTACTTTAGGGCTCACTTAGATTTAGGAAATTATTCCAGTAACTTAATACTCGAATCTGCACATATCTGTTAGTTTTTGTAACAGTGCACCGGCAAAGGTCTTTTTACGTCATCAATCGATAGCGTAGCCTAACCAATAGCGTCCAAGAATACTTTGTCACTTTTTGGCTACAATACTGAGAAATGCTGGAGGGACAAGAATAATCCTTAAATACAATGGTTGCTCATGCATTAACTGTGAGCAAAACATACTCTGGCCACCTAAGCTAGACGAGTTCCCCCCAGGAGGAAAGCACGGGAGCGGACTAGGGAGGGTTCACGTATTCGGGTGACATTGGGATGGGCTCCTTCTGGAAGGCCACACACCGGTGGTGGGACGGATAGACTAAAATTTGAAACATATTCTTCATATATAAATGCTTGGAGACCTGCGTGTCTCATCAGTATCACTTACTTTGAGAGATCTGCGAATCTCGAAAGTTTTTTTTGTTGTTGTTACACTGTTTCTATACACTCTGAACGTAAAGCTGCATTTTATTGTTTCTTTGATATGAGAAAACCTTCAATAAAAGGCTATTTAACAAAAAAAAAAACTGTGAGCAAAACAGTCCACTGGTTTCCATGGTGACTGCTCCACTTTTAATACATTGCCCCAGTTGCTCGTTAAACAGAACCTCTATAATACCCTATGTAACGCTGGCCCTTGAGAAGCGGAGTACGTCATGTTACAGATTAAGTCTGTGTATACTTAGAGGAATCTGCAATTACCTAACAATGGCACCGGGTTAGCGTGTCTAGAGGTATCAAGGGAGCTCTTGACATTTTATATACAAAATCAACTGATGCAGTTACCTTTAATGGAATGTTAAGCACATTGGAGTATGTGGACACATTTTGTTTTGGAAGTTGAGGCTAGCAATGTGTCTGCATAGAGATAAAATATAATATCTGAAAATCTGTATTATCTGTTTAGGTGAAGTTTAGGATGAATGCGACAACCACAAAGGGCGAAGAATTGCAGAAAGGGTTAAAACACCTCTCTGGGAGTGGAAGCTGCTACATAATACCCCATTACCCACAAATGTCACCCAAGTGGCTGTTCTGCCAGTCCCCAGGCTTGTTTTACAAGCTGTGCAGTGCAAACAGAGGGGATCCAGTGCCTTTGCCAGAGAACACGATGGGACCCTGATAGCAATCAGAGCCTAAATTATTCAGCACAGACTAGATGCAAGGCAGGAGTGCAGGGAATACAAAGGAAGGGGCAACTTGTTAACATTTGTGTACAGGGGCTTGGGAAACGCAATCCACCATGTGGTAACAATACTCCCAGCACCGAACGGCAGAGAAAACAGCCATTTCTCCCCCCTGGATTCAATAAAGAAATAGGCACCACATCTATTCATATCCTTAACCTACTGAATAGAAATGCACAAACTTAAGAAAAAACGACAAAACTAAATATATGCATCACTTTGTAAAGAAATGGCTACTTATATAGAGCTATATTGTTGCGTTGGCAGAATCCTATACACTGCTTTATATCACCGGCTGACAACTGGACTAATGCAGAGGGATCCGGCAAACAACATCCACTAGAACTCCTGAATGATCTGTCAGCGCAAGGTGCTACTAGGAACAGCACCAGGGGACCAAAAGGAAATTTAAGCTCTATCGTCCAAATCATGTCCTTGGATAGATTTTTAGATAAAACATTTTTTAAACTGTACTGTAAATCTCTGCCTACAGCAGTCTGACTAATCTGGGAACCCCAGCCGTTATTAACACCTGGTAGTGTGATATAAATACATTCATATTAACACACTGCAACATACTGTGCTACGGCAATAATGAAACGTTTTAGCCCATTGCACATGGGATACAGGTATCACAATATAACATTAATAACAGAACTGCATGTTTTACTATGACCCTAACTGGAAACATTTCGATTTTTCTCTTTCTCCCCAGAATAATTAAAGTCTACCAGTGACGCAAAACCCCATCCATCAACGCAAGGCACAACTACAGTGACTGTGGCGATATAGTCTGTTTTTACATTGAAACATTGTATTCACATGTAAGTTTAACGGTAAAGGAACTATTTCAGAGTTATTATACACACGTTCTAGTTAGGATCGCCCAATTTAGACTTTGATTTAATATTTTGGAAAAGCTTTTCAAGTAATAAATAAATAAAATGTAAAAAAATAATTTTAAGAATTATTCTAAAATTATTAAATTATCTGAAAAGCTTATCCACAAATATAAAATCGAGGCCCTGACATGCTTTCCGGGACATATCACATTCAAATGCCTGGGGGGCAGTGTGTGGAAAATGCTGCCCTGCATTGTGAAGAATACATCAATAACTCGGCAATGATCCCTCCTATAGCATGTGATTTCTTCATACTGCAGGTCAGCATGTGATTTCTTCATACTGCAGGTCAGCACTTTTCATGATTAAAGATGGACATATGCTGTAAATGGACATTATTTTTATAGCATTAAAAATAAACTTTAAAAAAAGCAAACGCTCCCCGAAATGTAAGGTGTAACGTCTTGCCCAGTACTGTTTTGGTAAGTGCTCAGGAAGATTCCCATAACCCCCTGCACAGTTTATCTCCTATGTTAGAAGTGGGAACTGCTTTATAAACTTATAACAGATATACCATAGGTCACTGTTTAGTGAACCAGGTTGTGTTAAAGGGTCACACAAAGCACCATAACCACTTTATCTTACTAAAGTGCTTACGACAAAAATAGTCTGCAGGAGTACTTTTTTTTGGGAGCATGTATGGTCGCCTCCTTTCCCTGGACAGTCAATCAGCTAGATGGACTTATTGTGACCTTGCCAGCAGAAAGGGAGGGGTTACGGTATCAGGAATCCCCTAGTTCTTTTCATTTAAACCACTTGAAAAGACTGACAAAAACCGGGGAGAGAAAGTAGACAATAATCCCAACAATAAGCCATCAAATGCTGTGGTTATGGTGCTTGCAGTATCTTTAATGATACCAGTGCTGGAACTGCCAAACCTAAAAGCAGAGGATTATAATGACTGCAAAGTTTAACACTTGGTCATTAAAGGGTTAAAGAAATGGGCCAGTAAAGCCAGGTGTAAGAGGGTTATATTTTTGTTGGAATAGATTTGCGTAACAAAGAAAAACAGGATGATTCCCTTTACTAATGGCCGACCAATTTAGCCGCAGTGATAATGTCAAACTATCATGAGCAGGAGTAAACTGTCGAGAAATTCATCCAATAAACGCAAGCTCCCGTTTAACACACTGCAGTATGCTGGAGACACCTCGATTAATAAAAATACTGAATAAGACTTTGTCTCGTTATTTTCTCTCCATTTTTTTTAAACTCTCCCCTTTTCACCAGGGCTGTCCCTGATAAGTGTGAAGTCTGCAGAGGAACTGATAGAAGGCCTATCAGGAGGTTACGTGTGAGCCGAGCATCCTATCGGCGCTCTATCACAAGCGCTGCCATCTATTCCCAGCCACATAGAAATTAATATCACTCCAATTACCAGAATAGAGCCAGGCTGGATACAGGCGATAGGGAAATATCTCTTACAGAGAGGATGTGGAAGCAGCAGGGGGAGAGAGAGAGAAAACCAACCAAAAAAAAAACACAAGAAAATTCTAGAGGCAGAGATAGGACTTTCTGAAACAGACTATAAGAGAGGACAATAAAATACATTAATAGAGAGAGGGCTGGACAGCTAGAATCAGATCCAATAACTAACCAATAAATGCCACTTTTTAGAAATAAGACCACTATGCTCTATGACATGAAATCCCAGGCGCCAGGTCGCCATGGCAACTAAATATTTTGCCCTGGCGCTTGGGATTTGTCAGCTTTGTTTAATCTAAAATGGCCAGCTGGGCATATAATGGAGCCGGCCGTCCACCCGCGGAAGCATGTAAGCGGCCGGCTGAGTGAGCCTTGTAGCCGGCCATCCTGGGCTTTATGGAGGTGGCTGGCACAGTGGAGCATCAAGGCGGTCGGCTGGGGCAGCGTGTGAGGGAGCAGTTATCTTCCAGCGGCTCCTCTCTGCTCCCTTGCCCACTTTAATGATGCCAGGAGCTGGAATATGATGTCATTCCGGCCCCGGCATCACAGGGAGCAGAAAGTAGCTGCATAGTAGATCACTGCTCCCTCTCACACAGGAAGAGAGAGCAGCTCCACTGGACTCCAGGGAAAGTCCACTCAGCTCTCCCAAATGTAGGGAGGCTGGGTAGATTAAAATAAAAAATTTAAATTTGTGAGTGTTCGCGAAAGTGTATGTATATATATATGCCTCTGTCAGTGTGTGTGTGTTTAGGTACCTGCCCCCCTCCGATCACATCATTGGTGTTTTTACTCACCCTTTTTCCCCACACCGTGCATGTTTTGCCATGGCTTGTCCCACCTCTGTTGCAGAGTTCATTAATCTTTATGATCTCAGCTAAGCCAATGCTTTCCCATAGGAATGCATTGGAAGGATATTGCGCATGTTCTCTATGGGTAACATTCAGCGACTCCATGCAGAGCACTGACACAGGACTCTCTAGTGGCCAATCGAGTGACAGCCACTAGAAGTCTTAGTAGACAGCAATGTAAACACTGCCTTTTCTCTGAAAATGCTACAGGGACAGGCTATAGGCACTAAAACCAATACATTAAGCTGTAGTGGTTCTGGTGACTATAGTGTCCCTTTAAAAAAAAAAAAATGGATTTTTTTTTTATTTTTTTTTAAATCTGGCTCCTAGATTCCAAACAAATTTGTAGCCCTGCTCTATAAGTTTGCAGATATAGACACACAAACCCACTATCCGATGCCACGTTTTAAGACGCTGGGGGTTATGCCAGAGCAAATCCATGGTTATTTGTAATAGATCCCCAGCAAACAATGAACATGAAAAGAGAGGGACAAAGCCCGGGAAATGCTGATAGAAAGTACTTAAAGTTTAGCACTTTATTTCCCCAATGTTAATCCATTATCTGCACACAGAGTACGGAATCTGCAAAACAATCGGCATTTTCCAGCAGGGCTGTACGTGTATCCTGTGCGCGGTATTGCGAACGTTACTTCCTGCTGGCAATTCACATTCATTCAAAGAAAGAATTTATTCATTTTATTTTTTTGCACTAGCAATACCTAAATTTCGATTGTGCCAGAATCAGGAAAGTGACCGTTGCTATTTAAAATCATGCAAATGGTTGGCGTCCAGCATCTGTCCTCCATCCTTTGAAGTACCACATTTCCCAGAATACCATGCCAGTCAGCACCCTTGATAGTAAAGGTAGGAAGGCAAAACTGAAAGGGCTAATTAACCAATAACAGTTTTCGTACCCAAAACAAATTTCTGTTCTCAAACACAAGACAACATAGCCCTTCATCCTGCTTATTGCTGAGGTTTTAATTTAATCATTCATGAAGAAATCATTCAAATATTCCATTCCTATCGGCCACAGATTTATTTACCACTTTGTCTGAAAGCATAATACGATCCACTGGTATGTGAATGTATATCTAAACCATAGACCTCCCCTATTTATCTCTACACGCTGCACTTTATGGTGTGCCCTTGAAAAAAAGTCTTACACATAATTGGCCGATGTGTGGAAAAATTGCCCTAAGGCCTAAGCATTCCTGGTTTTCAAACAGGTACCTACAAACTAAGCAACCGGTTACATTGTTACAGGTATTGGGAGAGGGAGGACATGGCACATTTTACAGCTATAAATCAATGTAAAATAAAACGAATCACACTAAGCCCTGAATGTAGATAAAAGCAGCATTAACTGTCAGGGTGCCTGTGCGGGACAAACTTGTTTGAAGCTTGTCTTCTAAAGGCTAACTGAATTCATGCTGTTAGCAGGGTTCACTGCTAATCAGGTACAAATAATAGTTACATGCCAGTGGAGGTCCTGAAGGTCTACAACACACTACACGGGAGTACATTTCTAATTGTCAATTGCCAATTGCAATGCTGAGTCCAGCTGTTAGTAAACAGGATTAAGGGTAGGAGTAGCGTGATCCAAAGATTGGGTGACAGAGAAGCAGAAAGGACCCCTGTGTTTATGTCATGTAGCTGACAGAGCTGCCAGTCAGAATAAGAGTTAAAAGAGTGGAATATATGCATCCACACGTGTACTGATTCTGCCAGCAAAGCACATGTTCAGAATCCTATACCAATCCATATACAGGGCATTGGTTAGCTGGAATGAAGGTTCTTTCTGCTACAATAACACACCCCTTGAGTTAACCCTTTATATGGAGAGGGAAAGCAGTCAAGCTGCACATCCCATCAGCAGAGATTAGATAATCTCATTGAGGCAGTGTCGGTTTCATCAGCAGAGTTCACGGGGGCGCAAAGATGAGATCTATTAAGGCAAGGGTCACATCCCAATATACAAAAAAGCACATCCTTCTATTAAAATGAAAATAAATAAAAAACAAAACAAAAAAAAAACCATGACAAAACAGATATTAAAAAGCAAATTAGGATAGGTAACCTCTGTCACCGTCACCCCAACCACTGTGGCCTACCTCTCATCAGCATGGACAAATCAAGAAAACGTTACACATATATTGTAATGTTTATTGGTGTTTTGGTCCCTGCCTGTAACCATTGCCCAATAGTGGTCAGCTGTGAACTGGCATTATTATCCAAGAGAAATTGTATCATATGCAGGTCCATTGGTATTACTGTATCCCATAAAACATTGCCACTTCAAGTAACTGCGCTAGCGGCTGCATTCCCCAAACTAAACAAACTGATTGTCAAATTGTATCATAGACTAAATAAAGCCCCTTTAAGGGTCAACGTGCAACTTTCTTATTTTTAATAACTTTTCTTGCTAAAAATATAACTTCTTCATTGAAATACCGCCTGCATTTGCTAGAATTATGCAAGAATGGCAAGGAGTTTGAGCTCCTGATTGCAAAAATCCACTTTTTCTGTAAATAATAAAATAAGAGGCTGGTAGTATTAGCATGACGCTCAGTTTCAATGTTGATGTTTACTACAGAGAAGAACACTCTGTATAAGGAGAATGAAAGTTGTAGACATAAAAGTGTGGCACACAGATTACTGCTCCTGCCACGTACTTGCAGTAAATGGGCAATATAATTACTAATAAAACCAAAAACAGCATTGGCGTTATCACAGTTTCCATATCAGGGTACTATATCCCCTATCCTGATGCCTGTAACGGTGACTATCATTTACATAGTTTGTGAAGAACTAAAGTAGAAGGGACTTCAGCACAGAAACATTGACCCAACTTTACAAAGTAACTGCTGCTATTGTCCCCATTTTGAATCCTCTGGATTACCTTTGCATCACACAGAAGCTTTCTATGGATTTATGTGCCACTCTTAACATTCATTTTTGGACTTCTTTATATCATTTTAACTACTTTCCTTCCGAGTAATTAAAACATAGCATCGTTAAGATCGGTGTGCACCTACAATCAGTGCAGCAATTCATCTGGTTGAATACGTGCCACCTATTTCCTATCTGACAGTTTACTTCCTGTTTATGTTATCTTGCTGAATTCCCGAACATTCCAGTGCGATTTAGTAACGCTATCCCCTCTACATTCACTGCCAGCAGACAAAAATCACTACGGGGTCATTTCCTAGCATCAGGGAGCACGATTTTAATACACAACTTTTTTTGTTGTGTGTTGTTTTTTTTTTTTTATAAAGAAAATACAGACCCATACACACAATTACATACGGAGGCCTGTGTTAGAATAAACGTTTATTTTGAGGCATTAGGAAATATGTATGGTCAGTCTAAAAAAAATAGAAAACCCCCCCCCAAACCCTACTACTCAATTCAATCGCCAGTAAAATATGTTTCTTGATGTTACAATCTAGGTTAACTCTCTAGGTGCCATTTAAACCAGAAACAACATGGATTGCTACTTGAATGATTAACCATTTATATTCCAGAGTGTGGGGGGTATGGGTAGTGAGTGTCATCCTAGCATTGAAGCAGACAGCATGAATAAGGGTCTATAGAAGTAAAACACATCTTCAACAAGCAGTGGGCTAATATTTAAATAATAAATACAACTTGCATAGCCTGTGGAAGGGAACCAAGCATGATATAATGCAGTGACAGGTAGCTGAGCAATCTGGGAAACGGATGTCATGAACCTATTAAAGGCAAAGGTTTAGCTAACTCTGCACAAACAGTTGTTTTGCAGCACATGACCCAGATATAACCAAATATATTACCTGCTACCACCATTTTTTATTACATGTTCTGTAGGCACAATACATATAAGCAGTTTTCTAATTGCTTTGTTCAGTAAACATCTTACCTAAAGGGACTCTCCAGTGCCCCAAAACTAATATATGAATAAATCCCTAATTAAATCATGCATGTATTTAATTATGCATTTTATTTGGAGATATCTATATTTATATATATTTATTGGGAAGTCTGAGATTGGACAGCTACACATAGTCTGGGGGCAGGGTTAGAAAGGGGGGGGGCTTGCAAAAAAAAAATATATATATATATATATATATATATATATACACACACAGCTGGCAAAAGCTGCAGATCGTTTTTGCAGAACCCCTCCTCTCTAAAACCGCCCCCAGACTTCCTGTGCTTGTCCAATCACAGACTTCGCAATACAGCTCTTGCATTTAGCTCCACTGAGATAAGGATGTAACAGGTTGTCTGATTGGCAGCCAGTGGGCGGGTGTAACAGGGTCAACCTTTAAATTTATAAAAGTTCCAATTTTTTTTTAAAACCTGCACTTTAGAGGTGTGGAATCATTTTACATTACAGGACCCACTTTATCAAGATTTCCCAGAATTCAGCTTCTTCATGGGGAGAGGACCAAGCGTGGTTCATACAACATAACCCCACAAGATGTATATTATTTATTATAAATTCTCTGTCACATGTTTAACCCAGTAAGTCTGCAGGAAATAGAAAACCTGTGTAAGTTTCTTTTGGGCAGTTCCATATTGTCAGAGAGAAGCATGCTGTAGCTCCCATAGTGTTTGAAGGTGCACAGCCAGACTTTCCAACGCATTCAAGGTAAATAAAGTGAACGTACCTGGCCCATTCCAACTCTGTGTCTCCTCGGGGTCCTGGCTACTGAACGGACTCCCAGCCATCTTAATATCCTCTCTGGCTTCTTGAGATTCAACCTCTGAACATGGAGAGAGAGATAAATGGACAGGTTTTATACACAATGCTTATTAATAGAATTGCTTCATCTGTCATACAAAACCAGATAATACAAAAAATACAAGATTATTGTGCAGCACAATTCTCATCTAAGGCAATATCTCATCCAATTTTATGTGATAGGTCGACACACTGCAGGACCATTGAAAATTGGTCTGTATACAGAGACCTAAAACAGTGTGTGTATTCATTACAGAACCTAACAAATGCATATAGCAGGGCTTGCTTTAACATTACTCTATTTTATGTCATTATAAAATGGTAGGGATTCCAAGAAACAAGCCATACAAAATGCAATGATGCTGGAATAATTCTTCCACTTGCCTGCTTTGGCCTCAATTTGATGAAAAGGTCTTATCAGATCAATGTTTAATGAGTGAAGCCCTGTGTTTTGCAGAAACTGGAATATCTTAGGAATAGAACTATCCTGTTAATATCAAACTGTGAAGACAAGACCTGCTAAAAAGGTAGCAGGCAAAGGATCATGGGAGTAGGTGCTTCCCAATAGCTTGCGTCTGATCATTATTTGCTAATTCAAGGCATCTACGAAGCTATATTGCACTGGTCCACAGCAGAATATAAAGCATTTGCACATAAGGCTGGACTGTCCAACTTGGCCTTCCAGATGGAAATTCAGCTCCCACAGTTCTTTGCCAGCCAACAGAAATGTTTAAAAAAAAATGTAACCAGTAACCACTGAATGGAAAAGAGTAATTTGCCTGTGCCAAGGGAGATCAATGTGCACCATACAGCCACCGACAAGAAATACTAAGCTTTATTAAACAGCGACTCCATCCTGCAGCCACATCAATCTGCTCTATCAAAGGTTTTAAAGTGATAGAGTTAGACATTTATTAAATCAAGTCAATGCATTTGCACCCTTTTTGCAAGTCCCCTGCCTGAAGCCCGTCCTTTAAACAAAGTAACATTATGCTTGATGGTGCTGTGTTTGCCAGTGTGATCACCCAGACTGCGGGGCTTTTCGAATCCCTTTGTTACATGCCGTCCCTGACACTCTCCGTATGAGCAGACATATACAGACTGAGATACGGTAAATCAAATGATCCACGTCACGGGCTATGAATCAAGTGGGCCCTGTGTGTGGGACCAGGCCCTTCCGACAGCAGCACAGAGGTTAACAAGGTGTCAGGACACAGTTGTCTACTCTGCCTATTCCTAGCAACTGGCTGATAATAATTTTCCCCATTAACTGCGGTTAAAGATGGAGCGATTAAGTTATCTGCATATGACAGAGCTGCTGATTAGTGCACAAAGGGCATGTTTGCATACCATCCTGCAACGATAACCAAAACAGCCCCGATCGATAGAACCCATAAAGGTCTACGTCAGAATTATTAATAGCAGCCAGCAGAGAGCGATTAACATCGGATCGATGAGAGTTTAACTCCTCACCGCAAATGCTTTGTTTTGTGGCCAACATAAACTAGGAGGCCAGTCATTTCTGGTATTCAGAGAGTTAAACCCCCACAAGTGCAAAAATAAGTATTATATAGGTACTCGAACAAGGTAACATTGTGTCTTTGTACGTCAATCTACTAGTGATTCTATTTAAATCTGTAACCATTCACATCTACATTTTTATAAAGATTTTCAAGGAAGGAGGCACGTTCCGCTAGCAAGCTATAGTTGCTAAATTAGCAATTATTTTTAATAATTCGCTCTCCCCACCCCAAAAGAATGAAATCACCCTCCCTCTGTTAACCCTTTGGCTGCTGGGGAGGCCAATTAATTAACCTGTTGAACATTTAACATTGTAAAACAATATAGTCTAAAACTGTGCTTTAATTTCAGAAACAACTGCTACTCTAAGTAGAACTCATCATTTAGCAGCCATGTAAGCCCTCTTTCAATATATCTTATTAGAAATTGGGTGGGATTGCTGTGGCACTCATATAGTAATTGAACATAATAAGATTTAAGACTTCCATATAAAACTGTACTCATAGAAAACAAATGATTGAGTTTGAAGTAACATTACATGTTACAGTTGTTTATTAGTTTATAAAAATGAAATATAGGGAATGGGAGTTGAAGACCGATTTAAAGGACATGTTGGCAAATAGGTTAGAGTTTTGAGCCGCCCTATTTCAGCTCATTAATCAGACACCTGCCAAGTCATTGCCTCGTTATTAGAACTCGGACAAAGGGTTTGGAGAACTCAAGGGCAGTTTCCTTATCGTTTAGATCAGGCGATCAGCTCTCCCCTCCCATAATCTCTCCGTCAGCAATGGGAGCAAAGAGAAATTGGCATGGGATGGGCCAGATGGAGAGCCCGCAGGTAATCAGTGAATAAGGTCAGGGGCCTCCTATGGAAAAGTAATCCGTCTTAAACCTACGTAGATCTTTTGGTGACAGGTTTATTCTAAAGACAGTTTTTTTATCAATACTTATTTCAGCAACAAAAAACATTGTTCAACTGCTTAGCAATAACGGCAATCAGTTCAATTCTCCCCCAAAGAGCATGCAATCTAATCCTGGTACCTGAAACACAGGGTGATGACGGAGCTTGCAAGAGTTCAGCTGGCCTTGAACCTGCGTCTAGCGATTCTTCCTCTAATGGTTGAGTCACTGGACTGCTTCTCTCTCCTTCAAATAATCAGAACAGAAAACAAACATAAGTGTGACTATCAGAATGTTTCCCAGTTGGAGTTAGTTATAGGATTCAGATCAGCTGTAACATACAGTAGGAGAGATGGATAGCCTGTTAACACAGCTACAAAAATCAGGAATTCATCCCATTAAGAGAGCGTTCAGAGCAAAGTACACAGTTATATTAGGACATATCAACCACGCATGATTTGTGGCTAAAAAATTAATGACTTTTGTCAATTTAAGTGATTTGCTGCCAGCAATACATTGCTAGCCTCATAAAGAGATTCAAGCAACATGCAGCAACAAAACTTTTACAACTTTTACCTTTTACAAGCTAGAACTGTTTAGAGATGTGGACACCAAGATCCCATTTATATAATCAGAAGAAAATGCTATACATTTGGTAGTGAAATGATGGCATGCCTCATGATGGTAGCTGTGAAGGGAGTGCCATTGAACACATGGGTCAGTTAAGGCAGCATGGCACACTGCTAGAGTGTCACACCATTTTTAGGTAGAATTGCCTAATTTTCAGACAAAAAAAAACACACAAAAAAAAAAACAACAAAACAAGACACTTGCAGTTTCCATTGTATTTTTCTGGCCCAGTCTACCCAGGTAATAAATGTATGTCTCTGAGTGCAGTGTCTGTGTGAGTGAATCTGTAAACGTAGTCTCTGAGTGCAGTGTCTGTGTGAGTGAATCTGTAAATGTACATCTGAGTGAATCTGTAAATGAAGTCTGAGTGCAGTGTCTGTGAGTGGATCTGTAAATGTATATCTGAGTGCAGTGTGTGCGAGTGAATCTGCAAATTTAGTTTCTGAGTGCAGTGTCTGTGTGAGTGAATCTGTAAACGTACATCTCTGAGTGCAGTGTCTGTGTGAGTGAATCTGTAAATGAAGTCTGAGTGCAGTGTCTGAGTGTGAGTGCACTCGGACATATATTTACAGATTCAGTGTCAGTATGTGTGTAGCAATGATGGGGGGGCATTGACAGGGATGTCAATTGTGGCTTTGTATGCAGATGAGATTGTTATTAGGTAAGGATGTGAAGAAGTAATGTGGGGATTTAAGGGTTAACTGGCAGATTAATGTGACAATGAGCATATTAGGGATAGTCAGCAAGGGTTGTGGGAATTGAAATGGGGTGGGATAGTTGACATAGAGGTATAAATGAAGACCACAAAATAAATGGGTAATTTGGGTATGTCAGCAAAGTAACGTACAGTACATACGAGTGTACTACAGAGCTCCGCCGTAAGGTGCAGTACATACGAGTGTACTACAGAGCTCCGCAGTAATGTGCAGTACATACGAGTGTACTACAGAGCTCCGCCGTAAGGTGCAGTACATACGAGTTTACTACAGAGCTCCACAGTAACATGCAGTACATACTAGTGTACTACAAAGCTCCACAGTAACATGCAGTACAGACGAATGTACAACAGAGCTCCACAGTAACGTGCAGTACAGACGAGTGTAGCAGAGCTCCACAGTAACATGCAATACAGACGAGTGTACTACAGAGCTCCACAGTAACGTGCAGTACATATGAGTGTACAACAGAGCTCCGCAGTAATGTGCAGTACAGACGAGTGCACTACAGAGCTCCACAGTAACTTGCAGTACAGACTAGTGTACTACAATCCTCCACAGTAACATGCAGTACAAACGAGTGTAGCAGAGCTCCACAGTAACGTGCAGTACAGACGAATGTACTACAGAGCTCCACAGTAACGTGCAGTACAGACGAGTGTACTACAGAGCTCTGCAGTTATGTGCAGTACATATTAGAGTAGTCTAGAGCTCTGCAGTAACATGTAATGTATTTGAGTATTACGAACCTTTTCAAGATTGAGCTCTGGATGCTCCCGTGTTAGTTTTGTAAATTTTCCAAACATATACATCTGACATACAAATCTATGGGAGGGTTAGGACTGGCTAATATGTCTGCCAGTTCCTGGTTCAGAAGAATCAGAGCACAGGGATATGTTAGAAAAGAGGGACATTCAGGGGAGTATGATAAATTAACATTAGTGGGAGATCTATCTCATAATGCTCCTTAAACACAGGCATCAAGAACGGCTACAGGCTTACCCTCATGGCCTTCGCTGTAGGATGGGCTAGATGAGACACAATCGGCAGAGTCTTCCTGATCAGAATCAACCCCATCATTTTCTGAATGGTTGGTCATCTCTACTAACTTGTCGTCTGGGTCCTCCACGTCACCAAGGGAACCTGAAAACCACAATGATAGACACATTAATCCAAAAAGGTCCTTAACTCCCAGTCTGGGTTACATTATAAAGGGGCCATAAATAGTCCATCACTAGACAGGCCATTCCCCGTGTGAGATACAGCACAGAGCTTTACAATGTGATTACTGAACACTTGCTCCAAACAAAACCACAGCTCCCAGCACCATGTAAAGAGGCCAGGATTTATAGCAATATATTTTATTTAATTCACCATTGAGCACATTTCTGCTTTTGACATGAAGAAAAAGACCACTGGTGCAGGGAAGCAGTGCAGTATGGAGGCTCCTTAAAGGACCACCCCCTGAGATATGAACTTAAGTCTCTGGGCACTGACCAACTGTTTTACGTCAAAATTTTTATTTTATTATTTAAAACTGGCATTTTAGAAGTGGTTTGACAACACACACAAAAAAACACCCCCATACCAAACTGTAGTAAATTGAAATCAAAATGGAAAAGAAAAATGTCTAAAATAATGACGTTGTTAGTATGGTAAGGTTGAATAACTTTTACAAAACAAACTATTTTGACCTGAATTTGATTCTCAATTCAATCTATTTTGGTGTTAAAGTGAATGAACCAATCAAAATCTTAATAGGGAACACATGGGATGGGTGGCAGCATTGTAACAAGGCTGTGTGATAAAAAGTAAATACAAAAAAAGAGAAGTTCTGCGCTCACTCCCATCACTACTGGGTTGGCAGCAATGACTACAGTACACATCAGCCCCAATATATAGTAAAAACCAAAGAAAAGAAAAGGTTACCTGCGCTTTCTCCTTAATCCCTATGTATATTTAGACAAATGGAAGTCATTTAGTTGCTCCAATGGCCATTGGAGCAACTAAATGACCTCCATTTGTCTAATTATACATAGGGATTAAGGAGAGAATATAGAATTCTGAGCTAATAAAAAACAGACCTTCGTCGACCAATATCTACACTACTTGCAGATTAACTACAAGATCACCAACATCTAGCACTATGGGCTAGCAAAACATCATGGGAGATGTAGTGCACAAACAGTTGGAGGGATATTTTCTGTGTGAAACAGTTACACACTAGTAATGAAGACATTTGGGGCCGTGCTTGTGCATTAATATTTAATAATTACTCATCAATGACGATGGCTGACTACATTTTGGTAATGTCCGTATTTGCTATTTGAATCAGAGTCCATCTGTACAAGCCAAGTTTAACCCCCTTTCCGTGGCTTTAAGGAAAATTTTAAATAATTGAACAGGACCCAGGAAAATACACATAGCACAGCTTTTCTACCGGAAAGAGTCCTGATGACCTACCGCGTCACCACACGAGAAGAATAAAGTTTTGCAGGAAAGTGTTTGGAACTAGTTGGGGGAGAAACAATCACTGTGGCAGGCTGGTAGACCGCAGAGGTTCTGTGACTGCAGGCATGTATATTTACTCAGATAGAACAAAGGCAGCTTAATCTATACATAGCACACAACAATAAGCGTGGAGAAAGGCACTGCCAGACCCGGCGCAGGCAATTTTTCTAATGCTGCTAATTTCAGTTCCAGCACAATTAAAGTCCGCGCTGATAATGTTCAGAAACAATCACCAGCTAACAAATCACTTTTCTCCTCTTGTAAATGCAATGTCGTTAAGCTAATTTTTTCGTTCACGGCTGCACGGCTCCTGGGTGTCTGATAATATTAACCCTTGGCTTCCTGATCACGTGATCCACTAGCTTGATCTAAGGAGAGCCTAGAAGCAGATACTTAGATGACAGTCCCCCAATGGATTCATTGTTCTTTCCATGTGTTCAAGCCACGCGCCTCCATGACCCAAGGTCACCTCGGGGCAACCTCTGTCAATGGCCACTGCCACAACGGAACAGGAGAGTCCCTCATTACAGTGCAGAGGAAACATTCGTGGGAACGTGTACAAATCTAAAAACTTCATATTGTAAAAATTATATACTTTTAATAATTTATAAACTGTGCCACTAAAATTGTAGTGATTTGTATAGACAGACAAGGAAATAATCATCTGCCTGGAGGCTTTGTATCCTCTTTGACAAAATTACCATGGGCTTAATTTAAGAAATCCTCTATTTTTACCCTGGGACATCCAGTTAATTGGGCCGTCTGTACACTTCCAACTTCAGTTTGCACCCTTAAGGGAAGATGCTGTCACATTTAGTGTGGGCACAAGCAAGGAGTCAGGACCATCATTTAGATAGCACTTTTCTCAATCCTGACCTATACAGGCAGCGAAGTGAAGATCTCGGCATAAACCAGGAGTCTCCATATGCAAATCGCAAGGCACCTAATGCACATTATCAACTTAAAGAAGTCATGGCACTTTTAACTGACAACTGGCTGATAGCGGAAACTAAAACAGTGCATTAGAATAAAAAAAGAGCGAGTGTGTATTTATATATATATAGAAAGTATATGTTCGTTGTGTGGATTCCCAGAGGACTGGCTTTGGCTGAAGATGCCTGGAGGTTGAACAGATATACATCATCGGTCTCTCCATGGTACCCTGAAACTGTGCTTGTCATCTGCACACTCTATGTAATTGTGGAGTACTTAAAGCGGATGCACACACCGTGACCTAAATAATTTTCTAGCTTTTCTCCAGTGGGACACTGCTTTAGTAAGAGATGGTTTTGGTCAGTCCCATATCAAGACATTGCCATGACTCCCGGAAAAGATGTCAGGTTTTCTGTAAGAATCATGTCTCAATCCCTTACTCAGCCCAGGCTCCTGGTAATCTATGGACTTTTTTTTGCAGACTCACAAATTCTCATATTCACAACATCATAATGCAGAGGTCTTGATCACAGTAATGTATCTTGTTGCTCTGGTTTGTCCTATAGCTGTATATGAGTTTAAATAACTAGATCTATGTATCAAAATTAAAGTATGAATGCTGTAATTAGGACATTAGACTCTTCATAGCTTGTGGTTGAAACCTGGTGTTGTAGGGGGTTAAGTAGAAATTTATGAGGCAATATTTTCTCACCCATTTCAAATTCCTGACCAGCAAACAGCATGAAAAAAACCGCCCTAAGAGGTTAATGTAGGAGCCCCGACTTGGGAACAAAGGATCTTTTGAGAGAACTTTAAATTCAGTCTTGATAACAATCTGAGATCAAACGGCTAGCGTTTGGGCCCCGGATCAATGCAATGAATTTAGTCTTCTGGCAGAGGCAAAAAAAAAAAAAAGAAAAAGAAAAAAGATGAATAAAAGAAAAATGGTGATATGTGACCCAAATTTTATCCCATCTCCCGGCCACAGCTTTGTGGGTTGTTGTCGTTAAGGTCTCAAGCTACTGGGCCTTTATAGTACTGTGATCAAACTTACAGTGACTACTGGGCAATCTGGGCTATAATATGGGTAGACACAATGTCATTATTAGAATGATCATATTTACTACTGTGTGTGTATGCAAAGGTACAAAGGGCTCTATACTAGGTAACAGTAGGTTCCAATAAAACCAATCTTTAAAATATTTATCATCCAGATTCAGTCGATATCTGTTCAAAAATCCCCAGTGTGAACAGTTTTGTTGCGCTTTGGATGTGGTAAGTAAGTAGATGGCTGGATTAAGCCAGATTTCCACAAATTCAGGCTCCAAGCACGTGCAAACAGACCAATGAGTAATGTGTACAAAAAGGACAGGTTTCGGGAGTCTACCCTTTATTCTTGTCTTTCTATGACGGATCTGCAGACTGCATTGTGCAAACTATACTACAGGCTTGGCATTCAGAATTGTCTAGAAATATCTGGGGTGTAACAGCCTTCAGAACTCAATGGATTGAGCCAACCCATGGCTCTTACAGACCATGAAGTCAGCTCCTAAAGCCTACAAATATTTGCCAAACATTTAGGTAAAAGCTATGTTTTCATAAAGGGTGTATGAAGAGACTGGAGATAAAAGTGGACAAATATTATCTTATGGACAAGACCTCTTTATTCGCTAAACAAGAGGGTCTTTGGTTCATTATTGGCACAAGCAGCAGTTCTAAACCAAGATATGATGTTGGCAACAATCCTTGGATCCTACAGGCAACAAAAAAGACAAATCACAGGTCTAAGGAAAAAATAAAACAAATATGATTGATACACAGTACTCATTTACACTACAGGATGCTGATTAGTGCTAAACATTCCGCACCCACGGACGGCTGCAATGCTCACAACAAGCGCCGCTGCAGCTGTTTGGGGTGAATTGAGAAGCCAAGGCCGGGAGGTGTGGGGAAGGGGGTGGGGGGTCTAGCAAGAGGGGGGGGGGGCTGTCTGAGAGTCACTTTGTGGGATAGCAGGGAGACAGCACACTTATCACCTCTCCCAGGCATCCACAGACAGACTGATCTGTCTTTTCTTCATTAAGCAAATATGCTGAAATGGAAATGAAAACATAATAGCGATTTGATTTGCAGGGAGATATTTTGCATATTGGTTTGTCGCTGATAGTGGAATTTCATCAGCTCTGTTTTTTTCAAGCTTGGGAAAAAAAAAATCTGAATTACTTGGCTGGTCACTGTAATGTGTGTGAGGAGGGGGGGTGTTAAAATCTCCTTGCAGCACAGCTCAAATCATTAAACTGGATATACTCAAATCATTATTATATTATAATAGACACCCCCCTCCTAGTATGCAGATCTTGACGGCAGCAAAAAAAATTAATGAGGAAGGATAAAAAATATAAAGCAACCAAAAACAATTAACCCCTTGAACTGCATCAGTTTTTAGTTATTTTTACATTGAAAAGGGATTCAAGAATTATAGTTTCCACACTTAGAAATGTAAGCTCTTTAAGACAGAAATCAGCTCCTCATCCTTGGTATGCACAGAGATTCAAATTATGGTATACTGGTGATACAAGAATAGGAGCCTTTGATGCAGGGAAACGTCTTGACCGAGGCAAGTAGAAATGCTGGGATGCCTATCTAATAGAATTCTTATTCAAGTAAAGGTGCAAATTCATGTGGCAGGACAGTAGTCAAAGTGCACATTTAGCCTGGTCAAGCATTCCTTTCTAGCCATCACAGGATGGACAAAAGGTGTGTTGTCCAACAAGGTTAGTTTTGCAGAATGGCACAGAATTGGAACTAATGTTATACTTAATAATTTAATAATAGAATGAACAGATTATTAAGTAAACTAATAAGAACAATTACACCACTATCCAATGACAAGGTATATCAGTGTATACGATGTCTATTAATGGACTCTGGTGGCTAGGTCCAACTTAGCTTCAAAGAGATGTTTACTACCACTGCCGAATTACTTATATTAAGTGTCTGGGTTCGCTCTTTTTGGGAGTGAGGTTGCTGACGGTTAGTGCTGTGTTAAATACACATTGTGTAGGAAATATCTGGGTCACTACTGACCAGATATGGCCAGCCCGAAACCCCTTTAGAAATAAAGTTTAATGGCATAGGAGCTTTAATCTGTAAATGGTCTGATGCCTTTGTGTGGTCCCTGGAAGTAAATCTGTAGATCTCTGTGAGACTGCTAATTATGTAGGACATAACTTTTGTACTGTACAAATCAGATAACTTTGAACTTAAGCTCTGAACAGATTTATTAGCATCAACAGCAGATAGCTCTTTTGTCCAAACATTTAAAGGAATAACATACGTTCTGCAGAAGTGGATCTCAAACCAGTACAATAGCCGACAGTCCAGTTCTGTTCTAAAGGGGATATTTACTAACGCCAGGATCATCTCCAGGCTTGGCTTTATCAGAATCCCCACTGGAACAGAAATTAATCAATACATATGTGACCTGTGGAAGCATGAATAAAATTAATAATAATTATATAATAATAAAAATAAAATGAACAACAATAATAATTTGTTAACGGATACCTAAACAAGCATTTGTATCTAAGTGCTGCAAGGTATTTGAACTGAATCAGTCTTTCGGGCTCCTTAAAAGATCTAAAAGACATTCATTAACTCTCACAGCATCCCAGGACCAAGCATTACTAGACAGGTGATGGTAATCCTTAAGTATGTGGAACTGAAATAGGTTCTAGAAATGTTACACATTATAAAATCAACCAGTGGTGTTTCAATCAAAGGAACAATTGAAGCACCATAACCATTGCAGCTCATTGTAATGATCAGGGCACCGCGTCATTGGGTAATGCAAAACATCTCTCTGAGTAACTCAAAGGCTGGCTCCTCCAATGCCACTTGGATAATGTGGACGTAAGTGGACACAATGTAAACACTGCCTTTTCTCTGCAGGGACAGTCTATAGATACCAGGCCAATTACATTAAGCTGATGTGGTTCTGATGACTACAGTGTCCCTTTAAACATCTCAAGAACAAGAGGCTGAGTTGTGCCGAGATTAAAACATGTGACTAGATACTGAGCTATATCAAATATGTTGCTTCCTTAATGTACTTCGACAGGCCTTTAAAGAAGGCTAACGAAACTCAATAGCTGGTGATACAGAACACAATAAGGGAGGAACAAAACGCATAAAAGATAAACAGGTATCAATATGGTGGCGTCTGGGCCTTTTAACTTCTAGCCAATTACAGCTACAACACAGAGGCAGAGCTTGGCTTATTAGAATGGCAGGTTTGATGGCTCCTGTAGCAGGGGGCCTGACTCTCTCCCAGTCTGCACAGAGTTAGTTTTGGGAAGGGGAAAGAAGAGATACTGGTAAAAGGGGCAGCCACGGTTCAAAGGACAAAAGGATTCCAAGCCGCGATTGTCTCAGAGCTTCACCCAAATTAAAAGTCACATTAACTTCTTTCAACACTGAAATAATAAACCGTTTCTGAAAATGCTTCTCATTTACTCAGAAAATTGAAGAAAAAAAAGTTGGTGTTTAAAAAAAAAAAGAAAAAAAAAAAGAGAAAGAATTCCATGCTGCCAAGAGAAAGACCCTGGAGTATCAGAGCCCAGGCATGCAGACAAGAGCAGGGCGATAAGAAAGAACGATAACAGATAGAAAATAGTAACACATTCGGACTTTCCCACCGGCCTGGAGATCATGGGAGGATGGAACAGAGGGACTGATAGCAATACCCTCCACCATCCCCCTCCCACCACCTTGTGCTTACATCTATCTTCTCAAACCCATCTAGGCAGCTCCCCTACACCTTTCCCTACAGTCTATTAACCCCCGAGGATGGCATGTGGTTTTTACTGAACCACTCATAGAATGTATGCGTATCCTAGACGAGCATGCCACTGCATTCATTATATTCGGCATAGGAAGCAGTATTCCGCCCACCATATAACAAGCCCTATGTCTTACAGTTAGCCCGCTGTTCAAGCAGCTCTTACCTAGGGGCTCCATCAGAGGAGGTGTGTTTATGTAGGTACAACCTATTCCACAGCGCTATAACGGCAGCTCCCCGCTCATTATTATGGATGGAGAGGAGAATGGGCTATTGGGAAGTAAGCTACAGCATAGTGTTGGCAATCCCAATGCTTCCCCCACGGCCCTTTGTAAATCTAAAGATAAAAAAAAATAATTATGTGTGTGTATATATATATATATATCGTGGACAGATTTACCATCACTGCTACAGAATCTTGTTGAGAAGTGGGAATGGCAAAACGATATGGGTGCCGGCAGGACAGTCCATTCGGATCACTAAAATGCCCATAACCAGTTCATCCAGAAGGCCGCAAACAAATAAAGGAAATATTTTATGTTTCTACTTTTATCTCTAAAGAGCTGACATTCTGTAGCAAAGTGCAATACGATGTCTACATTAAAATAACCGAACAGACAGGATCATTAAAGACGCGAGTCTATTTAATGTGTTTTTGCTCATTAACAATTCTGGAGATAATAAGCGACAGCATAAATATTATAATAAAATACAGGGGGTTTTTTTTTTTACATTACAGCTGTATATGATATAACTGAGTGAAATAGTAGTTATCTTGCATAAATATGTAATTAATTACTAAGTTTAACATATTCCAAGGCATTGCTCAATGAAAAAAGTAGACACAGATAAAAAAAAAAAAAGTTTAACAAAAATTAAAAGGATAAAATAGTCACCAAAACAACGTTAGCTTTATGAAGCAGTTTTGGTGTACAGATCATGCCCCTGCAATCTCACTGATCAATTTTCTACCATTTAGGAGTCAAATCACTTTGTTTATGCAACCTTAGCCACACCTGCCTGCATGTGACATACACAGTGTTTCTAAACACTTCCTGTAAAGAGTAATCTAATATTAAAAATACGGTTTAATTTAGAATTTCTGATCTCCTGCTCTGGTAATAGCCTCCTAGACCCTGCAGAAGCCTCCTGTGTGTGAGTCAAGTTCAATTTACAGAGCAGGAGATAAGACATTTTAAAGTAAGTTACTTCTGATAGACAATAAAACCATTTTGTTTTCATGCAGGCTGTGTCAGCCACAACCAGAGAAGGTGTGGCTAGGGCTGTATAGACAGAAACAAAAGTGATTTAACTTCTAAAAGGCAGCTAATTGAGCAGTAAGGCATGGGCATGATCTATACACCAACACTGCTACATTAAACTCAAGTTTTTTGGTGACTATGTCCCTTTAACAAGACCTATAAATACAGATCCTCTGACTTTTTTTTTATATTTAGGTCTGTATATAACAAGTTTTAATGAGCTCAATGAAGATAAAGAGATCCTTTTTAAACAAACATGTAATGATGACTTCCAATTATTGTACGCTACTAAAAGAAGAGACTGTGTTTACAATATTCACTCCTGCAAGGACAGTACAGCCTGCAGTCAGTTTCTGCCTATGGCTTTACAGGACACACTGCTCTGCCTGGTTCAATCACTTCTACCACAAGCCAAGATGTGAGACGTTGAGAGATCTGGCACTCCAGCTTAAATAGGCCCTTTTATAAGAACTACAGTGTCCATTTTTTGAGCTTGAAAAAGACCTTAGGGTCTAAACGTTGCTGCTAGATACTGTAGTTCTAATAAAAGTGCCTCTCTAGGGGGCGGGGCCTGACCGCCATGCTGAATGGACGCATGAGAGAACAGCTCCAGCAATATTTTGACTTTTCATCCTACTAAAGCTAATCTTGTACCCACCCAGTGACTTGAAACTGTGGTCCTATACACAAGGGAGTACTGGCTCAGAGGCGAGGCTTGCACAATGTTTTAAAGTCCCTTGGAGGGGCATACTTCTTTTACCCGGATGAGGCCAACTCGGGTGGTGAGTGGAGTAGCCGTTACCTCGCTATCCTGCCTGAATGTACAAAGCTGGACTCTGAGTCTCCTACAAAATGTCGGGGGCCATCCCCCGGGCAGGCTACTTCAGGGAGGACGTGGATTTTCCCTCCCCACAAGATACAAGCTTACCAGAGCTGCGGCAAGGGAGGCTGAAGCAGACCTTCCACTCCCTCTGGGAGAAGCTGGAAACTAGGCAGCAAATTGGTGGCCCCTTTGGTCCCCATTACCCACACTCCTCAAGGCCTCACACTGAACACAGAGCAGAGGGACAAAGAGCAAAAATGCATGTCCAGAAAATGGCGGGAACGCTTACATCGGGCCGGCATGGTGGTGTTCGGGAGCAATCTTTCATCGGGTGTAATAAAATTGCTTCTTCTGTGTGTTTTTCCACATCGATTGAAATATTCTTTTATGTATATTTCTTCTTGGGTAAAAGGCTCGCAATGTTAATATACGTTTATATTAACCAAAAATACTAATACGCAATCTGACTTACGGTTTCTTCAGGTTTATTCTTACAGTTACTGATACATAATAATTGCTGGACTCCTAAAGGGAGAGTTAGTCTACATAGTTAGACAGCCGGACAAGAAGAACAATCTTGTGCAGCAAGCAACAGCAAGACCTTGTGGTCCTTTTTCCCTTATTCTATAAAACTATGACCATTATGACATCAGACCTTTTAAATATAACCATATAAGGACAAGACCCCCAATTACCACGTTCCAGAGTTCTCATGGTACACTATAGCAAAGTACCATCTGTTCTTTTTAACCCATTAGACATCCATGCCTACTATGAATATAAATAGGAACATAGTAATATTCTACCTCGGGCCTGCCCACACACAGCCCGGAATCTGCAAGCTGCCATATCGCAGTAATAAGACGCCTAGGCTTTCATATGGGATACTCTGCCTGATGACCTCTCCATCACAGCAGAGCCCCGATCTACCCCAGAGGGGCAAAGGCTGAAAAGGGAACCGAGACTCATGCACATACACACCTCCGCCCAGATGCATACATTCTGCCTGCTGATATTTGAGTTTCAGTTTCTTTAAGTTTATGTTCCAGTTTTAAGCCAACTCCTTGGACTCATATGTTGTACTACTTCTGAAAGTAAGGGACCATTATCTCCCCACTAGGGTTCATGCTCTCCAACTAGGTAGTGTGTGGGGCCTGGGGGTGTATTAATCCTCTATCAATTCAGCTCCCTAAGATTAATATTCCTGAGCCTACATGTACCTTAAGCTGGTACATTTATGTTACTGTGATTGTTTGCTTTTTCTCAATTATAAAACGGCAGTCTAAAGACAGTGTTAGAGATCTAGCCCTGGAGAACTATTTCATGCTACGTTATACTATAAAAATGTGCAGGTTTAATATGGTCTAGTCCTCTATTATAAAAAATATGCAGTGTAGTTGATGCCACACTAATGTTTAACTTTTCCTATATATGTTTGCACCAGCTGTTGTGGCAGGGCAAACCTGCTTGTTAACCTATGCACAGCCAAAATAAATAATAATAATAAAAAAGTGCCTATCTAAGCCTTGGAGTCCTGGTGTAGGGTTGGCAGATTGCTGTAGTTTTGGGACACTTCTGAATTCTGCATTTTGTTGGTCAGGATTGGAAATCCTGTTCAGCAGAATAGGTAATTAATCTCCTTCTGGAAGATCATTTAGCTAATCACGGTGATGATCCCATGACTATTTTACACTGTGAACAATTCCAAACATGCCGGTCACTGCTTTCACAACTTCCTTAAAAAAATGCAGAATTCATACATATCCTGCAAAAAAATATTTTGAAAAATAATGACTGGGAAGCCTTACACCAAGCTCAATCACAAATTACTACCCAAAGCAAAATGTAACATTTTCATAGATCAGTTAGAAAGAAAAGGAGGGAGAAAAAAAAAATCCTTAAATTCCTACATTGACGCTTACAGTCTGACCCTGAATAAACGGGAGGAGTGAACTCTTCAGAAAAGGAAGGAAAAAAAAAAAAAAAGAGGACAACTTTCCGCCTCCCCAGCACTTGATAGAAAACAGATAAAGGCCCTTTCTCTAAAGAGACCTACAGTTCTTTTGTGGGCCAAGACCCTGAATTCATCTTCGAATTAAAGCAGGGAGAGTGCAGATTCAGCAGACAGATGCTTTCCATCAAACCCATGGGAGCTTAAATAGGACTTTGCCGCTTGTAAAACAAGGGTCTGATGCTTATCAATCACTTTGCAATTAAGAATCTGGGGGAGTGGGTATTATCTCCCTTCTTAAACCTCTTTTCCCAATCGAAGAACTGAGAAAGGCTTTAAAAATGCTAGGATTCTCCTTAAAAGATGATTGAATGCAATCTCCTCCAACCAGCACTTCTATTTGTACTTGAATTTGACGAATACTCTCCCAGCAGCGATTAAAGCTAATCTATCATGAACTATTTGCCTTTTGTGTTCCCACCTCCTTAAAATGCATGGCATGGTCATGTATTTCAGCTTGATATTATTTATAAAAGTGTCCACATATTCTGCAGTGCAGTACAATAGATATAAGGATTGTTCTATTTAAACAGTTCATTGATCTGGAATCGCTGTTAAGGTCCGATTCCTGCACAATTAACTACTGCTGAGCGATTTTTGGCTGGCTGTGTCCTATGGTTAATACACTGTATAAACACTAGTCAGATGATTTGCGCTGTCTCAACTCTTCCTTTCGGGCAAGAAAACTTATTTTTGTGGGAAATAATTTCTTTGTCTTTAAAAAGTGTACCCATTTAGCATTTGAATAAATGCAGGTGTCATTTCGTAAAAATAGAGAACATAAAAACGGATGCTTTGCAGATGTGTATCAATGAACATATATGCCGCAGGTTGGCAACCATGTTTTGTAATATAAGCCAAGTAATAATATAAGCAAAGTTGGAATATATATTTGTGGTTGACCACGCATGGAAATCCCAATTACGTGAACAAATCTCGAAGTATCAAACATTTAGAGAGATTATACAAACACAGACAGTACTTCCCAACCTTTAAGTGGAACCTTACAACCATAACAGGTCCACAGCAGTGAATAGTATTACAGTTCCTTCTATGTATATATCATACATAGATTTATTAAACATAGGGTGAAATTTATGCACCATTTGCTATTATTACAGCAATCTACACCAAAATCACTAAGGTGAGGAATAGGCAGGAATGGCAGCCACAGACATGAGAAATTGTGGCATAAAGAATGATGATATTGTTATGGTTTGTGGCATAACACGATGAAAATGCCATGGTTTATAAAAACCCTTCCTAATCCATTTATTGGATGCTAAAAATCATACAGAACAGGGCGGCTGCCTGTCTCGCCTCTCTCTCCATGCTGCAGTTCTCCTGGCAGCAGAAGGGTTAACTCCCTTCCCATTTGCACATGGGATACAGACATTTATGTAGATATTCTATGATCCTGAAACTGCCAGGGCAGCTAACTCGGTTAAAAACCTGTGTCCCTTCTGCTGCCTCAGTTATCAGCCAGGAGATCTGGTTACGGCCTCATAAAGTAGAGAGCCAGTTTAGTTATCTAAGAGACCACAACCGGGATGTAATCTGTCTGAGACACAGAGCCCGCTTGGCACAAGGGTGAGGGTTACAAGGCTTTCTACACCAGTAGCATAAAAACAAAATGACTGAAGCTATAAAAAGATCCCTTCCACCTAAAAACTACAGCTTTAAACAAACAGGACTTTTTACCTTCCTAACTTTCCTTTATGTTCTCTGAACCAGCCTCGCGGAGGAGAATTAATAGCCTTACAAGCAAAATGGCTGCACTAATCCTGTTTTTACCCGGCAGCCATGTCTCCCAATCCATAACAATTAGCTGTACATGTGTCAGGGAACACGGTAACAGAATTTGTAGCAGGGTGAGCCAGGGCTAACAGAATCCACAGCTCCGAATATGATGCACAACAGGGCTGAGTAAAAGGCAAAGCCACATCTTTTACAGAATTGCAGAATAAAAAATTTAAAAAACAGAAAACTTCCATGATGCTTTGGCAGCCTTAATGCTCTCCCAATACCCCACTCATTTCATACTGTAAAAGGGGTAACCGCAGGGTTTTATGGTGTCTAAATTGGGAGGAATTAAGCAAAGCATTGAACATTAAATTTGAATTATTCTTTAGGTTACAGTTCTAAAATATGTAGCTTTAGTTAGAAAGTAAATAGAAACAGCAGGATAAATGGGCTTGGCAGCATAGCTAGCTATACAGCTGTTAGTACAAAATGGGTGTAAATTTTGTTTAATAAGGACATTCATTATACAGCAGTGTATAAACTCTTTCTACATCATAAACCTGCCTCATATCAAGTCTTGTACATACAACAAATATAGGGTTTCAGCTGAGAACACAAAAAATAACCATAGTGTAGCAATATCCTTATTTGACATGAAATGTCCTCACAAGATAGTTGGATATATGCATTTGACAGGTGTCTCCCCTCGATATAACCAGGGTCTATCAGTACTCAGTTTCCTTCCCAACGGTTACACCAAGGACTTGTAAGCCGGTTCAGGTGCAAAATAAGTTCATAAAACTATAGGTCCTACGCATTTCGCCTCTACGAGACTTCCTCAGAAGCACCTGTCAGGCGCATATATCCAACTATCTTATGAGTACATTTAAATTCTAAACAAGATATTACTTTGTTGCATTGCTACACTATGTTTGTATTTTTATGTGTTCTCTAAGGATCCAGCTAAAAAACCCATATTTGTTGTACATACATATTACTAAAGAGGGTTTACGAAGGAAGAACCCAGGGGGGTAGATACCACGGGCTTATACAGCCAAGCTGGAAGTTAAGGATTCCTGGTGGCAATATTATTTGTGTGTCTCATATCAAGTTGTAGACAAATTACAATATGGATTCCCCTGATAAGGTTATCTTGGTAAAATTGCTAATATTATTAATATTCAAGATAAATAATGAAAAATAATGTATATAACTACTGTGTACAAATAATTAAAAAAAGTAGCAGGAAATAGTCTTGAAGTATCACCATTTGTCAAAGCAATGATAAATAAAAACCTTTCTGAATTCCCATTTCTGGTACTTTTATCAATCTCTAATAAGTCTCTTTATTACTCCTAACACTCCTTTCACTAGCCGTGCTCTCTGGCAAAGAACAACTACAGCATGAAATGTCTGATTTGCTTGGCCAAAATTGTAGTCTTGAAGAAATCTGAACTCACATTTATCTTAAAGGACCACTATAGTGCCAGGAAAACATACTCGTTTTCCTTGCACTATAGTGCCCTGAGGGTGCCCCCACCCTCAGGGACCCCCTTCCGCCGGGCTCTGGGGAGAGGAAGGGGTTAAACTTACCTCTTTCTCCAGCGCCGGGCGGGGAGCTCTCCTCCTCCTCTCCGGCTGAATGTGCATGCGCGGCAGCGCGCATTCAGCCAGTCTCATAGGAAAGCATTCATAATGCTTTCCTATGGACGCTTGCGTCTTTTCACTGTGATAAGCACGCAAATGCCTCTAGCGGCTGTCAATGAGACAGCCACTAGAGGCTGGATTAACCCTCAGTGTAAACATAGCAGTTTCTCTGAAACTGCTATGTTTAAAAAAAAAAAAAAAAGGGTTAATCCTATCTGGACCTGGCACCCAGACCACTTCATTAAGCTGAAGTGGTCTGGGTGCCTATAGTGGTCCTTTAAAACACTGTTTGCTTTAATAAAAAAAAAAAAAAAAAAAAAGAACTGTTGGAACATAAATAGCCTTTTGAAAACCCAATGATGAATCCCCACTACAACTCACATCAATCTCGGGAAACTTCTCGTGACTAGACCATGAATTCTTCCAAAACCAGGAGTTGGATTACAAGAGTTTAATTTACCAGTGAGGTCAGGTGATACGAACGATAAGGTGGAGCATGATGGGATTGATAGCTTTCAGAGTCTTTGTGAATGGCTGGCTGTCCCTCACTTTGATAACAGACTGTGACGCCATAGTGACAGGGCCTTGTAAAACAGGATTCTGACAATAAGTAGATAGTCTAGTGCATCATTTCAGCGATATTAAATATTCCAGCTCTATGGCCTGTCTGCAAACGGTCACCCAAGCAGAACATACATAAGCCTTAATGTAAGCTCCCAAAACATCCAATCCGTCCCTTCAGCAGAATTACATTTCCTTTTAAACAAGTTACAAAGTGACGATATGAAGAGGGTGGCTGAAGTCTGCATTGCCGCCACATTGTACAAAACACAAACCCGGCAAACTCGGGAACCCCAGGCACAACATTCAACATGGACTAAATAATAAAATAAATGACTAAATGATTTAAACTGCAACCCTATGTTGCATTATTGCCAACGTGACTGGATAAACAAAACATATTAAAAGAGCATGCGCTAGAATTGTTAGTATTTTAATTGTAAAGTTTCACGGCGTCCTGTATCTTTAGGGAATCTCTGGGTTCTATCAGTTTTTGTGACCCCTTGGAGGAGCCTACCCTCACCCCCCCTTCCCCCCACCATGATGGCTGGAAGCTGTCTGAGATATATTACATTATGCATCTGCTGCGGAGCGCTGATAAACTAGGATTGGGCCTAGCTGCCTAACTCTGCACACCTATCTCTAATTAGTAACCCTTTTCTATCCAGATAAGATAAACTCCAACTGACCTTTCACTGCGGTTGCCATGGGGACACCATTGCCCTCTTGTCATTAATAATTTTAAGAGATTAAAATAGTAAATGGCAGAGAAGGGAAAAAGGGAGGGATGAGCGTCACGTGGAGGAGGAGGGGGGCACGTCACCTTCTCTGTACCTTTGTGAGGGACACGTGATTGCAAACCATGACGGGCAATAGGCAGGTGCTGTTATTCACATGTGGGAAACAGACGCCACGAAACGTGGGTGTAAGCCACTGATGGCTCACCTGGCCAGTGAGATGCTTGTAGCCAACATTTCACACGAGTCTAAATCTGCAGGGCTTAAAATACCAGTGTGCCAAAGGGTGTAAGTTAGTATTAAAGAAAAGTAACAGGCTGGGTTGTAATCACTTGTGTGTATGGAACAAAGAGCAAGGAATCATATATTAGAGCGATTTCATTCAACTATGCTGAATACATTGTGCCATAGCTGTATGGCTCAAACTGGGGGTCCTACAAAGTGCAGCCAGGGGAAGAATTCATATACTTCCTCTATTTCCAGCTAAATCTGCCGTATTGGGTTTAGTATGCACAGCTTTCTTGCGCTGTTCCAGGGCCTTGCCCCCCCCACTCCGGCTCTCAGACGCGCACATGCACAGACAGTAGCTTTAGATGAACACTGTGCACAGCCCCATTCACAAAACATCAACAAGTAATCAAACCTGCAACTGAATTTACAGTTACTTAGTGTAAATGAATTTGTCGTCAAAGCATTGATCAATGGTTCTTAACTCCTGGGTGATGACTCAAAACTAGGGACCCTGGCACATTACATGGGTCAGCACTGGTTACAAATTGACCATCTTTCACTGCAGATTCAATTCAAAATCATTAATTGTCCACTGGGCTAAATTAAAAGTTGTTAAACGAGCCTCTACGCAAATACATGCGCGCACCTTGTGTCACAGTCAAAAATAAGATTAAGAACAACTGAATTTGATGCTTATTTCAATGGAATAACCGTGCAGATTTAGATTCATTACATTGTGATTCCAACTGATCTACAGTCCTGGTGAGCACGCAGCTTGGCTCATAGTGTGGGGCCAGGTATCTAGGTAAGTGTCTTCAGTGTTCTTGCAGAGGGTTCAGTAAGTCAATGGCAGTTTAGCGACTTACCTGAGAGCGATTTAATATTTTACTTTCCAATACAGTGGCATGCACAGTTCAAACTCTGAAAAATGTTCAATTCTGTGTGTATGATTAGCCAACGATGTTGTGTCCTCCAAATCACCTTATCATTAAATTGTTCTGTATGTATTCCATCAACTTTCCTCCCCCAACATCTACAGAAAGCACTTTAATCTAATCTATAGCGGAACATAAAAAGTTGAGGAGGAAAAATAAAAATTTAATAATTATTCGCATATTCTCAGAATTGGCATTCTATTTAGAATGTTCTATAGCTACAAAAGTATCAACGTCCACTTTCAATGAGGTTTCTAAAGTGGAGGAGATAGCGTCGAAAGAGACAGCGAGCAAATACTAGAGAGACAGTACGAAACAATGAGTAGAGAGACGCGCTGACGGAGAGGGAAGATACGGCAAGGTAGAGATAACGAAAGTTAGAGGGAAAAAAAAAAAACCTGCTAATAAATGGGAGTGAGACACAGAAAGGGGAGATAGAGAGACAGAGGTAGGACGACAGTGAGGAACCCTGAGAAAAAACAGCTCCAATGATATCTGGGAGATTGGTTTCAGACGAAAATGCTCTCTCTGCCAAGTCTATCTCCATGTAACTGGTGTGTAGTCACTTAACATTCATCACTGGCTGAACTCTGTAACTTTATCAGCTTTGGAGCATGGCGCCATCTCTAGGCCCGACCATTCTCAGCTCTCTGATAAAGCAGATAAACCTCTGATAGATTACAGCAGATTGCTACACTTCACAAGACACAATTACTAATACTAATAGCGAGCCCACGTTCGAGAGAGCAAGAGAAGGTGGGGGCGGAAGGAAGAGATAGGAGGACGGGACACCGAATGAGTGAGTGTGTACAAGGAGTGAAAGAAAAAAATGTGGAGTAAAAATAAAAACCTAATTAAAAAATAAACTATAAAAGAAGACTCAACAGGATAACTTTATTGAAAGAGGTGTTTGATTTACGGTGGCCAATGCAAGTGTGACAGAGGTTACGTGTTCTGTTAAACCTCTAAACTTCATAAATCCAAAATCTTTGATTTACAAAGTATTACTATGATTGAAAAGGATGCAATGATTTGTGGACCCAGGACATACTTGAAAACGAGAGAAATCTCAACGTATCTTTCCTGGTAAAATATAATATAAATAAATAATCAATCAGTGCATTGCCATTGGCGTCACCCAGCTATAGATTTCTTTGTGACATTTTACAACTCTGACATTTGTGGATTTGAATTAGTCCTAACTTCAAGGTGCAGGAAGTATAGAGAAATCTGTATAGAGCAGGAAGTTTTAGAGAAATCAGGTGAGAAAAACTATCTGGGCAAGCTGATAGTCCATCCATTAGATTGTAAGCTTGTTTGGACAGGGCCCTCTTCATTCACTTTTCCTGTATGACATACGTATTTTGTTAGAAAGGGTTGTCTTGTTTACCTATTGTACAGCGCTGCAGAATATGTTGGCTCTATATAAATAATTGTAATCAAGGCACACGCTTGAAAATTGAAGGGTTTTCTTTACATTTGCTTTGGATATCCTTGCTGGCCGGACACATTATAAGCTTTTCATATTAACGGACTAATCCATACCACTGCAGGGTGCGTAGTAACAAGAAGGTGTACAGATTAATCTGTTAGGAGTTGGAACTAAATAGTGACTTCCACTTGTGACTTGTTACCCAGGTGACAACATGTATGGTGCACGTTAGCGCATGCATGTGAGCAAACCTGGGATAAATGGAACCTCAATAGGTTATCTTTTGCAGGCATTAAAGTACATCAGTGATGTGGCTCATGGCAGAACTTGAAGATGGTGCCAGGGCAGGGGACACTGCTGCTTTAAAAACAACCAGTCTCTGCCGTAACTGGAGTGTTTGATTCAGCGGCAGACTAAGTAGGCTATCACTATGATAAGGGAAAAAATACCCAGTAGATCACTTAGAGCTATAGCCTGGAATATTTACAGGATGTGTGCTGATCCACCAGTTTGCATGTGATGTGTCTCGATTAACCACCACACGAAAACATTTATTGTGAGGTTAATACACTAAATACTGGAGATTTAACCAAACTGCAAAATGGTGGCCAAAGTTGCAGCTAAGGAAACAATAGTTGATGCCACTATTTTGGTGTGAACTTAATTACCTTGTCATTTTCCCCATGCAGTGCAATAAATCACTCTATAAACTTTATAAATATAACACAAGTGTGTGCGTATATAAATATAGAATGCATGAACAACATCTCAGGCTGAAAGGACAAAATGCAAACACAAAGCACAAACACATTTATATCTAAAATATATTTCTATTTAGTCTGTTTATATTTCACAATTAATATTAACCTGAATAACTTTAAAAGAGACAAAGGGATAAAAAAAAAAAAAAAAACCCCCACCATATTCCAAATCTGAATTTGTTTGTGAAAAAAAGCAGCAGTTTTCTTAATTTATTGTTAACATTTTATCACTAGGTCCATGAATTATCAAAGTGTGTTATTCTGTGTTCCTGGCATTTTGGTGGAGCAAGATAAGAGCTAAAAACAACAGCCTGTGCTGGGAGAGCTGAGCAGGAGATAGATAACATTGATACAAGTCGTATTCCAAAACAGGCCTAACCCTTATCATGGCTTTTTATCACTCCATTCGTTTCCCTCCTCTCATTCCCCCCCAGCAGCCCCGTCAGGAATGGACCAGTGCTTCAAAACTGAACTTTACTCTGTGTGGAGAAAGAGGTGCAAATAACAAGTAATGATTGCCATGTGATAAGCTGGAGATTAATTGGAATAGGGTTAGATAACTGCAAACATACTGCTCACTTTCTACTCGTTACTATAATAGAATATATAAACTACCGCCCACTGAATCAGACACTGTAAAGGGTCAATAATCTCACACACACACGATCCAGTGCACTCACCCATTCACTAAATGGCAATTTCAAAACTCACAGAATGTAATACACACACACCGCTTACAATCTCAAGTCCTATGATATTAGCCTGGCCTTCCAAGTTACTCACCACTGCAAGCCTGCAGGGTCCATTGATGGCACACTCGCCGGGGTGAATGTATACTTGCCCATAAACGGCTAAATTTTCACTCACCAAAAGCTAGTGGCGAGAGGTAGTTTTGAGGGTGAGGTGGGGGTGGTGTGGTGTGGTGTGGTGTGGTGTGGTGTGGTGTGGTGTGGTGTGGTGTGTGTGTGTGTGTGTGTGTGTACATACTCACACACATACATGCATACACACACACACATTATTAATACAACGCACTAACCGATTCCCCAAAGATTATAAAAAAGATGGACAAACAAGTAAGTTTTGAGTATAGTGAAATTCTAAGTCAAAATTGGACAAAGTTGTTTTGACCCTATTGTTATTTATTATTTAATTTATTGTTGTGTTGGTATCATGACGGTTTATATTCCTGGGCTTCACTTCCTGGAAGTAATGTCACAATATTAGCTGACTATGGAGTAAAACAAAACGAATATTATTGAAACCGTTAACCCAATGGAATCCTGAATTAAAATACATGCGCCATTTGTGTCAATGAACTGAAACAGTTACAGCAAGCTACATAACAGATAAGCCGTCTGCTGCTGCAGGACTGCAGTCTTAAAAATGACAAAGACCTTTTTGGTCGAAACGTTGCGTTGCATTTTGTCACAATAAAACTGCCTGTGGCTTTAACCTGGCGTGCCTGTGAGTTTCTCTTCTTTGCAGTCCTTGAAATGGCTGAGAATTCTGGGAATCATAGTCCAACGACTGGAAAGTCAAGGCAATGCATTCTGGGAACTGTAGTACCACAAGAGCCAAGGTTGGACAAATACTGACAAGCTCAAAAAAGGAAATAAGATTTATTTCAAAAGGAAAAAAAGGAGTTACAAATTAAATCTTGCTCTATGGAGCTTGCAATCCATTATCATTGGGGCAAACTTATTCTGCAGCACTTTACAATATACAGAGGTGTACGATAGCTGTATCTTCCTGTATTTCCCTCAACCAAGAGAAAACATGTACAGGCACTAAATGTCAGGCGATCCATGTCCAATGGAATCTTTCTCATAATATGCAAAAAAAACAAAAATCATTTGTGAAATAAATCGATATTAGCTCACGCAGGAGAACTCGCCATCAGGCAGCTTTTTTTCATACAGTCGATTCATCAAACAGCGAGATAATTCAGGCAATGATGGATAAGCCCCATGGAATAACAGCATGAAATAATATTCTTATCACACAGCAGAGATCATGCAGATGATGAATATACCTCTATGTCTCTTAGGGAGGGTCCGTGTAAGCATTTGTCTAGATATAATGATGCCCTGTGCATGTCAGGGTGATCCAAAGCAGGCAGAGAGCATTGGACAGCTCTTTAAGTTGGATCTTTAAAAACAAATACTTGAGAACTATTAAATAAGCGTTTACTCTATGGAGATTTTATATTCTCAGATTTAAAAAACGTTTTCCCCCACAAATCTGATCTGACCACCAGCTAACCCTAATTAAATTAACTGAAATACAAGACTGTAACAAATGTAAAAAGGATGCAATACAAATGGTAAAATAGACAGCAATTGCTTCTAGGGTCCATTGCGTTAACTTGGCAAGGACATTGTCTCCCAGCAACATGAATACTTCACTGTAGTGGTCATGGTGCCTGGCGTCTCTGAAACACTGCGCACATTGAGTTTAAAGGACACCTCTCAGGCACCAAACTATGTATGCTCAGATTGATCATAAGATTTTATCTACACATTGTGATGGCAGTTTTGCTATCAAATGTATTGATTAGGAGAAAAAACGATTTAAAACTAGTTTTTTTTATCCCAGCTGTCTGTCAATGCCTTGGAGAGCAGTAAAGATCTCCCACGGCCTGCGCTGTGGTTGCTATAGAACCTTCCTAGCCGGTGCTTTTAGTGCCGGGTAGGGAGTATAGGAACGGAGTGTGCATGCTGTCGTCACTGACAAGATGCGCCCCAAGCAGGGCAAATCAAAGAAGACTTTAGGAGGAGCTTAGGAAAGCCACGAAGAGTAATACCCAGGAGGCGGCACTGTAAAGGATGTAAAGTGAGTAAACCTTTATATTTTACATTGAATATACCAAGTATCTTTGGGATATATGTAGAATTCAATGTATATGGGGGCGATTTCAGGGTTCTGAGCTGGTTAATGTCAACTGATTAAAACACTGGATAATCTCTAAAGAAAGTGGTTTATCTTCCGCGTCTTTCCTGCAGTCAACCCCTCACCGTACCATTCACTATGAACAGATTTTTTACCTATGCATTGAATGAAATAAAGCTGATTTTTTTTTACTCCACATTAGAGTTGCCACTTTAATGGGCCTTCTATTAATTTTTACAATACACAAGATCCAGCGCACTCACTTAACCACTAAACAGCAACTTCAATGTTGACAGATCTATAAAACATTAAAACTGCTGTTTAGTGGATATGTGATTGCACTGGATCTTGTGTATTGTATAAATTGGCCCCCAGCAGCACCCCATTTATACATGTTCAGGTGAGTGCAGCCCCCTGGTTTCATGTATATTCTATTCATTATTTATTTATTTTTTATAAATTCTTTATTTGTGACAGTTTTTCAGTTTTTTGTTTATCAACATGAAAGAAAGTTAAAGAACGCAGAAACAGAGGTGTTAGGTAAAATAGGTTACATTGCAATGCAAGACAATATCATTATGCAACCACATAAATGAAACATTCCTGTGTACATTGTATTGGTCGGTGGCTGGTGTCAGGTGCCCAAGAACCAGGCTGGGGTGTGACGATGGTTGTTGTTCGTCACGCTTGTGATAGTGCTGTATTATTGGGGGCCCGTGGGGGTAGACTCATTGAGAGTGGGAGCATGGGTTTGCTATCTGAATTTAACCACCATTTGACATGATAGAAGGCTCAGGGAGGGGTAAGTAAGTGTATTGTTCGCTTAAGGGGTTTAAGTGGTACGGTCGCTAGGGCTAAACAATTTAGTGAGCAGTGGGTTGGGAACACAGACCCATCGGGTTATTCATTTTTAAAAACTTTCAATGCCAAAATGGGTTAACACAAACTAATGTACGCCGGTATCCATAACACACGGTTTATGATATTGTGTAATGTGTACCAGCACAAAGTCAGATTTACACCTACAGTGATAGGGAGACAGGTCAACAATCACACACTGAGAAACCAGGCACTACATATGATGTCAACATTCCTGGCTCAAGGAACTCTGGGAAGTCAATCTCTTAACCAGGGTCATATCAGAAATGTATTAAACAAATGTATAAATCTCAGAAGGAACCTTATCAGTGACCAGCAATGTTGTTATATAGCATAGTCATAAATATGCCAAAAAGCTCCCGTGGCAGGCAAACTTGCCATTTATATAAACAGAGCCCAATTATGGAGCAGGATCTCCCAATTCCTATAAATGGATAGGCAACTATCACCTTTCAGAGAAAAAAAAATATTTAGATACAAAAATCATGCTTAAAAAATAAAACAAAAAACAAAAAGAAAAGAAAAGTAATGGGGCAGTAGTGGGGGAGTTACGGGCAGTAAGTGGGGGTATGGGCTGTAATGTGGGGTATAGAGGCTGTAATGGTGGAAGAGGCTGTAGTTGGGTCATGAGCTGTATCGGGCGGGATAGGGGCTGTAGTGGGGAGACAGGGGCTCTAATGTAGGTCAGGGACTGTAGGGGGTGCAATACAGGCTGTAGTGGGCAGGATAAGGGTTGTAGTGGGAGGGTTAGGGGCTGTAGTGGGCGGGATAAGGGTTGTAGTGGGAGGGTTAGGGGCTGTAGTGGGGAAATAGGAGATATAGTGCGGGGATAGGGGCTGTAGTGGGCGGGATAGAGGATATAGTGTGGGGATAAGGGGGTATAGTGGGGAACAGGGGCTGTAGTGGGCGGGATAGGGGCTGTAATGGAAAATAGGAGCTGTATTGGGGGAATAGGGGATATAGTGTGGGAACAGGGGGTGTACTGGATGAGATAGGGGCTGTAGTGGGGAAATAGGAGATATAGTGTGGGGATAGGGGGTGTAGTGGGCGGGATAGGAGCTGTAGTGGGCGGGATAGGGGATATAGTGTGGGGATTAGGGGGTATAGTGGGGAACAGGGGCTGTAGTGGGTGGGATAGGAGCTGTAATGGAAAATAGGGGATATAGTGCGGGGATAGGGGATAAAGTGCGGGGATAGGGGCTGTAGCGGGCAAGATAGAGGCTGTAGTGGGGATACAGGTGATATAGTGGGGATACAGGTGATATAGTGGGGGAACAGGGACAGGTGAATATGGGCTGTAGTGGTGAGGTAGAAGCTGAAGAAGGAGAAAATAGGCTGTAGTGAAGGAATAGGTGCTGAACGAAAATTTAATTTTTAATAAAGTTATTCCACTCTCTCTGTGGTATACTTTGGGAAGGGAGGGGCGAGCCCTTGGTGGTTCGGTGATCCCTGTTGGTCCAGTGTATCTGCTCTGATGAGCTCCGATGTTTGTCGTGTTGCTGGAGCAATGCTGGCTCACGTCTGAGTGCTAAATACTCATGCCAGTTTTGAAGATGGCCGCCAAGAATGCATGGTGGCCATTAGTCAAAATAAATTGCTGTGGCTGGCCCGAATGGCATTGTCGGAGTGCCCGAATGGTCAGTCTACCCCTTGCAGGTGTGTGCATCTAAGTAGTGTAGAAGTGGGTAGAAATTACACAGTCATTTATTATTAATGTAACGTGATAAGGTGATAACGTGACCACTTACAATGGAGGAGGGGGTGGCAGATGCAGTAATAGTTATGGTGCATGGAGTGTTCTTCTAACACCAAATAAGTAAAAAAGGAGAACGAGAGATAAAGGAAAAAAAAAAAAAAACAACAACCCAAGAACCACAAAAACAGAGCTAATTGAAATATCTCACACACAACACTCTGCGTACACTGCCACTTTAACACCCCTTAAAGGACCACTATAGTGCCAGGAAAACATACTCGTTTTCCTGGCACTATAGTGCCCTGAGGGTGCCCCCACCCTCAGGGTCCCCCTCCCGCCCGGCTCTGGAAGGGGGAAAGGGGTTAAAAATTACCTTTTTCCAGCGCTGGGCGGAGAGCTCTCCTCCTCCGATCCTCCTCCGTTCCGCCCCGTCGGCTGAATGAGCACGCGCGGCAAGAGCTGCGCGCGCATTCAGCCGGTCGCATAGGAAAGCATTTACAATGCTTTCCTATGGACGCTGGCGTGCTCTCACTGTGAAAATCACAGTGAGAAGCACGCAAGCGCCTCTAGCGGTTGTCAATGAGACAGCCGCTAGAGGCTTTGGGGGAAGGCTTAACCCATTCTGAAACTGCTATGTTTATAAAAAAAATGGGTTAACCCTAGCTGGACCTGGCACCCAGACCACCTCATTAAGTTGAAGTGGTCTGGGTGCCTAGAGTGGTCCTTTAACAGGCTATCGTGCTGGGGTAGGCAACCTTTGGCACTCCAGATGTTATGGACTACATCTCCCTGATGGATTTGCCAGCACATAGTCCACAACATCTGGAGTGTCGAAGGTCGCCTATCCCTGCTATAGTGTGAACAAAGGAACAAGTTATGGCCATAAAACATGACACAAATGAAATGTCAGGACAGTGTCGTCCACAAAAATGAGGCTCAAAGTTTGTCTGGTCCTGAGGAAGAATGGGCAAAGATGAAGGAGACAGATTTAGTGATGATACAGTAAGAAAGGGTAGTTGTCAGCTGGTTACTCTGCATGCTCTGGGAAGGGTTTGAAATCACTGCTTGGAGATGTTGCAACCTCCAGTGATTCAGTGTGAAAGTATGACCACAGGCGTCCCAGTAATGCGAGATACAGACCTTTATCAGGAGATGTATTGTGATACAGCACAGGGGTTACCATGACCCTCACTGATCACAAACAAAAGTGCTCCTTAAAGGGACACTCCAGGCTACCACTCATGCTAGGTGCACTGTGTAGGTTAGGTTACAGCTTGTTACACTGGGTGGGTTTTTATTATTAAAGGGACACTCCAGGCTCCCACACACATTAGATGCACTGTGTAGGCCTGGAGTGGCCCTTTCACACCCATGGCACCATAGGATAAAATGTTTAGTAATTTAGACACGGGTGGACTAAGGGCAGAGTTCCCAAAATGACCTTACACTCACTTCCTCAGATGCTGGATCAACAAATTAAATCAGTGCATATAATTCCTGTTAAACGGCCAGATCCCAAAACAAAACTTGAAAGAACTGCTCACACATACACTTATGTCAGAATATTGCATTCTTTTAAATTATTATTACTGTATGTTGAGATTTCTCATTATTAAGTAAATTCTGGAGAGCTTATAATACTACAAATAAAACCAGAGGCATATACATTACAGGTATAGATATATTGTAACACATATAGTTTCATTACATAAACATTGTTACATATACAAGCATCATGTACCATTAAATATCTATTTTTCAGTAATGGAAAGTTATACTATATAGTCTATATATTAATATCTAAGTCACAGTGCTTTGTTATCGGTGACATTACCAATTATTACCTCCAGGCACTAGTGGCGCTGTTGTGCTGACATCATGATGCTGGTAATGACATCACTCAGTAATGGTTCTCTGCAGTCTTGACTCAAGACTAAACTAGCCCTTAATTCTCCGAAAACATTTTTTCACCAACCCCAAAAAAAAACAAAAAACACATTTCTTCCGAGCTCAAGGAGCCGTCTCTGCGTGCCTCCCTTTTTTTTACACCACAATGTTGTTTCACAATAGAAGACACATTCACTGTGTTAAAAACTCCCCTCTCCCTTGTATAACAAGCCCGTTTGGCATATGCCACTTCACTATAAGTAACTTACCAAGTAACTTCTACCATAAACGTTAATTAACATCAGACATGTTACTTCTCACAATAAACCATCAACCTTTCATCCTACCCCCACCCCCAAAACAATTACAAAAATAATAATCGCAAAAATAATTTAAAAAAAAAAAATAAAAAAAACGGAAAAAAGGATTTTGGTTTTATTATAGAACGGCCTGTGTTGTCTTATGTTCCGCACGGAAATAATTCCACAGCCAAATGCTGATTTGATATGATGCGATTGTTTCAGCGTCAATTACTCAAGCTGGTTTCTAAGAAGGATCTATGTGGAAATGATGCAAAACGAAAAAGGAGGGGAAAAAAATCCCTTTATTTTATTTAACTCCCGTTTCCCTACCTCTCTTTGAAAAACATAATTTATCTGTGTATTATCAAGAAAGCCAGACACTTTAATCAGTGAGCTATGAAGTCACCCGTTCCATTGTTATCTGGTGGAGGAGTGGAAATGGAGAATAGATAGGCAGCTCCCAGGCCATCACTGGTGGGGAATGTTAATGGGCGAAATAGCAAAGAGATTGGCTACAAGAGGATGCCTATCTTCCCTATTATCAATGCCTTATCAATGCAACCATCACAGCTCAGTAATGGGGCCAGTTCAACTTTCTGCTTTATCAGAGAGTCTGATTCAGCCAGAGGGACAGGGGCTGTAAAGCAAGAGGGGGAGGGAGAATAAGCATCTGGGTTTGCAGCGTATTTAGAAAGCAATATTTTATTCCATATGCTTCCACCTCACTCTTTAACCCTGCTCGCTGCCAGTTCGGTTACAAGCGTATAACAGTCTATGTGTAAGAAAGCTTATGTGCCCACTGTGCTGCTTTTAAAGGGTTACTACAAACACCATGACCACTTCATTGACCTGAAGTGGTCATGGTGCCTGGAGTCTATATGTGCAGTGTTTTGCTTTGTAACGCTGGACATTTAGAGATTAATCCCTCAGTAAGTCCACCTCCGCTAGTGTTCTGTGCAAAATAGCTTTTTGACAGCCAACCCACCAATTAACCCCTTAACATGTTACCCTTAAAGGAGCTGGCTAGATATCCTAACCACTGTATGATATGCACATTAGTAATGGGTGAGATGGATGCACTTTTGGTTACAGACAGGCAATGGTAGCATGCCCTCCACCCGACGAAAGCGAGTGACGTTAGCTAAGGGTGTCAAACATTTTGACTTTTAATTGTGGGAATATGCCATGGGACTCTTGGCAACATAACCACTACATGGCTTTATAGTGGTTGTGATGCCTAGAAAAAGGTTTTTTTTGACGGGGAGGTGATTGTTTTTGTTGGTAAACTCTACCTTTTAATTATTTTTGTTTATTTATGCCATTGGAAGGTGAGACACACAATTTGCTCTCCACACTTACAGATATTGTTTTAAAAAAAAAAACCAAAAAAAAAAACCTTCACACTTTTATCGATGTGAAAAAGGCAGTTGGCATTGGTGGCCATGCCTGATAATATTTAGTTATCTTGTTACTAATGTAACAAAGCACTAGATTAGAACAAAGGTCACTTCTATCATTTGGCTATATCACAGCAGAGTTGTTGTGCTTTAGTGACAAACTATGAAACTTTATGGGACATGGATGCTAAATTTTGATCAGAGGTTTACTAGATCCGACAAAGAACGCTGTGCAGAGTTTTATGAGCTCCGACAAAGAACGTTGTGCAGAGTTTTGCGAGATCCGAGGGAGAACAATGTGCAGTTTTATGAGAACCGAGAAAGAACGCTGTGCAGAGTTTTAAGAGATCCGAGAAAGAACGCTGTGCAGAGTTTTAAGAGATCCGAGGAAGAACGCTGTGCAGAGTTTTATGAGCTCCGACAAAGAACCCTGTACAGAGTTTTACGAGATCCGACAAAGAACGCTGTGCAGAGTTTTATGAGCTCCGACAAAGAACCCTGTACAGAGTTTTACGAGATCCGACAAAGAACGCTGTGCAGAGTTTTATGAGTTCCGACAAAGAACCCTGTACAGAGTTTTACGAGATCCGACAAAGAACGTTGTGCAGAGTTTTGCGACATCCGAGGGAGAACACTGTGCAGTTTTACGAGATCTGAGGAAGAACACTGTGCAGAGTTTTACAAGATTTGAAAGAGAACGCTGTGCAAACAGCACGAGGCTAACAAGGCATGGGCGGCACTTTGAGGGGACGGCGAAAACGCAGATGCCTTGTCTCCGGCTGCTGACCTTGGGACCCCCCTGAGGCTGGCATCTGCTCATATTGTAGGTGGGCGGCAAAGGAACGCTTTCACCTGAGCTCTGTTTTGCTCCCACGCGTGCCCGCAGTGATGCCAGAGCCAGAATATGCCATCGCTCCGGCACAGGCATCGCTGAGTGGTGTGCGAGGGAGTTGAGTAGGAAGAGCAGAGCTCCCTCGCTGCCTGCATTGGTCCCCAACACCACAGGAGCCATCCCAGCAGCCCTACTGGACCATAGGGACCTGTTTCTGTCAGTGAGTGTGTTTGTGTGTCTGTCACTGAGAATGTCTGCCAGTGAGAGTGTATGTGTGTCAGTGTGTGTATTTGTCAGTGAGAGTGTCTGTCAGTGTGTGTGTATTTGTCAGTGAGAGTGTATGTGGGTCTGTCATTAAGAGTGTCTGTTAGTGCGTGTGTATTTGTGTCTGTCAGTGAATGTGTATGTCTGGACGGGCAGGTGGGTGGGAAGTGCTAAGAGAAAATGAAGAGATTCAGCATTGCTTAGTTCTGGGTGTGTGAAGTGAGACCTAGGGAACAAGGATGGAGATGAAACAGTTATATGAAGGTATTTATGGGTAGAAGGGGCAGAGGAAGGAGAGAGAGGAGGTGGATAGAGTAAGCATGTGTTGTATACCATTGAAAACATGAAAGATTTTGAACAGAACAATTTCAACAAGTTAAGAGAAACTTGGCTTACATTGTGCAAGAAATTTCATTATTTATTTTCCAAGCAGTGAAACCCCAGAGCTGTATGCACTGAAGACCTATGCTGCATGTGTGGCACTTGCCACAATCCGCCCATCCAGTGCTCTTCTATGTGAAGCATTAAATTCAGAGTGCTGTGCATGACGACAGTGGATGTGAAGACTTTGGAAATCGAAGGTGTTGAAGGAGGAAGTGCCTCCAGTGGATGGCAGCCTGACAGCCACTAGAGGCAGGTTTTCGGCAAAATGTAAACACTGCCTTAAAAAAAATAAAAAAAATTAAAAAGGCAATGTTTTACATTGCCCGAGAAATGGGACAATACCTATGCACAAAAAATATGTTAAGATGTGGTTGTTTTAGTGTTTTGCGTTTCACTTTAAATCATTGAGAACCAGTACAAAAATTTCTTTTACCACTCTAAACTAAAAAATAAAAATACAATTCAGTTCAATCAAGAGAAGAGTAACTGTTTGTTAGAGTAAACAGTAATAACTGTAAACACAAGATACGTAGTCCAACAAAAACAAAAATGTCTTGTGTTTTTACGACAAATCAGTATTTTGAGTGGCCTCAAAAAGCAATGCTGAATCAGTTTGGTTTGGTACAAGGTCATGTATTTTTATTTTCCAAGTAGTCCGGGTAAAATACTCCCAGGTTTCTGCTCTTTATGACAAAAAATCATAATTTATTAGTGCTCCATTGCACAGGGCAAATTACTGTAAGACTGCAAGCGTCCCACCTTCTGAGTACTGATCTATTTTGTCTTCATCAGGTTTTGACTCTGTGGTTTCATTTTCAAATCACTCATGAAGACTACTAGTTGACACTCCATGTTTTTTTTTCTTCATTATTTATGTCTTTCTTTCGTAGATTTTCTTCACCTTGCCACGAGAATGGTCACTTAACTACGAAACCATTCCACACCTTTGAAGACAGTGCTTTGGGTGAAGCTGAACACTCACTACATGTTGTGTGTGTAGTTTACAGTATCCATACAGCTTTTTGGGTCTTCCACTGCACTGACTATCGTTAGCCCCAATCTTTGGTAGCGCAGTTATTTAATTATTACACTGCTCAGTGTTTTGTTTTTTCTTTTCTTGTCTAATAAACACAAAACCAATTAAAAATAACAACCTTCAAACATGAGGCCTTTTGCACAGTACCTCTATATCTATGCAAATAAACGCATACAGCCCCCCCCCCGCCCCCCTTTCCGATTATTCATCATTAATCATGGTCAGGTAGTGACCTGCAGATCACTTGGAGTTCTTACGTTTTTTTGCCTTATTTTACTGTTTGTTATTGTAGTTCAATCCTTCTCCAGTCTGCTTGCTGGAGATAAGGGCTCTTTATCTGACTTTGAGATCTTTATCAGAGCACAGATCGGCCATACAACTTATCTGAAATTTACATCAAGTCAAGAGCCAAACAGAGAGGAAAAACAGGCCAGCCAAGTGCTACACACACAGAACCGATGTTTCCCTTTTCTTCATTTGTTTAGATCAGCAATGAAGAAAAACATGTGTTTTACCTAAATGAGGGGTATAAAACTCCCACGCTGTTCTGCCAGTCTAACCCTGTGCCATGTGACAAACTGTGCACTCTGACAATTCTCTACCACACATTTACAGGAGTTGCAGCTGAATGGAAGCCAGAGATTGGGGGCTTTAAATAATCACCCCAGCTTAGAACACAATAAATAGAATTTGCACTCTGTTCTAGAGCTGTTTCAGAAGAAACAATGATTTCTTTAGCACGGCACAAAAACCTCTGCCTGTCCTCAGAGGCTCAATCCCAAAAGCGAGGTGTGAGGGCGCTCAGAGATTTCCTAGTAGCTCACATACCCCACACGCTTTATCACACGCCGAGGCATGTGGGTAGCAGAGTTCGATGCAGGTAAATCACACTGATTATCAGGTGGCGATCTCCGCGCGTCTCTTATCAGTAACTGACATCTTGAAACAAACTTGCACAAAAGAACAGCAGAGGAAGCAGGAAGATGTATACATTGTAGATGTAGAGATATAAACTCACAGTAGATTTAAAGAAATTAAGAAAGTGATTAGATCTACATGCGTATTATATATATATACACACACACACACACACACACACACACACTGTTCTATGCTTGCACGGCTGTTAAGGATTTAAAGTTATATACAGATATACACTAATATAAGACAAGGCTCTTCTCGTATGACTCTGCATTGCAATCAAGTTTCCTGAGAACACTTGACTTGTGTATTTATTATGTTTGTCTGACCGCAAGTTGCTGACCTGAACAATTGCCAAACCCCTGCTGTGTGGATGGTGAGTTGTTCTATCCACATACTGCCCTTATATGTCCGGTCAATGGTCACCCTATAAAGCCCATCACATTATATACACAGACATTTTATAAATAAGGTTTAGGATTATGGCGGGCTGGCATGTTATTGATGAAGCATCTAGCAAGTACCGCAACCTGTCTACAGTAGTCTACAAGGAATGTCTAGCAAGTACCGTAGCCTGTCTGCAGTTCTCCAATATTGCAAGGAATGCCTAGCAATTCCCATAACCTGTCTGCAGTACTCCAATATTGCAAGGAATGCCTAGCAAGTAACGTAACCTGTCTGACGGTATTCTAATTCTACGAGCCACGGCCAACAGTTACCTAAACATGTCTTACAGTATTCTAATAATGCAAGACATGCCTAGCAAGTACCCCAACCTGTCTGTCTGCAGTAAGTAAATACAAACACAGAATTCAGACATAATAAATATCACAGAGTATACGTTACATAACATTTTTAGCCACAAAACATCTTCCCATCACTGAGTCATAGGTCCCATTACTTTGTTATGGGTTAATACGATTACAGGTTTCATAAATGTATATATAAATGGTTATGTGCTGCCCCCACTCCCACCCTTATCTCCCCTCTCATCAGTTCCCTGTTGTAATCAGGGTGTTTAGTGAATGAGCGAGTGCGCTGGATTTTGTATGTTGTATATTTTGGCCCCAGCAGCACCCTATACTGTTGGCATGTTCAGGTGAGTGAAGCCCTCTTGGTTTCATTTATAGATTTGTCCAGGCCAACTCCTTGGTTTTGCACCCCTCCATGTCACAGGTGCCTCATTCCAGGACCCTATTTAGCCTTGACTTGCAGAGAGTTCTAAGAAGAAGTATTTTCCAAGTAAGTGGATTGATCTCATAAGAGCAGGCATTGGGCTTCTACAGTAGGACCTGCCAAGAATGGGGTACATTGACGTTGCAACAGTCTTATGCAATATATGATCATATAATGTAACTAAATCGCCATTAGGTTTTGCCTAGGTGAGGTGTTTTTAAATAAAACTATTACAATCTGTGATATTTGAAATCACTGTTTAGTGAATGAGCGAGTGCGCTGGATTTTGTATGTTGTAATCTAACAAACATCTAACTGAAACCAGAAGAAAACCATGCAATCAGACCCCGCCCATGCTCTCACACAGCCAATCAGCAAACAGAGAAAGGCCCTCCACAAATAACCTTATTCATATCACAGGATTAAAATATCCACGAATACAATACCCGTGGCCATCATGCACAATGCCTGCTAAAAGACAAGCATTTTAAACGATCACAGATATATAGTTTTATTTGGTCCCAAGTTACAAAACCTAAAATAAGAGTATGTTACACAGCAAAATTAGCAATGCTGAAAAGAAGTGGAAAAAGTCACAGAAAAAAAAGCTAAAATCCTAATGGGCAACTGTGATAAAATTTGTAAAAAGCACAGTAATAAAATTAAACATTTTTCCTATTTTATATTTATTTTTTGTGCACAAGGTCTATAAAAGCTTCACAGGCACAGTATGTGTATGTATATATATATTATATAAATATATTTATTTTAATTCTTTATTTATTCCAAGACAGTCTTGCGATAGTACAAGCTATGCACAACAATAAGTTTCATACAAGTTAAAAGAACTAAGAATGGGGGGGCTGTGCCCTGACACTCAGAGATCAGCCACGTGTAGCTTCAGCTCCGCTGAAAATAGGCACCAAAACATAGGATTGTGACCCAAAACGAACAGGGTTCGAACAGGGAATAGATGGGTTCCTCCTGCAAGGGAATTCTCTAAATCAGATTGTTAAGTGCGACATAGGCGACATCACTTGGTCTGATCACGCGCCAGTCACCTTAGATCTAAAGCAGGGCTTGACAAATCCCAGGCGCCAGAAATTTCGCCCTGGCGTCTGGGATTTGCCAGCTCTCTAGCTTTGACAGCGGCTGCCATGGGGAATATTGCAGACGGCCGCCCGCATGAGCAGGGAGGTGGGCGACCGACCTCCCTGAAGAGCATGGAGGTGGGCGGCCGCCCTGAAGAGCATGGAGGTGGCGGCCGCCCTGAAGAGCATGGAGGTGGCGGCCGCCCGCGGGAGCATTATGGGCGGTGCGCGAGGGAGCAGTACTCTGCCTTCAGCTGCTCTCTGCTCCCTATATACATATGATGTCATTCCGGCCCCGGCATCATTACAGAGCGCGAGGGAGCAGAGAGGAGCTACAGGCAGAGTACTGCTCCCTCGCACACAGGAAGAGTGCTGCCCCACTGGACCCCAGGAAAGACTCACTTAGCTCTCCCAAAGGTAGGGAGGCTGAGTGTGTTTCAATTCAAACAAAAATGTGTGTGTGTGTAAGCCTGTGTGAGTCTGTCAGAGTGTGTGCATGTGAACCTGTCAGAGTGTGTGTGTGTATGTATGTGTGTGAGCCTGTCAGAGTGTGTGTGTGTGTGTATGTATGTGTGCGAGCCTGTCAGAGTGTGTATGTGTGTGAGCCTGCCAGAGTGTGTGTGTGTGTGTGTGTGTGTGTGTGTGAGAGCCTGTCAGAGTGTGTGTGAGCCTGTCAGAGTGTGTGTGTGCGAGCCTGTCAAAGTGTGTATGTGTGCGAGCTTGCCAGAGTGTGTGTGTGTGTGAGCCTGTCAGTGTGTGTGTGAGCCTGTCAGTGTGTGTATGTGTGTGAGCCTGTCAGAGTGTGTGTGTATGTGTGTGTGAGCCTGTCAGTGTGTGTATGTGTATGTGCGCGAGCTTGCCAGAGTGTGTGTGTGTGTGAGTGTCAGTGTGTGAGCCTGTCAGTGTGTGTGAGCCTGTCAGTGTGTGTGAGCCTGTCAGTGTGTGTGTATGTGTGTGAGCCTGTCAGTGTGTGTGTGTATGTGTGTGTGCCTGTCATGTGTGTGTGTGTGTGTGTGTGTGTGTGTGAGCCTGTCAGAGTGTGTGTGTGTATGTGTGAGCCTGTCAGAGCCTGTGTGTGTGTGTATGTGTGTGGGAGCCTGTCAGAGTGTGTGTGTGTGAGTGTGTGTCTGAGCCTGTCAGTGTGTGTGTGTGTGCCTGTGTGTGTGTGTGTGACTGTCAGAGAGTGTGTGTGAGCCTGTCAGAGAGTGTGTGTGTGAGTGTCGAGAGTGTGTGTGAGCCTGTCAGAGAGTGTGTGTGAGCCTGTCAGAGAGCCTGTGTGTGTGTGGAGCCTGTCAGAGAGTGTGTGTGTGAGCCTGTCAGAGAGTGTGTGTGAGCCTGTCAGAGAGTGTTGTGAGCCTGTGTGGCCTGTCAGAGAGTGTGTGAGTTCGTCAGAGAGTGTGTGAGCGCCTGTCAGAGAGTGTGTGAGCGCCTGTCAGAGAGTGTGTGAGCGCCTGTCAGAGAGTGTGTGAGCGCCTGTCAGAGTGTGTGTGAGCGCCTGTCAGAGTGTGTGTGAGCGCCTGTCAGAGTGTGTGTGAGCGCCTGTCAGAGTGTGTGTGAGCGCCTGTCAGAGTGTGTGTGAGCGCCTGTCAGAGTGTGTGTGAGCGCCTGTCAGAGTGTGTGTGAGCGCCTGTCGGAGTGTGTGTGAGCGCCTGTCAGAGTGTGTGTGAGCGCCTGTCAGAGTGTGTGTGAGCGCCTGTCAGAGTGTGTGTGAGCGCCTGTCAGAGTGTGTGTGAGCGCCTGTCAGAGTGTGTGTGAGCGCCTGTCAGAGTGTGTGTGAGCGCCTGTCAGAGTGTGTGTGAGCGCCTGTCGGAGTGTGTGTGAGCGCCTGTCAGAGTGTGTGTGAGCGCCTGTCAGAGTGTGTGTGAGCGCCTGTCAGAGTGTGTGAGCCTGTTGTCAGCGTGAGTGTGTATGTGAGCCTGTCAGAGTGTGTCTGTGTGTGTGTGTGTGTGTGAGAGAGAGCCTGTGGTGTGTGCAAGTTTAGGTACCTGCCCCCTCTGATCGCATGTGTTTTTACTCACCTTTCTTCCCATTTCCCACGCCGTGCCATTTTCGCCATGGCTGAGATGATCAATCTTTATGATCTCAGCTAAGGCAATGCTTTCCTTTAGGAGGATTTTGTGCACGCACAGGAAATGTACCAATCTGCATCTCCTCATAGAGATGCATTACATTAATCAATCTTTATGATGAACATTCAGCGCCTCCATGCAGAGCTTGGAGACACTGAACCAGGGTGCTGCACGTGATGCAGCAGTGACCCAGGAGTCTCTAGTGGCCATCTGAGTGACTGTCACTAGAGGTGTTACTAAGCAGCAATGTAAACTCTGCCTTTTTGTGAAAAAGGCAGTATTTACACTGAAACACCAGCAGGGACAGGCTATAGACACCAGAACAACTATATCAAGCTGTAGTGGCTCTGGTGATTATAGTGTCCCTTTAAACATTGCACTTTCTCGTTGAAAATTACTGGCTCCTAACTTTTTTTAGCTGGCTCCTATATTCCAAACAAATTTGTCAAGCCCTGATCTAAAGGACTTATACGACTTTAAGCACCGGAGCCCATGGCGACTAAACGCCTCTTTACTCCAGAACACACAATTCAGGAATGCATTGAGCACAGCCCTCCAACACTATTTCGAAGACAACATTACATCAGACACTCCCCATAGTACCCTTTGGGTCACACACAAACTGGTAATTACAGGTTTGCTCATTAGGTGGACGTCCTACTAAAAAAAACCAAAATAATAAAAAAAAAACCCACAAACCCAATTACTACAATGGCAGCAAGAACTGTATCACCTAAACACACAAAACCAATTAACTACCACTAGTAAGTTGAGAGATAAAATTATGTTCCTCACCAGGTAAATCCACCAGTATGCTCTAGAGCCCACGAACTTCTATCTTAAAAAACTGAAGGCCACAAACTACACGCAAGGCAATAAGACAAGCAGATTCTTAGCCACTAGATTAAGGGAACAACAGAACAATGAAAAAATAGCATACCTCCTTAAACAAAATGGGGAAAACGCATGATACCTCGAGAAATCAGTAAGGAGTTCGACAGGTATTATGCTGACCTTTCTAAGCTTAATAAAGATGTAACCATCCACCAACCTTTGGAAGATAATACGAACGCGTATCTAGACACAAGATCAAGTACTTCTGACATTTGTTGTTCTCCTGCATTATCGATCTGATACATAAGCTACCATACCCAAAGCATGATTTTTATGGTCCATAGACTACACATGTACCGCAGACGTAGGCACCTGGAACGCAGGGTCAACAAACCTGAGTACATCTGAGATCACAAATTATACAGTCGACCCAGATCAGGGCAAACAATGACAGCACTGCCTAGGGAACAAGCTAACAAGGTAGGACACCAGCAGTCGTCAGACCACAGGTAGACAATGATCTATGGGATATGGCCATTCACGCCACGATAGACTGCTCATACGCTAGACAGGGAAGCAGCGACACAATCCCATCAAAGGTGATAAACTACTCACTCAGGCACACCTGGAAACCTTGTAGGTACTCGGGTAACATCAACTATACCCGTCATACCAGATTCTGGCCTCATAAAGATTGGTACTACATCCCTTGGCATAGAAACAATGTTACCCTCAGAGGGGATCACCCTTCCTTACTGATATGACATCACCACCTGCACAGGGTGGACTTACTGTGAGCGAGTATTAATAGCCTATAGCAGTCATAGATGATGTGCCCAAGCCCTGAACCTCGCAATACTGGCCGTACATCGGGAGCCCTAAATTACCCACGGAATAGGTCACTGGCTGATAGCCCGTGTAGACTGTTACTGTAATAGCTATGTGGTTGTTGCTTGTCACTGTTTTGACTGTGCCAAACTTACTACATGGCCCTCTATCGCTTGTTGCCAACACGAACATATAATACCGGTGTGAAATATCCGCTATAAAGACAGACAATGTAAACTTGTTATTAAAAACAATAAAAATAGTCAATTTGATTAAAAAAATTAATTTAAAAAAGAACTAAGAATAAAAACAAATCAAACCACAAAATTAACAAGAACAGTGCAGCCAATTACTAGAGGATTGTGTACATCAATAAATTCACAACTAGTAAAATGTGTCAAATAGTTCTGCAGTTTGGTTCAGGTCCCCGTAGGAAGTGGGATGGTAGTATGGTTTTAGATTGTGTACATCACCCATTCAATGTGCCAAGCACCGCTGTAGGGAATAGTCATAAGATATAAGCCATAGAGTCCAGATTAAAGCACCAGGTTGGGTGAAGTTACCTATATTATGTTGGATCTTCCACATTATTCTTATGGATCCACTCTGTCTATTCAGTCTTTGATGGATGGAGATTTAGTGGACATCTAGTGTAGTGGGATTGAGTTTAATAAATGAGATTGAATGTATCGTTTCATAGAAGTGGATGTATGATGGAATATGAAGGATTGTAGGGTAAGGGCATCGAACTGCCAGTTATGGGGTTTAGTGGCCAAGAAATACAGGTCCAGTATGATGGGATTTGAGGGCAAAATCACCAAATGTGAGCTGTGGTACCCACATTGTCCTAGATCTCCAGCGCTTTTGGGATATGTTAGGGAACGTGATGTAAAGCTTAAAGAGTAAGGTGCCACCTGCCCAATAGCGTATAGTTGGCTACTGTAATTGCATTGCAGAACCGCTGAGGCATGCATCCTTTACTTTAAATTTAGCAATATCTCACAATTTGAGGTCCAGAAAAAGGTACAGAATGTTAGAGCTAGGCTGTACTATGCCAATATTGGCACCCCAAATGTACGCAAACTACATTTCCCATGATGCCAGGCATTTGGGAACCCAAAGTTAGCCATCATGGAAGCAGTAATACAAAACTGAGATTACATTATTCCCTAAGGAGGAGTAGACTTTCAACTGCAGACTTCTGTTCTAAGGACGTCATATAAACTATTATCTGACAACCTACTTTTCTTTTTTCTGCATTAACCGCTGGTTGGCAGTCCAGCTAGCAGAAATGCATATTCTCCCATTTTGGCATAAAATCAATAGCTAAAGGTCATTAAATCATCTATACAGATTGATAAAGCACAATTTCGCCTGCTGGACAATCTCAAATGACGGATCGCAAGCAAGACTGATTTCATGCTGAAATTAATTACCCACCCGCCCTCTAGGTAGATCCTTCACCCCAGCAAACACTAATAAAGCATTTAGCGGGTGGTGAGGACTGCAGCTGAGTATATGGTATTTTATGTCAGAACCCATAATATTCTATTTCTTTTATGGCATAAAAAGTTTAGTGTCTCTCGCCAATCACCTGCTCATTCCCTTTTATCAGCTGCTGCAGTTATCCCATTAACTCTCTCTGTCATCACATACAAATCCCTCTGCTACCTCTCATTTCCCCATTTTAAACCTTTAGATTGTAAGATCATGGGCTTTTCTTATTGTGTTTTGTCTTTTTCCCAATTGTACAGCGCTGCGGAATATGTTGGTGCTTTATAAATGCCAGTAATAAATAAACAGCATAAAAAGTTTAGTGTCTCTTGAACAGTATTTCTTGCGTACTGCTATTGGGCTAAGACACTGAACTATAATAAACACAATCCCAGATATAAGATAGAGATAACCAATAAATTCTCTGCTTTAAACCCTTGCTAATCCTTAAAGAGGTATTACAACATTATACAGATTTCAAACGCCGCACGACTGTCAAATTTAAAGGATCACTATAGGGTCAGGAACACAAACATGTATTCCTGACCCTATAGTGTTAAAACCACAATCTACATTGCAATTCATTTTCAAGTTTCTGTACAGATTTCTTGGTATATCAGTAGTGTGAGTTTTAAAAAAAATATGTAGCAGAAGACGCAATGGATCTGCTTAAAAATGATCTACGTAACAGGATAATTAACCACTCAAGAGGATGGGGCTTAAAGGCAAAATTCAACATGAACCTGAATGGAGAGGTTAGAGCACATGGACTGGCACAGGGAAGATGTGTCCAGGAGTCCAATAATTGACATTGTAACAGCTTAGAGTCTCCAAATAAGGATGTGTTATATATGCAGATTAGTTATTTTATGGAACCTGAGAAATGGAAGTCTAAATTCCCACTCCTTCAGCATGCTCTCCACCGGTTTACAAATGACAAGTTATGCAATAAAGGTGTAATGTTTCTTTAAAAACAAGACTTTCCAGTGTTGAGATGTGTGTGTGTGTGTTCAGGTCGGGATGTTTGGTCGCACTGTGCACTTATCGCTTGCAATCAGTCAGTATAATACGGTTTGATGGGGTAAAAACTAGTGGGGAGAGAATGGAGGAGTAAAGTTGCATGGATGGAAATATGATAATAAAGGGACACTATCGTCACCAGAACAACTACAGCTTAATGTAGTTGTTCTGGTGAGTATAATAGTTCCCTTCAGGTTTTTTCACGCAAACATTGCCTTTTCAGAGAAAAGGCAGTGTTTACATGGACTCTAGGGACACCTCCAAGTGGCCATTCCTTAGATGGCCATTGGAGGGGCTTTCTGGGTCAGTGCTGCCGAAAAAGCAGCCCTGACGTTCAGCGTCTCCATGCTGAATTTTCCTCAAAGAGATGCATTGATTTAATGCATCTCTATGAGGAGGTCCTGATAGGTCAAAACGGCATTTGGCAAAAAAGCATTGGATTGTCTAAAAAAAAAAAAAAATTGCCAATTTTAATAATGTTACAAAGGGGACAGAGCCAGCGCAGGATGACCCTCGCGGCTTTGTAAATAAGGAGAGTTTAAACCTTTTATAGTGGGGCTAAGGGGGGGCCAAGCCAGCCAAATGGGGAGTTAAACACAATAGGGTCAGGAATACAGGTTTGTGTTCCTGGCCCTATAGTGATCCTTTAAAGGGACTCTCCAGGCAGAGGATTTTACTCACCTGGTTCCAGCGCCGGGAGCCTTGTGAAGCCACGCACCCTATTTCGTCAGGGAGCAATCAGACGCTTTCATTTGGAAGCGTCATTGCTCCCTTGTGCGCATGCCTTACTTCATAGGGCAGGAGAGAGAAGGCGAGCACACAGTGCCTTCTCTCTCCTGCACACGTCAGACGTATTAAAATATGTCTGACGTGTACAAGGCCTTTTTAGGGCCATACATGATAGGAAGTCCCTCTGGTGGCCGTCTGAGTGACGGCCACTGGAGGTATTCCTATCAATCAATTAGATTGCCTGCAGGGAGCTATAGATCTCACCTGAACAACTACATTAAGCTGTAGTTGTTCAGGTGACTATAGTGTCCCTTTAAGAGAGAAGCAGGAGTGACATCAGGTTTGGGAGATGGTTTGTGAATGAAGGTTAATGTTTGGTGATACCCTAAGTAGCCAACATAGTGAACCGGGAGATTATCTCATACAACTGTCCGACACTGGATAACACGATTGCGTGAATGTACGATACCCTTTATGGAAGTTGGTTAAACTTACAGCTGAAATGCTTGCTGCAGTTACACTTTGATTAAAATTATAATATATTCATTGAAATGTATTCAATTAGAACATCAAACATAAAACTGTGTCTCATTTTAAATTCAAAACTGAGCTGGGTAATGCAGGACGACGGACATGCCAACTCTACCATCAAGATGATGCAACCCAACTGCCAAATACATTAACCAAAATTAATGTTCACGAAGCTTCCCTTGCAAAAAATAATATTAGCTGCATCATGTGTCTAGACTCACGCACTGAGATCCATATAAAATACTGCTATAATCAGTCAAATGCAGTAAATGTACACTATAAACGAGAAAGAGATTTAGGAGTAAATCTGAATAGTGCCCAGGGCTGGTTCTATGGCTCTTATCCTTGGCAATCACATTATACAGAGGATCTGCCCTCCAAGCCTGAATGCACATTATATGTCAACGAAGAACAGAGGAGCGGAGAAAAAAAAAACATAGGAAATAATTAGAAAGACTTTAATAATCCTCTGAAACAGCAGAAATCTAACAGAAAATTAACAACTTCTAGGGAAAAACTGTATTGGTATTAAAAGGTACCCTCTTCACTTGGGGACCAACTTGTCACTATAAACCAAAATAGAATCATGCCATAAAACATACATTTACACATGTGCCTCCATCTTTAAAAGCCTACAAAATTGTTATGTTTCTCTGTATTTTTACAAAACAGACTAATGAACAACATTGACATTAATATAAAAGAAAATTGTCTACCATGACAGACGTACAGGGTCTTTATCAACATGATTGATATCAATGCTAAGACGCACTGCAAAACAGTGCCTGATGGGAGTTGCAGTCTAACAGGCCAGAGAAATACTATCCGCTAAAGCCTTTGCCTGCAATTGGTACCATTAAAACCTGTCTGGGTTACTACACGGGTGCTTTGCTTCCTGCACTTTGTAGGATACTCGTCTTATCGGTCTACAGATCAGTATTGTGTTTCAGGAGCTGAGTCTTCCAAACACAGCAACAGCAGACACACTGGCTCTCTGGTAACTACACCTCAACGTACACACTATATAGTGAGTGTTCTGGAGCTGCCAAGTTTTACAGAAGATGTTTTGAGCTGGCCAGCAACTAATGAGTCTAAGCAGAGATACATTTTCTACAGGTCCACAAGCACAGGGGGGAATCTGGTCACCTGCTTAGACTATCTGAGCAATGAATTTGTTAATTGATTGGTCAATTACAACGGTGTGGCTTGTCGGAGGACTCCTGCTTCCACATCACCCCGGTTATTCATCAGAAAACTAAAAAGGCACCCAGGGAGTTAAAGTGAGAGAGAGATAAAGGAGAATAAATAGGTCAGAAAATATGTGGAGAGTGCAGTATGGACAGAAGATGAGAGGGTAGTGAGAAAGGGGGAGGTGGGGGCGAGGAAAGAGCCAGATTCAGATTTATCAGTTTAATAATCGCTCCTGGAAAAACCAAGACAGGTAGATAGAACTTCAGCACTGCAATTACTTCCCCCGTCAGATAAACCCGCTTTATCAGGCAGTTATTTCTGACATCCCTAAATCGGTTTGTTATCTGCAACCTAGATCTAAGCAAGGAACACGAGGCAAGAGGTGCACATCCAATAATGGCAGAAAGTTCTGGGGATGGGGGAGAACAGGTTAGACCTCCCCCACAACCCGTCCGAAATTCGCACATCTCAGATTCGCTCTCGTCAGCTCTGATAAGCCTTTCCGTTACATTACCCCAAAGACAAATTAACATAATAAAATAAAAAAAATAAAATAAAACCAGATTTCTCACAATCTAATTCCGTGTCGCCATCTGGGTTTTTTTTTTTTTTAAAGTGTCTTATTTCACCGGAGATTTCTCTGTTTATATATATATATATTTCAGGATCACTATCAGGACAAAATATAGGCACATATCTATTATAGATCTAGCCATGCATTTACATATGTGTCTATACCCTGCTGCAAAGTAATATCTAGTGAGGGACAGATAAGATCAGAGCAGCTGGGAGATCTCAGAAGAAATACTTTGCAAAAGCACGTGATCCATTCAATACAATGAATGTGAGAGTCATAGCAGATAAGATCTGCTTGCATTCAGGCCTGTCCCGACTCACTGATTCTATCAGGATGTGACTGCATAATGGAATATTTTAAGCTTATCTGGCTGCTGATCAGAGCTTGCTGTTATCCTGTGCAGAATCTGGGTGGGAACGGGGCCTCAGAAGATGCTCATCCAGCTTCCAGCCACCTTTAACATCAGCCACCCCCACTCAATAAAAAAAAATATATATATATAAAAAAAAAAAAAAAATCATCTGCATAATAGCAAGCTGCGTAATGAGCTCCTGGGCATCAGGCAGCCTCCATCACTAGCACGTATCTGGGCTGTGGAGATAAGATTACATGTGACCGTATGTGTATGCAATATTCCAGGGGGTTGTGAGCAACTGGCTCAATTTTCCAGCGTCTAAAAAAATTTTTTTTTTTAAATTGCTGAAAGTCGGGAATACACCCCCCTTCCCCTTTCTTCATGGGTGCCACGCTTTTAGTAGTGTCAAACTCCTGGATGATATATGCACAGCACATTAGATGCCAAATTGCACCTCTTGTCCTTAACCATTCCAGTGCTGAAGAACTGAGAAATGCATTACCTGCAGTTGCTATGGTGTTCTCCAAACATAAAAACTCACCCAAAGATTTAAAGCAACAAGAATGTCTTAACAATATGGAGGGAAAACACAATATATGACCAGTTAAGGCTTCAGCATGGACGGTGTCGCATTTGTATTTTTATTTTATTTTTTAAACAAATTTTAAACTTTTCACTACAAAACTTAAAATTAATTCTCTATTTAAAAAGAATCCTGACATCTCTAAAACATATCCTGCTCTGGTAGGTGTACTAATTTAATCTATAGCTTTTCCTGGCAAAACTATAAACCAATGTATAGTTTAAAAAATATATACTTAAGAGAAAAAAAAAAAAACTCTCACATGCCTCCTCCAAGATGGCCGCCACATTGGATGCATTCGGCATTGGAGCATCCAGCCAGAGCAGCCATATTGATAGGGAATTTGTGGTGGAGTTAGGAAGTGTTTTTTGTTTTTTTTTTTTAAATAGATCATCACAAATAATTCAATAATACATAATAATGATAATACATAGATATTGGGCTAGGCCAGTGTATAGATAAAACATGGAACATGACTCATGTTTAAAGATCAATGCAGATCCACAAAAAAAAAAATGTAGCTATAAACCCCCCCAAAATAAAACACAACACCCAAACACATGTATCTATACGTACATACATACATGTGTTAAACATAAAAGTTCATAAAATTTACAAATTTATTTTCTAGATTCATATATTCAACAATTATTCTACACAACTGCCACAATATTGCATACATACCAGGCTTAATGGTCAGATTTTGTGCATGTGTGAGGTCATGCTGCACAGTTGTGACACCATTAGTAAACTGAAATCAGCATACATTTGTCAATCAAGTAGTGAAATGATTACTGCTGGTTGTCAGCCTTCTAAATTTCCAAGCAGACTACAGCTAAAGTGCTATGAATCCAATTACAGAAAGAGGGATATAAAGCTACACATATTGGTAAAACATGTAATTCACAAAATATTTTTGTAGAACAATCCACCCCTATAAATTATACACCATAACTGTTTATTTTAGCCAACAGTACCTTGATATACAATGCTTAGGGTCAGATCACCAAGGCTGCCCTGTATCAGCATTAAAAGAATTGTATAAAATATATAATAATATGATGCAGTCATAGAATACCAACAGGATTATTTACTAAACACTAAATTGTATCGAACTGGAAAAAAAATTGCAAACTTTAGTTTGAAAACTTTCGACAACTAATCTATGGTCACAGCTCGGTTACTTTTTTCCTTAAATTTGCCAATTGGTTTTAAATTCACAACTAAAATGTTTTGTTAAAAAAAATAAAAATAAAAACCACAAGGGTTATTCAATAAACTGAGAATTGACCAAAGTCGTAAATTTTTTTTTTATCCAGATATTTTGTTCTAAAAAGTTGCATTCCCCCCAATATTTTTAATGCTAAAACCCTGACAGGCTCAACATAAATACATACAATGAATTGCATATTTATACCCCATTCAGTAAAGCAATAAACAAATACAAATGTATGAAATACTATTCTTTTTCAAAATGTGTTAGTCTTATGAATAATAAGGGTCCATGTATTTCTGCTTCATTTGTAAATCGTTCTGTACAATGCAGGTTATGATTGGTTCCCCCTATACTACAATGTTGGGATCCAAATTGGAACATAAAATAACCAATGGGAAGGGAGCAGACATTCTTTATTCCATTAACTACACACAGTTTGTCAGCCTCCATACCTGTACCATATTATGTACAGTACAGTAACTTATTTACCCCCCACTTCCAGTAGTATCATTGGGTAGCATCTATAGGAGATGAAATTTGGGTAAATTATACAGGTCTGAGCTGGCTGAAGAGAGTTTCTCTCCTAAAGGAGCACTTCTGTGCTACTATCTTCCCTCTTGGCGTATGCAGTGTGCACACAGGAATAAAATGGAGGTCATATGGATCCACTCTCTGCTGACTGAACTCACAGGGTGATGATAGGACACAGACAAGAGCCAACAGCACATGACTACAAACTGCTGACAGCCTACACAATTTAACACAGGAGACTATCAAAGGTTCACAGGCAGCCCTATGGGTGCAGAGAAAGTGAAAGGGTGACAGTTTCTTAGGCAAAGGCTTATATTATTATTATTATTTATATGGCGCCAACAAATTCCGTAGCGCTGTACAATGGGTTATAGTAACCCTTACAGTGCCGCTCACTCTTCCAGACAATTATTATTTTATTATTTACATAGCACCATCAGATTCCATAGCGCTCTACAATGGACAATGGTAGTAAGGTGCCACCCAAAAAAAAAAAGCACTAATACAGACATATCAGTAAGGGGGAGGGGGTTGTTTTCCCTGTACTAAAAGATACGGAGTATCAATAATAGGTCTTATTATTGTGATTTCAGCTGAAGCACAGTGTAGTGTGAAAATTGCATTTGTTCTACGGAGCATTCTGGCGCCTAGGAGACAGTGACTAATAGACCAGGGAAATAAAATGAAATGCCATTATTGGGAATGAAGTTCTGATGGCACTAGATGCACCGTTTCCCAGACTATCAGCAAACACCTCGTAATCCTGGTAATAATGCCTCCAGTGACTAAGTAGTTAACTAGACACATATTTTAAAGGAATTGGCAAGATGAGGTCTGAGTTAAAAAGACGACTTTTAATTAAAATATCCCTAGATTCTGTGTAAACTGAGCAATTTATAATGTATGCACTTCAGTACGGTTTTCCAATAAAGAGGGATGGAGAGGGGGAGGAACAGAATGCTGATCCAAAGATACTTTTCAATAATGGTCGAGTACACAAATACCATTTAATTGTAAATATGCTATGATCGTCCATTTAAAATAATATTAACCCCTTAAGGACACATGAAATGTCATGATTCCCTTTTATTCCAGAAGTTTGGTCCTTAAGGGGTTAACTAAACATTACATTTGCTGTGAGTTCAGGGGAGCAACTCCCACTCTACCATGCTCCTCATTGATGCCCTGCAGAGTTAGAAGGGACTGTAGCCCACAGACAGCACTGTTATTATTTATAAAATATTTTACCAGGATGGATACATTGAGATTTGTCTTGTTTTCAAGTATGTTCTGGGTGACAAGGCTGGCTGAAAGGCTGTGAAACAAGGGGTTCTTTAAACATTATGTTTTTTTTGTAGAAATCAAGTGCCAGATTAGCACAAACCATCCGCTTTCTTATTTCAAAAGTTGTAAAGTACAAACAATATGGGTAGATCTGAATAGAGAATGTTCATACTGTTCAGAAATTTGCTTTATTGCTGCTGGAGCCAAGAAATTCATAACTACTACAGTCAGTGAGCCCCTGTGTAAATATTCTAATTATTAACATAACAAGCATGGCACAACTAAGGGTTAACCCAGGTGAGCTGCATGCTTTCTAGACTAGTTCTGTGTAGCTAGTAATGACACCTTGTGCTTGTTGTTAAACACCTGCACTGTGAACTCAATGAAACAGAGAGCCCAGTTGGTGTATCTGAGGGTTGAAAGCCACTGTGCTAAGTTTAAACAGCTTGCAAGCATTGTATCCATATCAGCCCAAAGAAATGTCTAGCGCCAGCAGCACAATGATATGTCACAGATGACCCTCTGCAAAGCTGGAGTCAGCCCAACACACTGGCACTGGAGCTACTATTGATCACTCACTCTGATGGTGTGTGAGGTGCTCAGTCACCTGCCATTATTATTCCAATACCTGTCTGGAACATGAGCAATCCCGTTCAGGTTTTGAAAGATTACCAAACAATAATACATCATTCAGATCCATGGATAGAGTAAGGGGAATTGCCAAGGGACAGCTGGACAGCGTTTCAATACTCCATTTGCCAGCAGATGCCACATTCACACAGGATTATACAAATCATTCAGCCACAGGACCCATCATTTACAACTCGGTATTACTGAAATTGGCGAGTTCTGCCTTTTATCTTTACCACATGCAGGTTCTGGAGCTCTGAAAGGTAGCCTGCATGATGGCACAGTTGGCAAGCCCTTGGCAGGAGAGCTAGTCTGGGGATTGACCAGAATGGCACAATTGACACTTACGTTTGATTTGTCTGGGATTGCTTTGTTTTCTCCTGGACATCTCTTTTCGGTGGGCAGTCAGGGTGGCCAGGCAGGGGGAGGGCAGGAGGTGGAAGGCAGGATCAGGCTGTCCTCATGCCCACACCAGCCCTCACAACCCTTGGCACAGACAGAAGCTTACACCACGATCACACAGCAGAGAGGATCCACATGGACAAAACAAACAGTTGGTCTTTTTTTTTTCCTCTCTCAAGCCTTGCCAGCAGTGCTGTGCCCTCCTAGGAGTGGCTGGAGTCCGGTGCCAGTTTAATAAATCTCAGGGCAATCCTGCAGTCCAGACTAGTAAGTATTCCGAGTCTGCGGGCACAGCCGTGCGCCCTCCTCCAGCAGCCTCACAGGGATTTAAGGTGGTTATGGTAGGTAGCCCTTGGCTGGCACCATAAGGCAGTGCCCGGTATCCAGGCGGCTAGTGAGGGCTGCTCTCCTGATTGATTGGACACACTCCTTGCACACAGGTGGGTTTGGCAGCACTGGGTATAGCGCAGGGTGCCAGGGATGTGTGCCAAGCGATGCCCGCTGCCCATGTGATCTGCCTGAGGCTCCGAACCCCCGATTGTTACTTTGTATCTAACCCGCCGGAGTGAAACATTCCAAGCGGGGCGTGGCAAGGGAGGGGCGTGCCAATACAGCCCTCCCACCGATACCGCCCAGTCAAACATGTCGTCACGCAGACACCTAATGGAAGAAGATAGAGCGGTTTCACGTTCACCGCCATGTTTCAGCCTCCTTACGGAAGCCCACATAATACAAGCTTCATAAACTCCCATACATGGCTTGGGTGCTCCAGTGAAATGGAAGGAATTAAAAGTCAATTTAAACTTTTAGGACACTATAGCTGAACTGGAAAATTTCCAAAACGTTAACGTTTTCAGTTTTAATATTTAGGTAAAAAAAAAAAATTTTTAAAAAAAAAGTAATATTCAAAATTCATGACAATTTAATAGTGGATAGCCTAGGCTGAAAAGAAAGCAGTCTGGTACATGGGAGATTAAAAGGCTTTCTTTATATAAGGTGCTGTGCCCTTCCAACGTTGGGACAATGTAATTAGAAAACATGGGACACAAGTCAAGCAATAGCAATCCATTTCTGTTACATAAATAAAGGTGAATTGACCATTTGAGGGCAAGCGGTCTGAGAGAAGCACTGCATTGTGCTTGGAAGAGTTATTGATATAGCTCCAACAAATTCCACAGCGCAGTACAATGAGAATATAGAAAAAAAACAGTAAATGTTTATTGTGAATTAGCAGAAACCTAGAATAGCCTTCTAGCATATATAGTAAAAGCTACCTGGGATACAGGATGGGTAACGGTACCTGAAATTCCCTTCCAGTAAGAGCTGATAACTATACAGAAAAGGTAGTAGATACCTGGAATAGCCTTCCAGTAAGAGCTAATAGCTATACAACAAAGGTAGTAGATACCTGGAATAGCCTTCCGCTAATAGCTATACAACAAAGGTAGTAGATACCTGGAATAGCCTTCCATTAAGAGCTAATAGCTATACAGAAAAAGTAGTAGATATCTGGAATAGCCTTCCGGTAAGAGCTAATAGCTATACAGAAAAGGTAGTAGATACCTGGAATAGCCTTCCAGTAAGAGCTAATAGCTATACAACAAAGGTAGTAGATACCTGGAATAGCCTTCCGCTAATAGCTATACAACAAAGGTAGTAGATACCTGGAATAGCCTTCCATTAAGAGCTAATAGCTATACAGAAAAAGTAGTAGATATCTGGAATAGCCTTCCGGTAAGAGCTAATAGCTATACAGAAAAGGTAGTAGATACCTGGAATAGCCTTCCAGTAAGAGCTAATAGCTATACAACAAAGGTAGTAGATACCTGGAATAGCCTTCCGCTAAGAGCTAATAGCTATACAACAAAGGTAGTAGATACCTGGAATAGCCTTCCGGTAAGAGCTAATAGCTATACAGAAAAGGTAGTAGATACCTGGAATAGCCCTCAGGTAAGAGCTAATAGCTATACAGAAAAGGTAGTAGATACCTGGAGAAGAAGTAAAGGCTAACACAGTAAACCAGTGAAGACTTTCTCTAACGCGAAGTGTAAGAAGGCAGTCTGAAACTTTATAATGGGTAAATGTGCTTTGCTTTGATTTTCTATGGCTGCTATGATTCCAGTAAGAAGCCCATGGAGTGCTATGGAGTGTTGTGTGTGTCCCACCAAAGGCTTAAAAGTATGGTTCAGTTCAAGCAGCCATTTCTATTATTTTTCTTTTTTAATTTAGTTTAAACTATTAAAGTTAAATTATCAAGCACATATTGGTGGACAAGGCTCTATTCCCAAGATGACTAACCTGCTACACCTGCAAGGAAGGGATAGTAATTGGGTCTGAATAGCAGTTAGGAAATGTGGTCACTTATGCAATGAAGGGCCCATATTTAGATTGATTTAATGTAGCCTCTTTCCTGAAATCAGGTCTAGGAAAAGTATGAGCACCTGGTGGTTCCCAGTACAGTGCACCCCCTAGTGGTCAATGTACATGGAGCATGAATAGCTTTTACTGAAAGTCCTGTATTGTGTGTGGAAGGCTACCTGCAACGTCAGGTTGTGTCACTTTGACATCATAGTGAATGGCTGTGACTGGCGCAAGAAACATTTAAATCACTATAATTTTTTTTATTTATTTTTTAAATGTCAGAGTTTGGTTCCTACTGTGCATATTAAAAAATCCTATACCGTTAGATTTAAACTAGAGATCTAGCAATATCATTTTTCCAAAGCCGATGGCGATACAGATTATCGGTGGCCTTTTGGTCGATTGTCGATAACCTGTTCTGAAGTTGAGTTGAGTAAATTATCGGTAATATCAATAAATTACAAGATTGATACAGATTATAGGAAATATGCCGAATAACGGCTCTAATAATCGGTAGAACCGATTATCGGCCAATCCCTAGTGTAAACATACTGTTCCTCCAAGGAATCTTAGCTCATTAAGCTCAGATCGCCACCAGATAAGCACTGCACTCAGAAGTGGGGATGAATAGCTGGATGTGTTTCACTCCTTTCCCTCTCTCAACAACATTCAAAAGTGCAGGAAATGTCTTCAGATATACCATCACCCACCCCTCCCTGATCAACGTAATAGGTGTTATTAATATTGAAAAAGAATGTCAAGACTTGTGCATGCTTTGAGTACAGCAACTCTGGGTTAGCGGCCTAAGCTTGATGGGAAGGTGACATCAAAGCAATATATACACAAGCTGAGCGTTCAGCATGTCTAGATGGAAGACACAACCACGGACCATCATGATAAAACGCTAATGATCATTTTGGGCCATATGCTGCACCGTAAACATCTGTCAAAAAATATATATAGACGTTTATGTATTAAATAATGAGCTGTGGCAAGATAACACAAACCTTTGGAGTGGGCTGACACAACACCTAAACAAAACAGAGGTTTGTTCACTAAACTCTGCATCGTCGAAAATTCTAATCGAAATGTGAAAAATCTCCAACGCAGCTACAGTCAAAGCTAGGCTATTTTAGCGCACATTTTATTCACTACGATTCGAAGTTTAGTGAGTAAAGCTCACAGTGGTTATTGTATACACCTGCGTGCGTTTTTGCACAAATTGCTTACACTAAGCAGGTGACAATCTCACTTTAAGTGGCCTTTTTTTCCCCCTGCTGCTGTGGTATCAAAATAATTAAAATGTTTATAGAATATAGAATGCACACTTATAACAATCTCAAAAAAACTTAGCTTTATTATGTACAAAAAAGTACCAGAGTGAAAACATATAAGAAAAAATAAACAAAGTGACAGAAGCAAGGGCAAATACAATAAAATAATAATAAATTTATCAAGGGTATCACTAGTGTAGGTGTTTCTTTAAAATTGTGTAGCAGCTGCTAAGGAAATATAGCACTTTAAATTATCTGCAAGAAGAAAAATAAATATTTTTTTATATCTACAAAACTGATGTTCACACACAGGACTGTGTTCATCAGACGAGCGATATCATCTTCTGTTAGATAACATCTCTTTTTGCTGCTGGGCTGATTCAAAAAGCACAGAGATATTTTAGATAAGTCCACCTGATAGGGTAACATAGCATTAAAAGATACTATCTTGCAGTAGATATTATCATTCATGTGATCTGCAAACTCAGCCCGAATTACCAGTACATTATTAACCCTCGGAATTCCACGTGCACCTACGCCATAAAGAAAGGTCACTTTTGGGAATAGACCTCACCACATTTTAGAAAAAAAACCTTTCTCGAAAGAAAGGGAAAAACAAAACCTTTTGTGAAAAGAAAAAAATCCAAAATTAGACAGACGACTTTTACAGCCGTTTTACTATCAGTTTAATAGCTGCATCCTATTCTGTGACTAAAAAGTAAAGATATTATCTATCTATCAATCTAACTATAATGGTAATGTCCTATATAAAGCATGATCGTCTAGGGAGCTGCAGCTTGATCGAGATTCATTTACTAATATCTAAGTTTTATGTCACTTATCACAAATCAAAACAACTAATTTCATTATCTATTTATAATTTATATCTTTATATATAAACTCAGTTTTTAACTACTTAGTGGGATGACCAGCGTATCACAGCACAACAGTCTCTATGTGCAAAATGTCATTCTTGCGGGAAAGCTGCAGCAGTTGTCTGAAATGTGGCGAGACATTTAGGGTATTGCTCTAAAAACACTAACCCCTGGTACAATGGCATGGGGCAGAAAGGAAAGCAGTTCATGTTTATTCCTGTAAAGTTATCATCCTGTGGATCAGCGAAAGGGTAAAATGGCCAAAAGTCACAGCGAAAGGGTAAAATGGCCAAAGTATGTGAACCAAGAACTGAAACATTTAAAAGAAGAGATGCAATTACTGGTTACCCAAACTGAGTTCACTCATAGATGGACTCATTTTGTATCAGGGGTATTCCAGAACATTTAAAGGGACACTATAGTCACCTGAACAACTTTAGCTTAATGAAGCAGTTTTGGTGTATAGAACATGCCCCTGCAGCCTCACTACTCAATCTTCTGCCATTTAGGAGTTAAATCCCTTTGTTTATGAACCCTAGTCACACCTCCCTGCATGTGACTTGCACAGCCTTCATTAAACACTTCCTGTAAAGAGCACCCTATTTAGGCTTTCTTTATTGCAAGTTCTGTTTAATTAAGATTTTCTTATACCCTGCTATGTCAATAGCTTGCTAGACCCTGCAAGAGCCTCCTGTATGTGATTAAAGTTCAATTTAGAGATTGAGATACAATTATTTAAGGTAAATTACATCTGTTTGAAAGTGAAACCAGTTTTTTTTCATGCAGGCTCTGTCAATCATAGCCAGGGGAGGTGTGGCTAGGGCTGCATAAACAGAAACAAAGTGATTTAACTCCTAAATGACAGTGAATTGAGCAGTGAAATTGCAGGGGAATGATCTATACACTAAAACTGCTTTATTTAGCTAAAGTCATTTAGGTGACTATAGTGTTCCTTTAAAGTGAATTCATAACCTACTGATAACCAGATACATAATTATTATATTATGTAAAGTGCCAACACTTCCTGCAGCTTTGTATAATGAGTAAATGAGAAGTGCAAA